ATTAAGACTATTTATAAGTAGTAAACTTCTATAATAGTTAAAGAAGTTTAGTCCTTCCTTAGGTTCTATAACTTCTATCGTTATTTTATTACTACCTATAGTCGTATCGCGAAGCTACTCTACTAATTTATAAAAAAGGACTATATATTTATATAGAGCGAGGACTATATAAATATCTTCTAGTAACTAAAAACTACTCTTTCTTCGGCGTCTATCTTAGTATACTACTATCCGGAGAGGAAGATAAGACTAGAAACGGACGCCTTAAAGGATATTATCGCGGGAGTACTATCCTAGAAGTAGGATAGGTTATAGTATCCTATTAGGTTCTTCTCTAAGACTATATTACCTAGGAAGCAGAAGTAGGATATCTACGACCGGGAGATACTAGTAATTATAGAGAGTATAGATAATTAGTAGGCTAAGCTATTAGGACTATAATATAAAGAAAGATTCGAGGTCCTAATAGATTACCGGGCGTTAGAGTACTTTATATTATTAAAACTTCTAAATACTTATTAAGCTCGCTAGGGTTTAAAACTTTCCTAGTACTATTTCGTTATCCGCTACTAACTAGGATAATAAAATACTCTTACGGATATATTATCCCGCTTCTAGGTTAAATAATAAGGGGAACCGGAGAGCTAGATATTACTACCGGAATCCTACTTAGATCCCTAGATCGTAAATAAGCGTAAGACTATTCGAATTAACCGACTCTATATTAGTAGCGACTTAATTAAATAGTTATTCTTAGTAAACTAGGATAACCTAGAGCTAGAAGTATAGTATTAGGAGGCCGAATAGGAGAATTCCTTAAGTAGATTCGACTTACGAGAAGAGATACTAATCTATAATAAGAAGCTCGTAGTCCTAGTATATAGATAGCTATAAACCCGGTTAATCTCTAAAGCCTATAATTAACTATCTTTAGCCTACCCGAGCGCTAAGAAGCTTTAGAAGTTCCTAGTAAGCCGTTTTTAGTAGGAGACTCTCCGCTAGGATATTATTCGGTTTTCGGATAACTATATAATATATAAGCGTACTAAAACCTAGCGAATAAAGACTCCGGGACTCCTAAACCCGTTACTAGTACCGGATAGACCCTAGTAGTATATCTCTATAGACTTTATATACCTACTAAAAGACCGATATAGATATAATAACGTCTTAATAGTAGTTTATAGATTAATAAAGTAGATAGTTTACGTATTCTTATTTAAGGATACTATAGCTAGGAATCTAGTAAAGTTATAGTTAATATACTATTATAGATAGATAGGACTTCCGGACTTAATTATATCGGATAGAGGACTATAGTTTATTATATTATTCTAGAAGACCCTATATAAGTTAATAGGGATTAAGCGGAAGTTATTTACTCTATATTACCCTTAAATAGATAGATAGTCGGAAAATACGATCTAGTTACTATCTTAATAACTATACGCCTTCGTAGATAAGTTCGCCGATAACTAGTCTAGTCTACTACTAATAATAGACTTTACTTAGGCGATTTTGCCTTATAAGTCGACTAGGGTCTTACTATACTATACCGAATATAGGTATAAGCTAAGAACGATAGTTAATTAGTAACTTAGTAGTAGTAGATAGGATCTCTATAGGCTAGACCGGGAGATAGCTCGAGACTAGGTAGATAAAATTCGCTAAGTTTATAAGTTCGTACGGGATAATATAACTAAAGCGTAGGAATATTAGCGTATCTAGGCGAATCGATATCGTAAGAAGCTAAACTTCGATATTAGGGACCTTATTATAATTATAATAAAGGATAATCGGTAGATTATAGAAGGGCTATTAGGTAAACTCCGTCTGAAAGTAGAGGGGCCTTTCCGGATTATCGAGAAGATAGAGTACGCTTTTCGACTATAACTACTAGAAGGATTATTATAATATAATATCTTTAACCTAGAGAAGTTACGCTGTATAATAAGTATAGATCTACTTCTAGGATAGCCTATCCCTAAACCGGCGATATAGGTTATACTAGAGCCGGAGTATAATATAGAGATAATCCTTACTTCGCGAATTAATTAGTCGAAGCTTTAGTATCGAGTAAAGTAGGTAGGATTCGAGAATAATATAATATAGTATAATACTAGTAATTTCCGGACTACGGCTTCGAAACTCCGGGAATATTATAAAACCTACCTATCCCGCCCTAGACCTCCGGTAAACCTTAACTATTAGTTAGAGTATAAGGCTCTTAATAAGAAGCTACTAGTACGCCTAGACGATAATATACCGTAATATTACTACGCCTAAGGATAGTCGCGAGTCTAAACGGGGGATAATATAATATATAGGTAATAAGTTAATAGTTAACTAGCTAGTCGGTTAACTAGTTCGTAAATAGACTTAGAGCGTAGAGTTAGTTAGATAAGTTAACTAGTTAGTTACTATAAACTAGTAAGTTTACTAACTAGTTAGTTAGCCGACTAGTAAGTTAGTATTAACTAATAGATTAGTTAGCTAGTTAATAGATATAGACTTAGGGAGTTAAGGAGGAGATTATATAATCGACATTTACGTTTATAAGATTAGATATTTACCTATATATTATTAATAGAAGTCTTACGTATATATATACGCTAGAGCCTAAGGATTATTTATCTTTCGGTTTACTTCTATAGAGGAACCTTCTATCTAGGACTTTCTATAAGGATTCTACCGCCTTACTATAGCCCCGCCTATAATAGGTATTTAAGATAGTACTTTACCTTCCTTATTTCTTCCTTTCCTTTTTCCCCTTCGTCTTAGTTTTCTTTATTATATAGGATATAGTTACTTTACCTTCCTTCTTCTATATATAGATTATTATAGCTATACTACCTAGGAGTTATAGTAAGTCTCTTATAATCTAGGTTATTAAAGATACTTCCTAGATACTTTAGTATCTTTTTAAGCTTCTTATACTAGTTAGTAGTATCTATATATATATAAGGATTAATATATATTAGTACTTTTCCTTTATATTAACTCTTAGTATATATAATATAGTACTTCTTAGTCGGATAGTAATCGTAATTTAGTTTAAGTTTTTTAAGAATATTTAATTCCTAATCTTTAAACTTAACTTTCTTACTATTACTAAGTATCGGAGGATTAGGAATCTTAGTTAATTTATAGTAGAGTCCTTTAGCCTTAGATATAGTATAACTTAAACTAATTCCTCTATTAGTATTATAATCTATCTATATAAATTATATTACGGTCGCTAGTATATCGCGTTCTTTAGTAGTCTTATTATAGTTAGTATAAAGACTAGCGTAAGCTTCTTCTATATACTAGATTTCCGGAGTCTATTCTATAGTATTTAGAGACTTTAATATCTCGTTTTCCTTAGTTAACTATTTAATCTACTTAGTAAGATATTCGTTCTTTTCTGTCTCCTACTTTAAGGCTTAGAAGGCTACTCGAGTATTACTAGAAATCTACTTAAGTAGCTATTCCGGGGTTTCGAGTTTATATTTAGCGTCTTCGTAGCTAAAATTTAAAGAGGTTCTACGAGGAGTTTATTCTACAGAGGAGATTCGCTCGCGTAATTATACTATTATAGCTTCGGTACTAGTTATATTAGTTCGGTATTAGTAAAGTTATTAGGGTAGCTAGAGGATATAGTACCTCGCTACCCGATTAATACTTTAAAAAAGATTCTAAAAAAAAGAAGAGACGAGCCTTTAAGATAATATTATATACGAGAATAGAAAAGCTTTAGAAGGACTTAGAAACTTTTATTTAACTTAGCTACGTAGTATTAAGAATCTTAAAGGCTAAAGAGGAGAAAAAGAAAAGGGAAGAGGCTATAGTCTATCCTAAGTTTTAAGATAGTATATATAGTATACGTAGTAGACGTAGTATACGCCCTCTACCCTCCTATATCCTATCCTTATCCTAAGTTAGTCCTACTATACTTATAATAAGCTTCTATACTTAAAGAGCTTCTTAAATAGCGATCGAATAGCCGGCCTACGCCGTTAAAACTTATACTTAATCAGATTATCAAGGGCGCCTATCTCTTATTATATAGCGGTATATTACTAGCGCAGGATAACGCTAACCTACACGCAGCGAATAAAAAGAAACGTCAAAAGCGTACTCGATTAACTAGGCAGATTACACACGAGGGAGGCCTAACAATCGAAGAGGGCCTACAGCTAGTCCAGCAGCTAATTCAGCCAGTAGAAGCTAATAAGGTAGTATCGTATAAAGGGCCCGATTTACCTAATCAGCTAATGCAACCGGTCAGGAGGGCTCCGCCTACCTACAGTGGATATGGCCAAGTTAGCCATAGGATTACTTCATGTAAAAATCGTGTTATTTAGTTGAATTAATAGGTGTTGGTTGAGATAATCGATTTTGAAATTTTCTAATAGGGGTAGGTGTCCAGGGTGACCGTGTGTCCAGGGTGACCGTGGATTACGTTACCGAGCCTCTCCTTTACTAACTTTTACACCTTACCTGGCGTCTTGCTCTCGGAGACAAAGTACATTTTCCTGAAGCATTCATTTTTTTTTTTACAATGTATAATGAGATTTTTTGGACATGTCTGTCTTGTCATTTACGTGAATACGAAGCGATGAGTTTATGATTTAATATACAATATCTGTCCGATAAAGCGGTTTTGATTCGTCGGCTGTTTTGTTTTCAATAAGTCAATATTGTTTCCTTCCGAAGATTGCCTAGCTCCAGGTCTCACGCCTTGGATGACTACCGCCGAAACACTGCTGATGTTTAGGACGGCTCGATGACTGATTTACTAAACAGGTAGTCGATCCAGATTACATTTTCAGACTTCGTCAATAAGAGTCTTTGAGTCGATTCACAATTCGAAATTCAGAGGTTGAAGTGTTCAAGAATCACGCGCAACGAAAGAGCAAATAAAGACAAGAGAAACAGATAAGGGGGAATCACGTAGTCGTGTTCAGGCTAAATTTACAGAATTAGCTCACCATTAAACATGACGTGTTGGGCCAAAATCAGAACGTGCTGGTGGCAAGTCGACTAGCCGCATTACGAGCGTCAAGTCGGTCGTCATCTTCTTCGGCGATAGATCCAACCTGACTGGTTGCGCGCGCTCGACCATGAGTGGACTCGGTCAAGTTGTCTTCCTCGCCTTCTTCCTCACCGGGAGCAGCGAAGCTTCCACTCATGCTGCGACCCAGGGTGTCAGATCGACGTGGGATGCCGCTCCAAGCATCACCCTTGGGACCTTGGCTGGACGACATGTTGGCTCGGCGCACGGCGGGATGCGCTTCACGACCCAGTCGGCTCAGACCACCGGACGCATCGATGCTGCGAATGTCAGGTCGTACACTTTCCAATGTGGCCAAAGTCCGTCGTTCGGCTTCGATCTGACGCAAAGTGTACTCGCGTAGACTTGAAAGCAGATCGTTGGTAGTACGGTCGAACCATTTTCGCTTTTCCTGCAGCAGATTTGTCGTGACACGCTGTGTGCGCTTGGTCAAGTAGTCTTCGTGACTTTCAGCCTCTTCAAGAGCGCTAAGTGCCTCATCCACTTTATCGGAGCGGACTGAAGAGCTGACTTTCAATCGATCAGCTGCTGACCGTCTGCTGCGAGAAGTCTGCTGGGCCTGAAGCAGCTCTCGCAGCAAGATGTGGCGGTTCGTGAGGGTCTCTTTGACAATGAAGGCATCGGACGAGTGATAACTCAATGGCTCGCCCAGAGTTGTAGCTTCGGCAGTAGCTTGGATTGCGTGGTAGTCACCCACAGTCTGGATGATCTTGCCAAGCTTTCGGTAGGCCATACCAAGACCAGGGTGTGTTTCTTGCACAGCCATCTGACCGAGCTTAACACCGAAATCAGACTCCGCCAGTCCAACACCTGATTTTCCACGTTAGCTACCACATCGGGCACGTCGCTCAAGACCCAGACTTGACTTCTTACCTCTCCGTGACTTAACGACCCGGTCAACCTTGTGACTCGTATCCATTGCCCCCAAGTAAAACATCTTCACAGTGGGACGCGCCGCTTGAAGTTCTGGAGTGTCATCGGGAGGAGGCGCGAACTGTTTTAGCATTTTACGACGAACGCCCGTCGCAGGCTGCTTCATTCGCAAGACCGGACTGTAGCCAAAGTCGCTTTCAACAAACAGCATGACCTCGTCATCTTGAATCAGAATGTCATTGCTCAATATGGTGTTCAACCAGCGTTGCATAGAGGCCTTGACCCGATTTTCGTCCTCCTCAGTTCCGGCGCCAGCAGGAGTTACGGGAGGAGGCACTGCCGGGACCAATGCTTCCGGGTTGGCGGAGAGCAGATGGTCGGCGAGCTTAATGAACTCGGAGTGGGTGCGGCGGACATCGCGGTATTGAGTTGTACGGAACTTTGGAATATTGGTCTTTGTCGGAAGAGAAGTACGACGTTAGCTATCCATTGCGGCAGACCCAGCTCACGCGCATCACGATTGTTGACTCACGTGGACATCAAATCGAAGAACAGGATCTTTCTTTCCTGTCCTCTCGAGACCTGTGATCTTGGCTTGGATCTTATAGGCGGGCGGCGTTGGTCGAGAGGCTTGCCTTACCCCCGTTTGATAGCGTGCGGGGAGTTGCTGATGGTGTTGCGCAGCAAATGGTTCATCGTAATCGGGATCACCCAATTGCGGACTCTGGAGCTGTGCTGACAAGTCTGCCGCCTGAGCTACATCGTCATTGTCTCTGGTAGCAGCCTCGGATGATTGGCGTTGAGCAGCTAGCGGAGAGGCCGGTTGCTCGCCATTGACTGAGGCGGGGAAAGCTGGTCGGTCGGCGCGCGGAGACCCCCAGGGAGACGCACCCGCAGGGTGCTCTGGGTCATTGGAAATGGCTGAGTAGTCCATTTAAGATGAATGGGATTGAGGCAAGGAGCGCTTTGAGGGAAGAAAAGTGAAAGGAAGGAGAGGGGTAAGGGGGAATCGAGCTGTGCGAGTGACGGAAGGCGTCAGTATTAATGGCGGAGGGAGCATTCTCCCACGGTGATGATCGAATCGCTTGTAGGCTTTGCTTAGCACATACCTCTCTCGCTCAGAAATGATTATCTCAATGACAATTCTGTGAGAGCGTCCAAAGATGGCGCCAAGGAAACGAACGGAAGCAGCAACACGAGGGAACTGAGTCTTGACGCCGAAAGGTTGATCGGACGGAGGAGGTTACGTATGGCGTCTCGGATGAAGTGCGTGCGCCAAGACTTGCCCGGCTAGCCGTCATTCCTTTCTCATGTGAACAAATAACTCAACTCTACTGACCGACTTGCCAGGACGAGTGTGCACAGACTTTTGGTCTACCTGTCTCTATGTGTCGGTAGTGCTTCCTGAACATGGGAATTTGAGTCTCGCTTTCATTTCAGCGCATGCACCACACTGAAGATGGTCGCGGCACCATTACTTCGCCCTCCCTCGGCTGGGTGGAGGAGCTTAGGGTCAACACTCCATACAAGACGGGCCGGCCCTGCAAAGAGCTCACTTCATACCAAAATAGCTCAAGTTACGAGTGGGAAATGTCGATACTTATCCACCTCGGTGTCCAAGTGGCAGACAGATACGCTGGACCGCACACGTAACATTGGAATTATTGCCCACATTGATGCAGGCAAAACTACAACGACAGAGCGGATGCTCTTCTATAGCGGCTTCACCAGGCGCATTGGAGATGTCGACGAGGGTTCGACAGTGACTGATTTCCTTCCTGCTGAGCGAGCGCGCGGAATCACAATTCAATCCGCTGCGATCACCTTCCACTGGCCACCGGGGGAAGGAGCAGAGGGTCAGCAGATTGATTGCGACCCCAAACTGCCCAAGTCGGCGGTGTCCCACACGATCAATTTGATAGATACTCCGGGACACGCCGATTTCACATTCGAGGTTTTGCGCTCGTTGCGAATTCTCGATGGTGCTGTTTGTATTCTGGACGGCGTGGCTGGTGTGGAGGCTCAAACCGAGCAAGTCTGGCACCAAGCAAGCACCTACCAAATCCCACGCATTATCTACGTGAACAAGCTAGACCGAGATGGAGCTGCCTTTGGCAGGACTGTGCGAGAAGTCAGCTCTCGTCTCGCCGTGTACCCGGCCGTCTGTCAGATTCCTTGGTTTGAAGGCGGCAACGGTGCTTTCGTGGGTGTCGCGGACGCGATCAATCTGCAAGGCTTGCGGTATAAAGTGGGCGACGACGGCCGTTCCGTCAAGATGCTGAGTTTGGAGCAATTGGAGGTTGAAGAACCTTCCCTAGCCCGGGAGCTGCGTAATGCACGCGTTGCGCTAGTTGAGCTGCTAAGCGAAAAAGATGACGCCATTGTGGAAGAATTCTTCGAGTGTGATGAGAATCATCTTGCGGTATCTTCTATGGCCATCATCAGTAGTCTCCGGCGATGCGTGCTTGATCAGTTCAGTCAGGTGATTCCCGTATTTGCTGGAGCAAGTTTCCGCAATATGGGTGTTCAGCCTCTGCTCGATTCAGTGGTGAACCTCCTTCCTAGCCCGCCAGAGAGCCCTGACCCGGAGGTCAGCATTGGTGGAGTAACTGGGGGGCTCAGGCGCTTGCTCTCTGGGGACCTCATCTTGGAGCAGACTGAGAAGGCCTCTGCCCCGGTCAAGGGCAAAAAGAAAAAGAAGGCTACAGCTCTTGCGGACCCCAGAGATGCGATCTCGAAACTCCAGAGCTGTGCACTTGCTTTCAAAGTCGTCAACGACCCCCAAGCGGGGCGTTCTGGTGTACGTGCGAGTATATTCGGGCTCCTTGGATCGCAATAGTCTTTTGTTCAACACCAATTTGCATCTCTCGGAGCGCGCGCCGCGGCTGCTAAAAATGTATGCGAATGAGGCTGTGGAGGTGGACAGCATTCCGGCTGGACACATTGGAGTCGTCGTTGGGCTGAAACATGCCCGCACGGGGGATACACTGCTGTCTTATGCTGGGAACAAGCCTACACCACCAGAGCCACTGACCAGCCTTCAACTTCGACCCATTGATGTCCCTCCTCCTGTCTTCTTCACAAGTGTTGAGCCACACAGTCTGAGTGAGGAGAAGCGCATGCATGAAACACTAGCTCTGCTGCTTCGAGAAGATCCCAGTCTTCACGTGAGTATTGACGAAGAATCAGGCCAAACTCTGCTCAGCGGCATGGGCGAACTTCACCTCGAGATTGCTCGGGACCGACTTATCAACGATCTCAAAGCCAAGGCATCGATGGGCCAAATCGAAATCAGTTATCGAGAGACCGGACTGGGTGCATCCAACGTCGTCACCAAAATCTTCGACAAAGAAGTAGCTGGGCGGCGCGGTAAAGCAGGTTGCACAGCAGTGGTTGAGCCCATTGATGACCGAGACCTTTCCGAAGTTGCCGACGAAGATACTCTCTTGGCCGAGACTGTCGAAGGAAACCAGATCGTCATCCGTGTCCCCGGCCTGCAAGTCGAGCGCTCGTCCCGAAATGACGAAGAAGCAAGCCCTCTTCTCCCACCAGGTTTAGAAGTGTCCTCTCTTCGCGCTGCCCTCCAGAATGGTGCGCTTGCAGCTCTTGCACGTGGGCCCCAATTCACATTTCCAATGCACAACACACGAACCACGTTAACCATCAACCCTGAAGAGCATCTCTTCGGGTCTGACACGACTACTTCCGCACTCTCAGCCGCTGCGAGACAAGCGACGTCCGCTGCCTTGCGTGATCTCCTCTCAGGTCCGGGGACCGTGATGATGGAGCCCGTCATGAACGTGATCATCAGCGTAGACGAAGCGAGTCTCGGCTCGGTGGTGCACGACATCTCCTCTTCCCGGGGTGGGCACATTATCTCCTTGGACGAGGAGGTCCCACTCTCAGCCACAGATGCCTCAAACACATCCATAGAAGACGCTCCTCGCCCGATTGACCCGAAGCGAGTGTATGCGCCGCCCGATCCGTTCGAAAGTCCCTCGATTGGAAACGATGTCCCTACCGCTGTGTCCCGTCCTCGCACTATCACTGCCAAGGTGCCCCTGAAGGAAATGGTCGGGTACTTGAAGCATTTGCGAAGTCTTACTGCTGGTAGGGGAACTTTTGTTATGAGTGTCGATCGTTTTGAGAATATGTCTACTCCAAGGCAAAAGGCTGTACTTGCTGAGTTGAGAGGAGGATTCTAAGGTGTTGGCACCTACTTCGTTAGTAGGTTCTGGGTGCAACATGAACCCGATGTATAACATTTGTATCAACCTTCTCGTGTACAATACTACTATATCCCTTTTGGCCATTTCCAGATGTCATTTTCTTCTTCAAGGGCAGGTGTTGGAATGTCTCGAAAAAAAAAATCTCAATCACAAGAAACTCGACACGTAGTGATAGTGAGTTGCCCATGTCATAAACACACCACGTCCAAATGAATACCGCAGACGCCATGATTCGACACAAGAAAAACACAAATGGCAAAATGCAGCAACAACCTATGAACAACAGAGAGTATTGAAACGATATATGAGCCCTTGGTACAGGAATTTACTATTACCAGTTATCATCCCATTCATCCTTCGACTTCGCGGCGCCCGAAGGAACAGCAGCAGCGCCACGATCGCCCTCAGTCTTGGCAGCAACCGACGGCGCAGTCACATTACCGGATGAAGCAGCGGACATAGAAGCAGCCAACGGAGACGCGGCACTCGTCGCAGGACCCTTCCTCATCGCAGCGGTACCGATGTTGTCCGAGCGTGAACCACTGCGCTCATGGGAAGGGTTTCGGTCCTGTGCGCCGAGGGACGAGAAATCGTCCCAGAATTCTCGGCGCTCGGGCTCGACTCGGGAGCGAGCAGCCCCAGAGCGAGCATCGTCGGGACCCTCGACGAAACGATTGAATTGATCTGCGGCGCCCCGAACACCTGTTTGTAGGTTCTGACCCCAGCTCGCGGCTTGGACACGGGCCTGGGCAGCAAATTCGGATTCGGCCAGCTAGAGGGTGTTTTTCATGTCAGTATCTTGGTCGATCGAGTATCAAATAAAGATGCTGCAGTCACTTGAGAGAGTGACGAGTGAAAGGAAGGGGGATATCATTTCAAGTCCTTACCTGCTTGGCCGTGGGCTGCAAGAATGATTCATTGACCTGCTTCGCACTTTTGCCTACTGTGGAGGCGAACCAGCCCAGACCCTTGGTCAAAGTACCCAAAGGGTCTTTCTGAAGGCCATCAAGAGCCGGAGCTCCTTCAGAGCCAGCTTCACCACCGCCGCCGCCGCCCCAGCCGCCAAACCCACCAAATGGCGATGACCGACGCTCAGCAGTCGCAAGAGGCAAGCCCCCACCAAACCCAGTGAATTTCCCACCTTGAGAGGGCGGCAATGAGTCCGACCTCGTCGCATTCTCGCCCCCCAGCTTTGCAAAGTAGGCTTCATTCTGCTCCTTCTTTGTAGGCACGCCGCCAACCCCGCGATGGCTATCCTGCGAACGAATCGACGACGCAGCGGGTGATGCAGTTCGAGCCCCGCTCAGACTTTTGGGCGTTTCTGACCGCGGTACTGGCACGTTGTTCTTCTTCTCCTGGCCGGGCACATACTCGCGACTCTCGACCTTACAGGACAACCTCTCCTTCCACTCCTCGCCTGCGTCTCCCTCGTATCGCTCCTTAATGGTGGAGTCCTCGAATGTACGGCCTTCAGATACGGTCGTGGGATGCGCATCGTAGAAAGACTTCCAAGGCTCATTGCCACCTAGTTCCATCCGCTGAATCTCTGCGTGCTTGAAGGCATCCATGGTGATCGAGCGCACGAAGGAGATGTGAACACCGAGGCCTCGATGCGTCCCGGCACAGTTCAAGCAGATGAAGGTTCCGAATTTCGGCGAGGCCTGTAGCGAAAGCGAAGAATCCGTTAGCTCCCAAGTTCTTCGTAGCTCGACTCCAGCTGCGATAGTCGCGGTGCGCATTCAGCGATCAGGAAGAGATGGATGGGTGTTCCAACATACCCATTGTGGAGAGGGCGCGCCACAGTCGCAGCACCTATCGTTGCCATTGGTCTTGGAGATCGCAAGAAGCTAATAAGAAAGCGTCAAAATTAAAGTCAGTCTTGCCCTTGTCGTAGTTCCTAGTCCGATCTCCTGGGTCCGTCCGATGTGCCACGTTCACAAAGAAGCGTACCTTGGTCTTCGTCTCCGGATCAACCTCCCACATTCGCGACGACATATTGGACGACTCGATACAATCTCGGATCAAGTGGTAATGTTCCGCACGCAGCAATTGGAAGTGTGTCACTGTTGGAAGTTTAGATCAAGGATAGCGGGCGACAACCGTCTACACCGAACCGATTCGAGGGTCGCACGGGAGGTGAGGGGTGGAGTCTGGGGTCGACTTGATAGTCTGAGCGCAAGAGTGGCGTGGGTCTGGGCAATATTCAGCCAGCAACAAGCCCCAGAAGTTCTTCGATCAGGTAGACTGGTCGAACCACGTCAGCAATCGAGAACGACTCATGAAAGAGGTGAGATGAGTGGCAGCCGCAACGCAGAGTGGGATGAACGGACATGTTTTGGCTGCGGATCAGCAACGGCAGTCACTTATCAAGTTATCACACCCCGAATCTACCGCCAGGTCCAATAACTCTGAACTGTCCGCTATCCCGGATATGTGTATGCTCAGTTTTTACTTGGCTGTGTCTATGAGAACTCGAATCGAAGCTTTTTCCAGCCTGCACAGCAACGATAATAGACCCCTTGAACACGTATCTACAAAGATTTACAAGCAAATCCACAGATAGAGCCAATGGCATGTCGTCGTCATTTAGTGAAATGGGTGCTAATACAGGACACAAGGCAAAAGTCGTTAAGTTTGGAGGTATCGGCAAGGATGACGCTCCAGCATGGTCATTTCCATGACATCCAAAAAAAATAAAATAGTGAAGAACAAATCGGGTAAAGGAAAAGGAAACAGTCATCACACCCAGAAAGCCCGCAGATGCGCATGAAGAAGCCCCGAGCGGGTGTTCAGCAACGGGACCGGCTCATCAAGAGATCTGCGGTCGAGTTCAAATTGTCAAAGAGCGAGCTCAAGCGGCGGTAGTGGGAGCCGCAGGATCAGCGGGGGCAACGTTCTCCTCCTGGCCGGCAGTGGAGGCAGCCTGGGCCGGAGCCGAGTTCTGCTCGTACTGATCGGCAGCAGCGTTCACGTCATCTTCCTTGCCGGGGCTGTCGATAGCGACCTTGACGGCAATGGTGCGGCCATCAATCTCCTTTCCGTTCATCTCGTTGACGGCCTTGGTCTGGAGTTCCTCAGAGGCCAAGTTGACGAAACCGAAGCCGCGGGTCTTGCGGCGCTCGTTGCGAGCCTGCAGCTTCTTGATCATGAAACGGGGGATGGGGCGCAGAGCGACCTTGGCCGACACGGGAGAATAGGCAGCAAAGATTTCCTTAAGCTAACAAGATGGAAAAAAGTCGTTAGGAGTGGGAATACAACATCTGTTTGCTTTAGGGTAGTGCAACGTACCTTGTCCTCAGTCAGATCATAAGGCAAATTGGCGACCATGACCTTGGTCTTGGAGGGAATTCCATCCTCGGGGGGACCGCGCTGCTTCTGGGGACGAGGAGCACGAGCCTTGCCGGGCTTAGCACCCTCGGTGACAGATGGTGCCTTCTCGCTGGTGGCATCCTTCACAGTCGTGGCGTCCGCAGTAGCCGCAGGAGCAGTGGTAGCGGCGTTGGTGGTGGTCTCAGTTGGCTCCTGTCCATCCTGAGTCTATTCGGGGGGAAAGAAAGAAGAATGAGATTAGTCTCTCAACAAAGTAAAAGCGAGCGCGAGTGGGATGGGATAGTCAACTTACACGTCCACGGGCAGCCCGACCACCGCGACCACGAGCACGACCACGGCCGCGGCCACGGCCACCAGTGCGCTTGCGACCCTCATTGCCGCTAGCACCCTCGCCACCACTGGTGACACCCTCCTTGGCCTCAGCGGGCTCGGGCTTGCGAGCCAACTGAACGGACACCTTGCGCGCAAGAATCTCCTTTCCAGAAAGGTTCTCGACCGCGGCAGTCGCCTCGTGAGCAGTGGCGAGGTCGACAAAGGCGTATCCAACGGGGCGGCTGGTGCGAGGGTTCACGGGGATCGAGGTGCTCTCGCTGGGGTGGTTTCAATTAGCTCATGGTCGGACACGTCAGGATTGCACAAAAGGCGGGGTTAATTTTGGGAGCTCAGAGAGAGCCGTTGTTTTTGGTGGGGACGGAGCTCCCAGTCGGCCCAGCCACATGCGAAACTCAGCAATCAACTTACATCTTGTAGGCCTTGAAGAACTCCTTGAGCTCCTCCTCAGTGGTCGCATAGGCCAGATTGCCAATGTAGAGGCGGCGGCCCTCGTCAGCGCTGGCAGCGGCAGCATCGGTAGGCTGAGAGGCCGCAGTGGTGCCGTTGGTCTTGGGAGTGTCGTTAAGGGTGGTCGCGGCCATGGTGTTGGCGACAGCGTCGACGGCAGACATTTTGAAGGCTTTGGGTGACACGGAGGTTGGTGAAATTGGGTTCGAAAGTGCAAGATAGAAGCTCGAACGGGGTGATGTGTCAAGCTATGCAACGGAAGAGACTAAGTTGCCTTAGGTCGAAGCGTTGGGTTAAATTGTTGCCGTGAGGGAACTGAGGAGGAAGACGCAGGGTAGCTTGGTGCCCTAGATACCGGTGGGGGGGGGGGGGGAGGAGGGGAAACGGAAGAGTTTTGAAAAGAGCAGGTCAGATTGAGGTTGTTGACGTGAATGAAGAGGGAAGGAGGGAGTGGGAAGGGGAAGCGGAAAGGAGGAGGCAGCAACGAGGCGGTGAGGTATTCACGCGTTGAGTAAAGGCGGCCCAGGCAGGCACCGTGGACTTTAGGCGGCAGTTGCAGGGACCGCACGAGCTTCGGGGGTGCCTGCATGCCTAGAGGAAAGCTCCCTTCGGCGCTTTTGCATGGGGGCGTGTCGTTAAACTTCACTTGCAGGCAGCCTGTGCCGCATCAACCATTGTGCATGTGGACGGTAAACACCTGACCCTGAACACCCCTGCTGACAGCACGTGCGACATGTGACCACTTCTTTTGTACCTACCCACTCACCATACAATGTCTTAAACAAGGTATGCTGTCGAGAATCAGACAAAAAAATGACCCTAGGTTGGCGGTCGGGCAACTCGTAAATCTACTAAGCAAGTCGAAAGGTCCAGATCCATGCTGCAGTCCTAGGTAGACCGGACCATGATTCGATCACTAACTCCAGGTTTATTTGAACTAGACTCAGACAGGTTATTTGATCCTTGGTGAATTCCCTGACATTCAATGATCTTCTGGCGCTTTTGTTGTTCATCTAGAGCAGGACTCCGTAATAGAGTAGTTCAAATCAAATGTTCACCGAGGCCTCCCTCAGGCGACTACAATAGATCCTCCGTTTCGGTGCAGTTCCCACCCGCTTGACTAAGGCTCCGACGCGGGCTGATGTCATTCTGGCCACCATTTCCCCAGTTTCGATGGGCTACCATGGCCTTCTCTAATCTCTTGCTGTGCACTGGTGCAGTACACTGTACACTCACAATAATGAATTGCAGACCACGTGGTCTGTTTCCAGAAGAATAGCTCAAAGTCAAGCTGTTAACAGTGAGATGTGAGCGAGAATGAGGCTATATCCGAGGACAAATGGATTACATAATGATGATTCCCTGAAGTTCACAAGATAAGGTTCAACAGTCGACATGCATCTTCGCGACAGATCCTCAACCCGACAGGCTTAGACGAGCTGAATCTGCAGCTCTGCATGCGGGAAGCTGCCCAGACTCCGGAGTCCCGAGGGCGGACCAAGTTGGCGGCCGGTCGATCTGCCACATGGGCAGAATCGCCGGCTCCACTAGTCCTGGCAGTAGTGCAGAAGTGCAGTCATTATTGCCTTGCCTTGGGCTCGTGCGTCTCCATGTTCTACAACTACCAAGTTCTGCATCTGCCCTTCTTCCCCCGTGATATGTCAGATCGAGGAGAGCCGATTTCCAAGGAAAGATTGAGTCGAAGGCTTTGCGCAAGAAATGACTCAAGGTGATATCTTGAAGTCAAGGAACGATACCCTACCTACGGAACGAGAGTGCGGATTGATTATGACTACCTTGACCTTCCACTACACGGACACTGAATGGCAAGTACAGCAGTGCCTAGTATACAACGGATCACGAGGGGTAAAGTAGACGGTAGACGGTCCACGCCTGCTTTCGTGATACTAGCTCTCAACCTACAATTGATCCCACGCCCAGGGATCATGGCTCCTTCAATGAGCTCCCTGGCAATAACAATACATTGCCCCACCGGATGGAGATGTGACAATGGTGTCGAAATTCCTATCCTCATTACCCATATAAGGGATCGGTACCTGCCAGTCTGCTTTTGGCTGTGATTGAACGAATCCTGACCTTGACCAACCTCGGCTCTTCATCTCTGATTTCTTGCAGAATTGGATACCGTTGGGACTGAAAGGTCTACTATCTGATTTCCAAGAGGCACATAATGCAGGGGAAGAGAATTGAAGAAGCGTGGAGAATCTATTGGTATCATACGTGAATGTACAGCAAGACAGCGACAAGACCAAGAAAAGAAACATCGGACAGAAGCACAACGACTCAGAAGAAGAAAAGAAAAGAAAACACACCGAAAAACAGACAAGAAAGGCGAAGGAATCGAGCGCACCAGGTCCAGCCCGGCTCTCGCTTCTCACACTCGCCGAGCCATCTCCCACCACCAAACCTGCAGCCAGACCAGACCACCAACCAGACCACCAACCAGACCGACGCCCACCAAGGAACCCTCAATCCCCGGAATCAGAGACCTGTTTGACAGGTCGCGAGTACTCCTTGTCCCTCCACCGAGACGGGAAAATCCACTTCCCTCCTGGGGGACGGCGACGAACCAAGCCGGGGTTGGCACAGCCCACTTGGTCGGCTTCTTCTTCCTCGTCGTCCTTCAAGAGCGCCTTGAGCTGCCCATTAGCGACGAGCTGCTCAAATTCCGCGTCTGTCATGACGCCGAGCTGGCCCGCAAGACCGGAAGACTCGTCGTCAGACCCGCCAGGACACCCTGTCAAGACCGACCGGCCATTCACCCAGCGGCGACGTTGGACGGGGATACGGTCACATCGCACCGGCTCTGGAAGGGACTGTGAGCCGGCCCCACACGCAGCGACAGGCGAGGGGGATCCTTCTGGCGTGACTGCCCGAGAAGACGAAGGAAGCGAAGGGGCCGTGACCGCAAGATTCGAACCGGAAGACCCAGATTGGAGGTCCTCATCTACCGAGCAGGCGACTTGTGGCTCCTGCGGTGGGATGCAGGTCCCTGGAACCTGCGCCTTCAGCTCACGCCAGTCCGCAATTTGGATCTGGCAGGCGTCGGCAACTGACAGGTCCTCTGACGGAGGCTGACAGAGGGGCTGCATCACCACGGCGAAAAGGGCGTCGGCCACGTCGTCCGTGCTGCATCGATAGTGGCGGGCGAAGTCGGCAAGAGGGAAGGTCTGTCGAATGGCTGTTGCCATGCCCAGGAAGAACGTGTCCGTGTATGGACATGGCGAGGCGGTAGGGGCGGGGACGGGGACATCGGAAGAGGAATTGACTTTGGTCTTCTTTGATGCTGACCCGGAAGAAAAAGAGGAGAAAGAGGCACCATCGGTTGGTCGTTTGCGCTTGGTACCGCTCGTACCAGAGGCGCCGGAGGAGGAAAGGGGTGAGGAGGAGGGACAGTTGTCCTTGTTGGAAGCCATGAAGAAGGTGAGTCGACGGTCAAGGTCGAAGTAAGGTGTGGAGTGAGAGTTGAGTGGCGAGTTGTGAGGTCTTTGTGAGTGCCGAGTGATCTTCGTATGTAGGAAGATCAGCAGGTAGGAGGAGGTGCGCTGTTGGTCAAGAGGACGATCTTCGAAAGAAGTGGGTGGAAGCTCAATATTTATAGCTGTGTCGATCTCAAAGTGCGAACAGGCAGAAGTGCCTGTGCTCTCCAGTCATCCACCAAAAAAGTTTGCTCCATGGCAGTATCGATCACCGCGTGCATTGTTTGTACCTTTCCCAGGCATCAAGCGAACAGTGATTACCCGAAGAGGAAATCCGGGCAGTTTGCCCAGAATGAGCGTGGGAGCCTACGACGGCTCCAGGTCTCCCGTGAGCGCATGATATAGGTAAAGAGACCGAGGAAGTGCGACGGTCTTGTGTTGGAAGGTTCATTATGAGGCAGGGACAGTAAAGTAACCGTCTTATAATGTTTATGCGGTATCACGTCGTTTATTCGGTAGAATCTGTCATGCATCACGGCATCACATCGAAAAGAAGGAAGAACGCCGCAGCCCATTCATAGTACGCAGCCACATGAGTGAAAAGAGGCCTGCTTTGAATGCAAAGACCCGTCAACTGGCTGCATTTCTCGCCTCCAAGGCATGATTTATGTACTAATGATCAGACGAGCTGACCTCACTGCCGACCAGAACTCACTTCTTTGATGACTGAGATTCTGCTCATTTCTGACGATAGCTTAGTTGAGTCTTTGCTTTGTTGCTTTGTTGAAGGTAAGTACTGATCTTGTGCTATGCTGCTCGTAAGGCATATATCATATGCGAATATCTGTTTTTATTCTGACAGAGGTTTTATCTATTTCCACATCATTCGCGGACTCCGATGATGTATAGTATCTCCTTTGCAGGACTGAGGAAGCCATCGGTCGATGTTGGAAATAGACACGACTATTTCGAACACTGTATTACTGATATTACCAGCTATAAAAGATAATATACAATATCTCTGTAGAACGAGCTGTATGGTCAAACTTCCAGGCAGGCAACCCTATTATATTCGTAGCTAGATGCCACTTTTATTACCGGGTCAACAATCTGCTTGATCAGAACTCCTCTAAGTAGCCTAGTCTAGTGCTAAGTATGGACGGTCAAGTTCAAAAAGAGACGTGGTCCATGAGATGAGCCCACACTTACTCACATAGAATTGATAGTTATATTCAGTACCCATGCTCAGACATTTTAGCAAGCCCGTTGATCGTTGAATCGTGGTGTAGATTGTGAATGTCAGCCACCTTTGGATGAGGAAGCCACAAATTCAGTAAGGATCTCCAAAGTCTTGAGAGGTATATAGTTAATTATATAGGCACGCCATAAGTGACCAAGCCAAGAATGGACATGGTGCAGTACCAAAGATTGATAAGATCTTGGGCCCCGCTTGGATCGCTCAAGAACCGGATGACGTCCGTTTTGTAAACGACCGTATTTGTGTCTTGTAGTCTTATCCATACTTTCCGACGGTGTAGACCGCAGAGAGGTACAGGTCTTGCTAAGCAAGTTCCCTCGTTTCTCTTGGCCAGGTCAGATATGAGTCTGATAGAGTACAGCCTCCATGGCGGATTCTTATCATGACCTGTAGTGCTCCAGCTACCGAATACTACTTGTCATTGTAATGTTTACCTCCGTAGCCCGAGTTACCCGACTAGGCCATCCTCGTACTGTAGCCGCGGTCGGCTCAGCCCGAAAGAGTCCGCGGGCTTGAGCGAGCCATTCCGCCGCGTAGCCGAGCACCGTCTCGTGATCGGTACCGGATAGTCTCTACCAGTACTGGTACTACTACCATGCTCAGCTCATATGGTCTAGTAACTCTGGCTTGTGTATAATTTCTGGTCAGTGTCCATGCGAGTCAAGCCCGCTAATATACAGGATATTCCCAAATACGGCAACACTTACGACTGTGGCTAACGGAAGGATGGAGGTCAGGTACAGGGACTTTAGCACAGGCCTCTCTGTTAGTGAGAACTTGGTAAACTTACAGTCTCCGCGGCCTAACGGGCGGAAATAGGCGGTCTGCTCCACTTTTCGTTGAACATCAAGTGGGCCTCCCAAACGTCATCATTCCCTGCTGTCTTCCAGGTTGACCGAGACCTGGACTCCGGAGGACTGATCCCATGTATAATGTTGCTCACGACTCACGAGCGGTCGCTGGCATACGCTTTGGACGGCACCTGTCTCCCTCATTCATAGTCTCATAGTTTCATACTGTCAAACTATGAGCACAAGCAAGTCGTCCTTGACCCCGGGCTCTTCATATCGCATCCCTGGACTAGGTGGATGTATTCTCCACAGGTCGTGCGTCTAGAATTCACAGTTCTAGACACACCCTCAGGTTGTACCAAGCTTTCCTGGACCCATTATGATCCTCATGGGCTCAGCCTTTCCAATGCCCATAATCACAAAGGCGTTCAACGCTGAACAATGCACTCAATATCACGCTCTCGCAGACAGGCACGATAGAAGGCGCCTTGCTTATCGATCACTGTGGACCGAAAGTCACTGCGAGCAATGATAAGATTGACTTTATGTTGACACTCGGACCCGGAGACGCCTCGTTCCGGCAGGCCTTCCGGTGTGCCCTCCACTTCCCATGCGCAGATCGTCATCGACAGCCAAGCAGAAGCCAGTGGAAGACGGGCTGGGAATTCGTCTTTGCGTAGGTGGTACAAGAGAAATCATAGCTTTGACCTCTGATCGCAATAAACGTCGTTGGCCAGGTCATTTTTTCTGTACGTTGTACAGACGACAGACTAGTGGACTACAGACGCATGTAGAGACGGTAGAGTGAATCCAGTAGTAAGCTCAAAGCAGCGATCGTCGTCACTGTCTTCCCAGCAAAATAGAGTGTATTGGCTGAGAGCAGCGCTGGAACCCGACTCCAGCTGACTCATGGATTTTGGCGTGCAGTCCAAGTCCAGCTCGGTCATTTCATGCGACCGTTATGATGTCGTTGCAGTCTGTGACAATAGTAGGGAGTGCCCCCGTTGACCAAAACATCACTCATGGCATGTCATATACTCGACATTCCGTGACTGCGAAGCCGACAATGTTGAGTGATCTTCGTCCGACCCGTCCTGGACATCCGTTTCGTCGTTTCAGAAAAGACTTTACATGTGGCCACCTGAACCAAACCTTTCTCGTCATTAACTTTGCGTTTTCCAAAATTCTCTCCTTGAATTTCTTCCCCACCCTTTTCCCCTTGGGGTCGGCAACTCGCTGGTTTAAGTGTCGGGTACTCGTTCTCCTCCGTCCTCGTACTGCGAAACCCAAGCCTGGAACGTCAGCAAAAGGATTTCCAACTGTGTCGCCCCTCCCCAACTTGGGATCTGCAAGCGCAGACTCACTGGCTGAATAATATCTTACTTAACCTTCGGTTCACACCCCCAAAGTATCCTGAAAGATTGGAACTCCTTTCCCAAATCTCTGCTGCGTTTCACTTTGCCAAGGTACATCCTAAATCCCGTGGTCGTTGCTCTTGCGAAACGGTCAAAACGGTCACTTGACTCGATGGATCCCATCGAGCCTGCAGAGCGCGCGACGGTCCAGCCCCATGTCTCTGATCAGCTCCAGCCGACCGAAGCAACTGCTCCCCATCAGCAACCACAGCGACCACGGGCGCTTTCAAACCGCTCTCGCCGACCGAGTATCCGCCTCAATCGTCTGCCATCAATTCCTTCGATAGACCTGTCGCTCTTCGATCATCCACCGGGCGCTCCGCTGGCCCGGCAAGTCTCCATTCAATCCCCCGTTCAAGAAGAGGATGAGTCTGGCACCGCGGGTCGACGACGAAGCAGTTCGGAGCCTCGACCAGCAACATGGAACTTTCCCTCTCAAAATGGAGCAACTCGAGGGTCGACACGGATGGGGTTCATCACAGAGGAACCGGTGCACTATGATTCCAGGTCGGGCGTGAACCGGCCACCACAGGTTGCCGACCAAGGGCCCGATGAACTCCAACAGCCACCCCAGGTCATTCATCGCGTTCCGTCGCGCAATCCACTTCGACGAGCAAGCATGGCTACATTGAACCGATTTGGATGGAATCGCGCGTCTACCGTAGGCGAGGCGCCATCGTTGCTCGGCCCGGGTGCTCAACAACAGCAACAGCAACAGCAACAACAAAAACCACCACCGGCGCAGGCGCAAGGATCTGGTGAATACGGGTCGCATGTGGTTGATGTACTGGACGTGATCGGTAGGTCTTTCGCATATGACTCGTTGAGTAAAAATTGATTGACAAGGCTAACACTGTGATCTTCTTTATCAGACCCGGAGGTCTCTGCTTTGTCGACTCTGACGAACGTTCAAAACTCGCTCTTCATTCCCAACCTGGGAGGCTTCATCAATCGCATGCCCACATACCAAATCTCACGAGCGCCTCCGTCCGACGAAGAACAGGGCGCGACGTCCGCAGACGAGGCGGAATCGATCCAGAGGGGGCCGAAGCCGGACCGGCCCAGGTTAGATCAATTGCAACCATTCTCCAGCATGTCATCTATTGTCGAAGGTCCGCGGTATGCCGTTCTACCTGATGGCCATGAGCTCGAGGGCTGGACTCGAGAGGACTTTGCCGAATTGAACGACCACGTCCGACACATGCTCCACTCGCGCCGCTCTAAATTCAAGCGGTCCATGAAGGGATTCGGACAGTATGTGCGAAGACGTAAGTATTGGGCTCGCATCATGCGATACGGACGAGTCTGAGACTAACATTGACTTCTAGCGCTTGGGTTTCTCGTCACCCTCTACGCGACACTCATCACGCTGTTCGGTCTTGCCTGGGTGCTATTCTTGATCGGTATGTAAAATAGCTTTGATGGAAAAGTTCTACTGTATCCAATCAAAATCCCACTAACACTATCTAGGGTGGATCAACGTTGGAGGAAAACAACTCTACGTCATCAATGTCATTGACAATGTTCTTGTGGCTTTGTTTGCTATCATGGGTGACGGCCTGGCTCCGTTCCGAGCCGTCGACACTTATCACATGATCTATATCGCACACTACACGATGCTGACTTGGAAGATTCGAGAGAAGCGCAATCTTCCTAATCTCAAGGACAAGAATGATCTGCCTGCACAGCACGAAAACGATGCCGAGACTGAGGGTGAATTGAGCGAGCCCAAGAAGGAAGAAGAAGTCGAATATACCGTACTAGATGCCCGCCAGCAAGAGCGGCTCATGCATCACCAGGCCAAGTTTGCCAAGTCGCATACCTTTTACAAGCCCCACGAGACCGTCACTCATCACGCTTTCCCTCTGCGCATTCTTATCGCCATTGTTACTCTCCTCGACTGCCATTCCCTGTTACAGATGGCTTTGGGCGCATGTACCTGGAGTATGGAAACTCCGGGTGAGCGACCTTTTGCATTGACCACGGTCATTCTGTGCTGCTCGATCACTTGCAACATTAGTGGCGGTATTTTGATCATGATTGGTGATCGACGCACGCGCAAGAAGGATGTGGTCGAGCGCCTGTTCCGCCAGGAGTTGACCGAAGAAGCAATGAAGAAAATGGAGAAACGTAAAGTCAAGGAAGAGGAAGAGCGGAAGAGCATGCAACTGCCCAACGAGGAGCGCAAAAGTATGCAGTCTCCTCGGACCGAACGCAACAGCATGCAAGCAACTCGATACGAAAACCAAAACACCACGATCCCGCCGGACGGGCGATCAGGCCAGACAGCTGCTCAAAGCCAGGGGCCCGTCCATCATGAACCTATCAGTCCGATCGAGGAGCGCCCTGACCCTTTCAGTAGGGTATGAACACGCGAGCTTTGCTATATCAAATGACCCCCGCGATCGTTGCTTCTCTTGAGTCCTGGCCGTCCTGGACCTCACCTTCTTGCACATAATAGATCTAGAGCCTTTCCCGTCGCACTTTGTTTTGTTTGTCTCACGCGACACATGATACCAGCCTCGCAATTCTCACGACTTTGAACATTGCTTTTGGTTTTGTGTTTTTGTCATTGTGCTTTTCCATTTCTCTTCTAGCGACTCCAACACATGTTGGTAGGCCTGGCCTTCACTCCGATGTGAACTTCTCATCGGCTTGGCTGTACTACTTTGCTTGTCCCATAGTTTTCCATCCGTGATACCTGTGACTCGTTCGATCTGGGGGGCCGTGTACCCCGTGAGCTAATCGAGTAATTCATCTTTCTCCCACATATCCCTACTACACAAAGTGATTTTTACCTAGTCCTGGCCTTTTCAGGCTTTCGTATCAGACCTATCTCGTAGAACACAGCATCATGGGTGATCTCTCCTCCTGCAAAGCCGGGTCAAACCCATTGACTACATGTCGCTATGCCCAGTGGCCATGGTGTCAGGTTCGTACGTGAGAGTCGCTACATCCAATGTAGTTGATTTGATCTGGACGGGGTTACCGGAGGCAACCTCCACTAAGTGGTGAATGAGCGGTCATTTGTCCGGCATTAGCCATCTCGGTAGCATCTTTCGAGCGAGACGTTCCTGCGTGTGGATTCCACCACTGGACACGACCAAGGCAGGTCTTTCTGTATTCTTTTCCCCCACTATTCATATCTTGGCGTATGTCTCTGACCTTATGGCTGACTAAAACTGAACAGCGATGGGTCTTCACAAATGGCTCTTACGTGTAAGAGTATATTGTCCAGGTGGGTAACCTCATCAATGACATGCATTATACACATTTGGAATCTAGTCGTGCCTGGGGTAGCTTATCCGGTCCACAAGAAATATAAAACTAGCCGACCCGCTCACATTGATTTGGAACACCCATAGTTCGGACCAGTACCTGCCTAACTGAGGGTTGCGGCTCAAGATCTGGAAGTGATTGCATACCCTCGTGTCCTCTAGCAGAGTCTTGTATTCTCATATCCGGCACAAATCTGTTTCTAAACCAAAAAGAATGAATAGGTAAAAGTTCCACATGTAAAATGGATATCCTCCAGGCTGTCCTGGGCCATGATGATCCAGTACACCTACTTGATTGTGACCTAATGTTGGTCCTTGACTCAATATGTGAAAGCGGCCTCCAGGATTCCTGGAATATATAACTGTCTGCCCGAAGGTTACTAGCCTGTATCAAGCTTGAGAATCACAATAAACCTACTGAGATTGGAAAATGTCTACCTATGGACACCACGCAGTTTTCACTCACAAGGTGCCACCCGCTGTCATCTGACTACGTAGGTTACAGGTATGAACAGGCTAGTTAATCCATGCCCGTCCTCGGGACCGAAGCGTGAACAAAATTGTGTCGAGTAGACAGGATCAAGCACAGGTAAATGACCGAGATGCCTTGAATCCTGTCCAAGAAGTCTATGTGAAATCAGCCAAGCAATTCAGACTTCATAGAAGGAGTCACATGCGCCCCGGCCCAAGGGCAGATGCACAGGTGGCTCACTAGATGGTTGCTACACAACAATACGGTAACTATGAAGAGAATGCGATTCGAAGAGTATGTGATCCTCTGGACCATTGTCATTATCTCCAACTGATATTGCAGAGGACCTTGCTGCACTCATGCAGGACGCAGTCGCTCGGCTCTCGTTCTGCCCGTTACTCTATCAACGGACCACGGTCTTGTTGATCACTGCTTAACAAGGGGCACCGAACACGCCCTGCAATCTAATGGTGGCCCCCGTAATTTTGAGAGAGGAAGAGAGAGAGAGAGAGAGAGAGAGAGTGATAACTCCCGGGCTCTGCTCCCAGCAGCATTGTCTCACAACTCTCATGCCCCAGATGCCTCCAAATTGCTCACTACTGAGTCTGAACATGGGGATGAGGCCTCCCGAAGTTCCACTCTCAGCGGGTCAAGTTAACATCTTCCAACGGCTCGACATTCAACATTGCCGCTAACAACGCCGCGACTTTGATTGCAATGAGGTCGAGACATTCGAAAATATTCGAGCCTTGATGGGGTGGATCATGCCGTTGACGATCCATGCAGCCTATTTGGTGGCCGATCATCACATTTCACCGAGCAATGTGGCTGGTATTTGAATATCCTGTTTTGGCGATTAAGTTGCGGAGCTTAAGAGCTGGCAAAGATCGACAGGGGCGGATCTGCCCGAGCCTGAACGATGCGAAAGCTCGGGCCGAGTGAAGCTCCTCTCCAGTTCAGTTGGCAGTGCAGAGGCGTTGCAGCAACGGCGACTGTTCACTTCTACAAAGCCCACGACTCCACAGTTCCACAGAAGCCACAGATTCCACAGACTCGATGCACGTATCTGGATCAAAGCCCGTCGGTCCCCACTCTTCATGCACATTTCGAGGCCTTTAGTTTTTATCAATCTTGATGGACTCCTAGTATCCGACTGGATCTATGCCACGGAGAGGGTCTTTAGGGGTGGTCGTGAGCTCCCTTGAGGATTCATTGCGGCTCCGCGCTGGAGCTTCAACTCAACATGCTCAATCCTAGATCGCAACATTACTAGTCAAACAAACCGCGGAAGGCCAAAAGCCTGCGTGGCGTGGATCAAAGCAATGATCCTTTGTACTCTGCAGTGATTTACCACCGCCCGGTCACTCGATGCTTGCATCCAGCGCTTGCAAGTGGATATTGACATGGCAAATGCTGCATGTTCGAATCAATTAGCCAAGACAAGATCGACAGCGCGTGCTCTACACCGTCATCTGCAGCGGACCCTGGAACTAGTCTTGGGGTGCAGGTCACTGGCTTCGTTAGTGGACACTCAACATTGCAAGGCTGGGCCAAATGTCTCGGATACCATGAACTCGCTGGAATGCAGGGCCCTGGAAAGCTCTGCTCAGGGGCAGGGGCGTTGTGATTGCACCAAAATGTTCCTCTGATTCTTGGCCAGGCCGTACAATCAATCCCCTTGCAAGCGCCCAGGCTTGGAAGTGAGCTTATCCTGGCCGCGCCCTTGCTTCAGGCATTCCAGCCGCAGAGATGGAGGGCTTGTTGAGAGTCACCATGAGAGAGAAACAACATATGGACCCGACTCAACACAGTCGGGTCCTCAAGAAGATAAAAGGCAGGCCGTGGAAGCGCCAAGGTCAGTTCTTCATCTCAGATCATTCTCTTCTCTCTCACTATCACTTCCATCTTCCTTCCAATCTCTCATCTCTATTACCGTTTTCTATCAAAAGAATAATCTTTAATTTCTTCTACACCCATCAAAATGCAGTTCACCACCAGCTCCATCTTCCTCGGCCTCGCTGCCCTCGCTGTCGCTCTCCCTGCCGACCAGTCCACCAGCGCCAACGGCCTTCGCGCCCAGAATGACAGCGATGTCCGCTGGCACGTTCCCTCCAGCATGACCGTTCAGGAGGCCCAGGCGAAGTGCGGTGACCAGGCTCAGCTGTCCTGCTGCAACAAGGCCACCTACGCCGGTGACACCACCGACGTCAACTCTGGCATTGGTGGCGGTCTGCTCTCCAACCTGATCGGTTCCGGCTCTGGCGCCGAGGGTGCTGGTCTCTTCGAGCAGTGCTCCAAGCTCGATGCTCAGATCCCCATCCTGATCGCCGTCCCCATCCAGGATCTGATCAACCAGAAGTGCAAGCAGAACATAGCTTGCTGCGCCAACAGCCCTGGCAACGCCGTATGTGCTTTCCATCGTCCATCTCTCAGCTTTCGTGGCAATACTGACCTTCTTCTCTCCCACAGAGCAACGACCTCGTCGGCGCCGCTCTTCCTTGCGTTGCTCTCGGCTCCGTTCTGTAAACGGGTTTCTTCGTTTCTCCCCTGTCGGATTGGGATTCGTGTCTATCTCAGTACTTCCTTTCCCCGATCTTTCTTTCTTAATAGCTGGTTCTCTTATGGCTATGTACCATTGAGCTTGTATCTATTCTTCTAATCAATGAATCTGTGAGGATATTAAAAGTCCACCCCTACTTGGCTTTCTTTGTAATGCATGGCCATTTCTCTTGTTGTAACCACCTGGCCGTATGGCATCTGTCGTATTATTATTTGGAAGCTGTAAAGTCCTGTTGTTTTTGGATTATCTGTCGATGTACTCCATATGTTCCTCCCTCTGGGCAATGACCCCGCGTCGCGACAACAATTCTCGGAGCAGCGTTTCTTGGGACCGTTCACCCATGAGCTTATTCCAAAAGACCACTGTCAACTACAATCCTGACACCACGGCAGTCGGAGATTGAATTATTACCAATTCTCTTCCCCTATGTCAAGTATTTCTCAATTTCCCACAGGGCCTGACTCAGGCATGCAAAAATCACTCCCCGTAGTGCAACGTCCATATCTACTGCTTCTGCAACCACTCCTCAATTGACTTGAGGTCTGCGCCCCGGACACGCTGCACTTCCTGTCCGTCCTTCATCATCACAAAAGTAGGCATCGCAGTGACATTGAATTGCTGCGCCGTCCCACGCATCTTGTCAACATCCACCTGCAGGAAGCGAATCTTCTCGTACTTTTCGCTGAACTCGCCAATCTTGGGAGCCACTGCCTTGCACGGTCCACACCAGGTGGCGTAGAAATCCACGAGCACAGGGCCGGACGAGACAAGGGCCTTGAAGATGACCTCGCTGTATGCGCAAAATGAGAACATTAGCAATTGGTCCATGATTGTCGGATTGTGCTGGCTTTGCTTGGTGAGCTTGCTTGGGAGGTCGACTTACTTGTCAATGTTGGAGACCTTTCCGTGAGACATGATGGGTGTCGAGGCGGCGCTTCGGGCCTGGTAGATGCGGAAAGCTACACCGAGACCACGTCATTCAGCCGTGCCCTTGCTATGATATTGTAGAAAGCATCCTTTGCAGAGCATGTTCTCTGCGACATGGCACAAAATCGCACTTGGACTTACCGATGAAAACCGCAGCGAGGATGAGCAAAGTGGACAGCTCCATGGTGGGTTGCTTCGGGGAAGAAATGCGGGTGAATGTGGAGTCCGATGAGGCGATATCGCACGTGATTACGCAATTAGCAAGTATACACCATTAACTTACCCAACACACACTACACAGTTTGAAGAGCAGCAACATCACAGCCTCATCATCCTCTGGGTTCCGCTGATTTCCACGGAGACTCGATAAGACTGATGTCGCCTTTCTCGCTTGATAAATTGTCAGGGATCATGAGCAACTTTCGCCTTGAGATCAAGGCCTATTGCTTGCTTCTCGCCTTTCCATAATCTAATGGCTTGATTGGCACTCCCGGAATGAACTCATCAGTCGAATCCAGAGAGCCATTGAGGACCGATCACGTGTGGAAATGTGTTCATATGGCGAAGCTACGTCAAGAATCATGCGTCACTCTGGTCACGTAGATCTACAGGAAGCCAATCTTCCCACTATGGTTCAATGCCGAAATTGCTCAACAGGAGTGACACCGAAGGTACCGCTCATACAACGACCAAGCTTCGTAGACGCCAATGAACTCTTCAACATCTGCCGATCTGGCCGGGGAGTACGCATGAAAAAGCTCAAATCGAAGAGATCAAGAAAGAGCTGCGAGACTAACCACGACTGCAGTGACTGTGTGGATTAGTCCTGGAGCAAAGATTGGTCAGCTCTGAAGGGTGAACATTCTTGGTGATGAAGCGGATATGCGCGGCTTTTGAGGTATGCTAAGTGACACTGGAAAGGTACGATGGGCCTGACTGACGTTTGGAAGGTACTATAACAGCAGACTCACTGTCGTACCGCTCCAAGCTTGCGCGACAGACACGGTTTCGCCAGCCTCAGCATATCACCTATCATCACACGCTTCACTTCTCCAAGTATCGTTTCACATCTTCGGGCTCTACCTTACATCCTCAAGCTTGGCCTCTTCGAAAATGAAGGGTCTGAAGACAGATCCTGAGAAGCATTCCGTGGTTCAACCTGAGGAGTTCAACGACCCTTCCTCAGTGGAAAATGCCAGTAACGCAAATTCAGTCACCAACATGCTTCGGGTCTCGCTCTGGGTAGCTTTTGCAGCATGGCACACCACTTTTGATGAAGGCTTTTCAGGCACTGTGTTGATCATGCCGTCATATCAGAAAGCCTTTGGAACCTGCCACCAGGAGTTGGATTCGACTTCAGGCCGCATCACTGAGGTGTGCTCACTCACGCCGCTGCAACAATCCCTCATCAGCTTGAACTATTTATTCATTGGGGTCGGAGGCGCTCTTTCAGCTTTGACGGGAAGATACACTGGTCGTCGTGGATCCATTCAGATCGGGTCTTTGCTTGCAGTTGTTGGGGCAGCTGGAATGCTGGGAACCGGTGATGGCTCGCGGCGCACCTTCTTGCACTTCATGGTGTGCAAGTGTGTCGGTGCACTTGGACTGGGACAGCTTATCTCTGCTTCTCTGGCGTATGGCTCAGAGTGCATTGTTGCCAGCAAGCGTGGGCTCGCACTAGGAATCTATAATGTTGGTCTGGCGCTTGGCAATCTTTCGGCAGCTGCAGTCTGTGCAGGATCTGCACGCCTAGAGCCAGACAACAACTGGCAGTGGAAGATTCCAATTCTAGCCCAGATTCCACTAGGCATCATCCTCGGCGCTGGGATCCTTACGCTTCCGGAATCCCCTCGGTGGATCTTGAACGACAACGAGAATAGGGAAAAAGATGCTCGCAGGGCCTTTAGTCTGTTGTATCGAATCCCGGCCAACTCGCCTGAGATCACGTCTCAGATCAATGAGGTGAAAGCACACATCAAAGCTGAACGAGCAAACTTCGCTGCGTCGACATGGTACGAGATCTACTCAAAGCCCCATCTTCGTCGAACGTGGACTTCCGCTCTCATTATGATTGGTCTTTCCATCACCGGTATCCAATTCGTCCAGCCATATGCAGCACTATTTCTCAAGGGTGTTGGGATCCATGATCCATATCTCATCAATGTGATCATAGCGCTTTGCATTCTCGGTGGAGCTGCCCTTGGTCCCTTCATCGTGGAATATGCGGGACGTCGATTTGCCATCCTCTCCGGATACAGTGCCATGGCAGTCTGCATGCTCATCTTCTCTGCGATCAGCAGTGCTCTCGGATCAGGCGAGGTCTCCAAGATTGTTGTGGTGGTCTTCCTTTGCCTGTGGTCTTTCGTATTTGGTGGAACCATCGCACCAAGTGCAGGCCTCGCCGCTGTCGAGATGCACAGCGTGAGGCTTCGAACGTATGGTCAAGCGCATACCACCAGTCTTTATGGAATCTTCTCGTTTGGGGCTATGTTCTGGACGCCCTACATGCTGGACGTGAATTATGGGAACATGGGTCCCAATGTCGGCTATTTCTACGCAGCAGTTACCGTGTTCATCGGGGTGTTGGCCTACTTGTTGGTTCCCGAGACTGCTGGTCTAACCTTGGAGCAGATTGACGATATCTTCAACTCTGCCGTTCGACCATGGAAGACTTCGATGAGCAGAAACAAGGCTATCATTCGGGCCAAGACGGAGCAGCTATCAGTGGAAAGTGGTTCCAACCTAGGGATGGAGCTGTCTGGATCATCGATCTGATAGGTTCGATGCCATCTTACTTGTTCATAGTCAGCCTGCCATGTAGTCTTTAGCTGGACGCGCACCCTTGTCGGTTACCTGTATACGAGCTATTGATGTCATGCACCATGTGGAATTCGAACCATCTTCGCCTTTGACTCGGAATTACATCAGTTTAGTATGAATTCTGCAATTTGCTGTGTAAGCACAGCTAAAGCTAACTACCTAGTCATCCAATTCAAGGGCAACTGAGTATTTGTCAAGAATTTGCATGTTTCCAATATTTACTTGAAAAATCTTTCGCGCTGATCTACATACGGACGGAGAACAAGACAAGAACGACCAAGAAAAAGAACTTAGACTAGGAAATGCACGCGAATCAAGGTCGCAGACAGACGGGTGACGGTAAGAAAGGCAATGATTGATGCTTATGCAAAGCAATTGAGCCGTGAATTGAAAGTTCAAGTGTTGGCAAGTGTGGGTATAAGGAATGAAAGTCAGTGGATACAATACAGATGACGCAAAGGAAATGCTTTTGGGGAAGCGAGTGCTCGTTGTGACTGCCAGCAGACGCCAACGAGAGATGGATGGGTTAGAAAGAGTTGTTGAAGGAAAGTGATGTAAGAGGCAACAAAAGATTTGCAGAAAATGAGAGGCCGCCGTTTGGTGAGAAGGTGTTTCTTTGCACTTCATACGCGCAGCATCCTTACAGCTCGCTTTGAAGTGGCTCACTAGCGGACACGCGTTCAGCTTTGCGATTACTCATCATTTGCTCAAGGACGTCAAGTCTCTGACGAGTCGTCCGAATCGCGTGATCCATTTCTCGGTCAGAGACCTGTTCATCTCGAATGCGAGAAATCAGATCACGCTCGGCCGAAGGACTGATGCGAAAGCTCTTGCGACCAGTCTGGTTATCGGGATCACGGTTGGAAACCACTGGGAATGTCATGCCATCCATACCCACCCGATCCTCCAGCCAGTTCCACAGCTCACTCTCTTCCCGGTGCCACATTTCCTCGTAAGCAGCGAGCCTTTGAGGAAGACTCAGTCCAGAGAAGCCAGCATCATGGCCTTGTCTTGTGGATGAGAAGGGCGCCCGGAAAAAGACCAGGTACAGCAGAAGTACCACAATCAGAATTGCCACATTAGCAGTCCATTGGGGCTGAGCTATGCCCCAGATCTTGTTCTGGCTCGGTGCCGAGTCCACCGCATGCTTTGAGTCAGCGCTCGCGGCACTCTCGCTGGGCGCTGAACCACCCTTCTTACGTCGACCCTTGCCCTTCGTGGCACCGTTGGTTCGACCTCGCGGTACAACTGCGACCTTGAGGGTCTTCAAGAGCTCAGTACCGAAAGAGGTCTGGCCATCGATGGCTCCCTTCTCGATGGGGCCTTTCAGCCAGCTCTTTCCTGTCCATTCAATTGTACATGTCATCAAGAAGCGTGTCTGATTATTAGGAGCCCAGGTGAAGAGGTATTTGGTTTTAGTTGCGAAAACATTTCCGCTAGGTACGTCTGGTGTCTGAGTGCTCAGGGTCACAAGAACGGCCTTCTCCAGATCCAAGAAATCCAGCGTTTCTGTGCTGATACACTTGGTTTGTTTGGGACCGATGGAACCAGAGAGAGGCTTGATATACGAGTATTTGCGGGTTCGGCTGTCGTTGCTCAGTCCCTTGGAAGTGCCTTCAAAATTCAATTCGCCAGATTTTTGATTGTCGACAAGGAATTTAGTCATGAAGTCTCCGGATGCAGGCCCGAAAACAAGCGTGTAAACCTTCCCTAGCGGAGCGGGAATGACCTCGTCCTTGATGACTTTTTCATACTGGCCATCAGGTTCGGTGTATTCGGTAGGAGCGTGCGTTGCTGGTCCGGGGAAATCCGATTCTTTCGACGCCGCAGGCTTTTCACCGTTCTTAGCATCTGTGTTTCCATTCGATGCAGTAGCAGGAGCAGGTGAAGTGGCTAGGTTGCCAGAGGCTTGACGACTTAAACCCCCACGACCGATCAAGGACCTCTCGCTTGCATTGGCGCTGGCACCAGCTTCGAAAAAGTTGTCCGCCATGTCACCTTCCTCATCCTCATCATACACCTCATCTTCATCAGACTCCTCGCTTTCCGAGTCGGCCTCCCCGACCTTCTCCGTCTTATCGCCAGTACCATCGGTTACTCGCGTACCATTCACCGAGCTCTTGAGGGAGGGATGGTTGATTTTCCAGATGTTGACCATCAGATCGTAGGTCGACTCCCGACTTAGTAAACTGCGGAATGTATGACGAGCATGGAGAGTTTGAATCGCAATTGCGTTGGGGAATACCATGGCAGTGTTCTCTTTTTCAACGGCAACTATCTCATCGAAGCTGATGACAAGCGTAGTCACCCAGCCAAGAATATTGCTCGAGAAACAGATGTGGCCCTCGGAGATGTAGATCCGGCCGGCCAGAATGATTTCACGCTGAAGTGCACAACTGTAATCTTCGATCAAGAAATCATCTTCAGGCACACTTCGGAACAATTGATGAAAGTCCCTGTTCCGTTTTTTACTAGCGACAGCAAAGCCCGTAAGCCGGTGTACACTGGCATTGGCCCCCGGGACCCCAAGCGCCAAAGCACTGGCCCCGATTGCGCCGATAGTTGAGGCAGTTGCACCAGAGGAACCCCGGTGGCGGCGTGCAAGGCGGCTACGCACACTCCCAGTTCTCCTAACGCTGCCGCTGCCAATATCGCCATCGACGACGCTGCCGCTCGGAGGTGTTTGATCACCTGCGAATGCACTTTCCCTTGACAAAGATACGGTGGATTGGACATCTAACGTATCATCACTTGGGGAGCCTACCACGGAAGATTCAGGTTTTTCATACGCCTGGTGCACGGCGCGGGCTGCTCGCTGATGTTCCAGTCGCGCCGCCTCTTCGTCGCGCTCACTCATAGTCGGTTTCCTGCGCCGATTTGCGGAACGACTTTGCTTCGAGGTGACGCCTCCATCTGCGCCCAAGATTCCTTCTCCGCTGGCATTTTCGATGCCTAGGTGGCTGAAGTTCAGGTTCCCAGAACCCAGCGTCTCGACGGTAGTCGGCTGCTGTTCCTCCCCTTTGTTGGTGTGATCTGACGGTTCGTTGTTCTCTTGAGAATTCGAATTGTCTGCCTTCTGGTTGGCAGCAGGGGTATTCGTGCGGCTCTTTTGTTGCGAGTTCAGAGTGTTGCTCAATGACGTGGCTGCGTTTTGAGCTACCGAGAAAACGGACGAAAAGAACCCGCCTTGCCCGCCTTGCGGACCCGACCCTACTTTGGGTGTTTTGGCTTCTTCAAGTGGACTCAGCGCGGTCACAGAGGTGGATAACTTGCTAGGGACATGAGCGGCCGAGGCTGAACGTGCCCTGCGATGAGAAATCATGGTGCCAGAAGGGCTTACGGTGATGCCAGGCTCGGGCCCTGACATAGAAGCCCGGGACTTGATGGACTCTGGGGAATCGGTCATGACATTCGATATTAATGTGGGATTGAGGGGACGATGGTCCGTAGGTGTCGGAGGCGTGATAGTGGTCTCGGGTGCAGGAACTGCAGTGTGGGGCGGAGTTTTGGGCAGGGGGCTTGCTTGTAATGTTCTTTCGCGAGGCTGCTCATCGACGAGATCTGTCCGAATGGGTTGAGGTAGTGGCGGAGGAACGTCTGATGCGTTTGAAGCGCGCTTGGCGGAAAGGCTGCTCCGGCGACTGTTGAACAAGCTTCGACCGCTTTTGCTGCTTCCAGACTTCACGGACGCGTCGTCCTTGGAATTTGAATTTTTCGTATCGGAAGTGCCTAGCGCCTCCTTGATTCGTCTTCCTGGCGAGGAACTGCGGCGCTTACTGCTCGCATCAGCCGGAACGTCCAGGTTCATGCTTGACCGGGTGCCGCGTCTCGAAGAGTGTTCTCCTGCGTGAACCAGCGTGGGTTCAGATTCGGCACCACTCACACCGCTGACAGCAGAGCCGGGATTGATCTGGTCTGTTGTTGTGTTGTCAGCGTCGACAGGGGCGGCTTTGATAAGCGGGGAGGATAGGGTGTAGAAGCCCGTATGGGAGTTGCGTGAGGTAAGTGGCGGGGTCCTAATGTCGCCGAATTGCACTTAGTCCAAATGATCTCGAGCTGGCGTCAAAAGACGATTGACAAACTTACCTCTCAGGCTCAGAATCGTCGGTCAAGAGATTGATGCCGTCAGTCTCTGGGAAAGCAGAGCTGGTATTCGATGACTGGACGCCGGAGGCGCTGCTGCGCGAGTCGTTGGACTGGCTTTGACTCAGGCGATGTTCGAGGGCAATTTCTGGAATAGAGGTCGCATCGCCTTGGAGCTCGTCACTGTGCTTCTTGTTCTTTTTCTTTCTTCGAGAGCTGATGAGTTTCGAGAATCCGCCGAGGCCGGTCTTTGCGGAGTCGGCAGCGTCGCCTCCTTGACTTTTAGGCCGCTCGGAGGATTCGATAGAGGACCGATCCATGCTGCGGCTCGTACGGTCCATTGCGTCGGAATTGGCTGCCATGGTCCAGGCCCGGAGAGGTCTGTTGTTGGCCTCTCCCAGGCTGGACGACGCAGAGTCGCCCATGCTGCCAGGGTGCGGAGGATAAATCGCGCGTTGAGCTAGGCAGGCAGACCAGCTGAATATTGTACGTCAGCTTTTTGCATCAACTCAGCGTATCGTTCCCAGAGAGTCTTCGCCTCGATTCGCAGAATGGCTAGTGAAAAGAGCCGGACGGGGGCCACATTGAAAAGAAACAGGTTGAGGGTAATGAAGACTGAAAACGACGGAGGCTGCTCTGGTGCTCTATCTGCAACGTGGGGGAACTCAGCTCCCAAGTTCTGGACTCTCCGGCAGTCAGCCACTTTTGTCAGGTGTCATCGAATACGATTACGTAGTGACACCCGAAGCTGCTGCTCTCGTCAACTGGAGTTCTACTTGGCATTACGGTGTAACAGTACTAGATTAAGAAACCAGTATGGTATTGTAACATCTCTCTGGATATCCAATATTCAATGGTGAGTATTGGATATCGAATGTGTCATATTGGGTAGCGACGATTTTAAGCAATAAGCACCGACGCACTGAGTAACTATTGACTATTGAGTAACGACATACGTATGTATATTATTATTCATTAAATAAGTATGTGATTACATACAATTACACAGGGCCGTTAAAGCGCTTTTTATCCACTGTAACCTTTTAAGTCTACTCAAGTCAGTCAGCACGCTTACTTTAGGTATTCTTTGACCTTGCGCCAGTCTATTGCTAGCATATTCATCATATAATACTTGATCAATGATTATATTTAGTAAGAGGCTCGAGGAAAAATCCGTAAAGAACGTATGGACTCGTAGTATCGTCCTCGTAGCAACTTAGTGACTTGGCAAGTCTGCCGCGGCACGATTCGACAGTCTCACTCTCCATTGACTCCACCGCTCAGAATGCCGATGTAAAGTGCTGCGTCCGGTGGTCCACAAATCCAGCATTTGGTAGATCGGGACTAATTGTGCATTCAAGAAAAAGAAGTCTGGATCTAGACCTTCTAAATTCAGTCTAGGACATCGATGGAACAAGAAGAGCTGGGTTCCATTGGTAAATTGGAAATGGCCATGAACGGTCTTGAACATCGCAAGACTTTGAAGATGGGAGGGCTCCAGGCTGCCCATTCTAGACTCTCATGTGCTGTATTCAGTATTGTATCGGTGTATGCGCACTGTAACGTATATTACAGCTCTCCGCAATCCGCATTAGCCTCAACTTCCGTGTTCGCCTAAATGGCGTCATTCGTTCTTTCTCTTCGCCAACCTCCACCCCCCACCGGCTTTGGCTTCCTTGCAGAGCTTGAAAGGCAAGAAACGTGCAACGCGGTACCAGTAGCTATATGCGCCACACCCAATCTCCAGCTCAGCGATGGAAGTTGCTCCGTTGACGTTGGTATGGTCGAATTGATAGCCCCACACTCTGACCTGGCGTCGGCCAGCTCACTGACGATATTCAGGCCCACACCCATGCGCGGAGTGCAGTCTTAGAGACTCGTAAATCGAACCCCGTCGCCGCAAGTGAGGAGCACGATCTGGCCGCGGGCGAATTCGCCACTGCAGCCCAAAGTACATCTGACTTGGAGGTAAATTTGTATTCCATATAGTCAAAGCGGATTAGGCAGTAGGCACTGACCATGTTAACAGGCCCTCCGTACTCTACGGCTTCTTGAGCAACATCACAAGCAGCTCGCCGAACTCCTGAGATTTCAGCATGAACATCCTTCAGGTCATCCCGAAGGTTCATCCTCCAATGCCGCAGTGAGCGCTTCCGAACAAAGTGCCACACCAGAGACGCGAGGCGGCAAATCTTCAGGGCACGATGCCTTCAATCACCTTCCCAGATTGCCGGGAAACCCTCGTATACCTGGCCGGGAATCATCGTCCATTGCCAGCAACTTGGCATCAGCCCGAGGTATTCCGGCGCAACCTCGGCGTGGATCGCCTGTGTCCCCCAGCTTGTCTACACAGCAAGCCGGCGCAAGAATGGCTGATGGTCCGTCGAAAGGGCGATCAAGCGATGTGAAGTCAAGAGATATTCGCACGAACCGACAGCCGTGGACACCTCCTTTGCCCAGTCCAACTGAGATTGTTTCTCAAGAGGTCGTACCCTCGGGCAGAGCTGAGTCAACTGCACTCGCCCCCAAACAGCCAGCTACGGAGGATTCTTTCCAGCGGTTTTATTCTACATTTGAGGGGCTGATTTCGAGGATCTCAGCACCACTTGCATTTGCCGGGCTTCCTTTGGGCTCCGAAGACACTACCAGGGCTGTGGCGTCTAATCGTAAAGCTCCGGCAGATACCAAGCTCGACCGTCTTTCCGCCCATTCGGATCGAAGCAGCGGTCTCAAAGAGCCTGATGTGAATAGACTGTTCTCCCGGGCGGCATTACGCTCAATCCACGATATGTCTGGTAGTGGCCCTGGCAAGCCTGCTGAATCTTTCTATGTGGTCCCCACTACGGGAGGGACCATGTCATACGCTGGGATCCTGACCAGAGCTGAGAAAGATGCTGGTCGGAATAGCTTCGAGGAAACAGAAGAAGACTTTGTTGACGCACGAGAAACCCCCTCATCTCCAGAATTGCGACAGAGCACCGGAGTAGCCTCGAGGACGCCACGCAGAGGAGGTTCCGACAAACTCGCGCGTCTGCAGAATTCCAAGACCCTGGAGGAGCTCCAAATGGAAAATGCGGCTCTCAAACAGCTCTCTGATACTCTCTCAAAGCGGCTCCACATGTGGGAAGTCAATGCGCAATCTTCCTCTATGGCTCTGCAACAGTCTTTAAGGGCGATGCATCATCATAACGCCGGATCTCTGGAATACAACACGCAGCTTTCGCATGCTCCCAGCTCTCCTACTGCGACTCAGACCACCCCTGCCACAAATAAGCCAGACGCAGAGCTTCGGGTCAAAGAGCTCGAGGAACGTCTGCGGCGCGGTGAACAAGAGTTCGATCGGGTTGAGCGAGAAAACGAGAAATTGAACAAAGTACTCGGGCGATACCGTGAGCGTTGGGAGAAATTGAAAGAGGGAGCAAAATCCCGACGTGCGGAAGTTCGACCGACGGACGGGCAAAGTCACCCGGGCACACCAGTCATGGGACATCGAAAATCCGATCATTCAATTCCATTGCAGCCGGAGACCTCGTCGTCTGGTACCGCAGTTCCTAACAGACGATCTTCCGGTGCAGATCTTGCAAGCACTGAGCCATCGGAGGCTTGAGGCCGCGAGTAACGTTTGAGCCCAGCTGTGCGTGGCTGTATTTGGATGACAATCGCCTCGTATTGCTGAGATAAGATGCGCTGGGACCATGGTATCACTCCGGTGCACATCATTAACATGGATTACATACACAGAACAAATAATATCATTATTCCATGGGATTAGAAGTCTTACTTGCGTGCGGACTGGTTCTCGCTAGGCTTGCCAATAGATGTTTCATGAATTCATTCGTATTCGGACTGACTCACCATAGACAAAGCCCTGGTAAGGCAGTCTTCGCCGGCGGATGAGCCAAAGGTAGTGATCGAAGAATTATCGAAGAGTCATGACATGCACGAACAATCTAAAATACCCAAGCCAGGGATTTTGACCTTTCATTGATCTATGCGACATGCATCTATTGATCACTCAAGTACGATGTTATCCTGATTGATCGCCGATTCAGATCATGGTATTTACGTTTCACCCTCATCAAGCAATCTACTGGACGGTAAAAGTCACGTTCCCTCGAATGTCCTCCGAGCTGCTACCGACAAGCACAGTAAAGTTACCTGGCTCAATCACATATTTCATGCGATTGTTCCAGAGTCCAATATCCTTCACCAGGATAGGAATCTTGACGTTCTTAGTCTTACCCGCAGGGATCATGACCTTTTCGAAACCCTTCAGTGCACGGTTGGGAACAACCACTGACGCAATGTCATCAGAGACGTATACCTGGACGACTTCAGTGCCGTCTCGGCTCTTATCGGTGTTGGTGACATCAACGCTTATGGTGACTTTCTCGTCGTGCGCGGAGATTTTGCAGCGGTCGACACTGACAGTTCCATACTGGAAGTTGGAATAGCTCTTGCCGTATCCGAATGGGTACCACGGAAGCGGGCTACCCAGAACATATTGGTGTCCGAACTTGAGGGTTCCGTTCTTGTAGATGTGTCCTGAGTCGCCGATGGAACGACCCGAGTTCAGATAGTCGTAGAAAATTGGGAGATCACCGACATAATGGGGGAAGCTAACGGAGAGCTTGCCGGAGGGGTTGTAATCACCAAAGAGGACATCGGCCAAGGCGTTGCCACCCTCCTCTGACGGGTAGAATTGTTGGACAAGGGCGGATGTCGAGTTGGCAATCCAAGTGTCTGTGATAGGCTTGCCGCTTGAGAGCACAACGATGGTTGGAACGCCTGTGTCTGCAATGGCTTTGATGAGAGGGCCCTGGGCGCCTACTAGCGAGAGATCATCGACATCAACATGCTCGCCGGTCCTGTGGAGAAGTCAGGTATGTGGACCAGAAATGTTGCTTGTTGATGAGATCTTCGTCACTTACGTAGCATTGAGCCCTTGCCAGAGCTGGGTTTGATCCCTTGACCAGGTACCGACGACAACAACGGCCACATCGGATTTTTTGGCCGCGGCAATCGCCTCTGCGAAGCCAGACTGATCGTTGCTCCATCGCTCGCAACCTTGCGCATAGTTTATGTTGGCCTTCGAACCAACGGCTGCCTTGATACCGTCCAACGGGGTAACTCCACGATACTGGCTTTGATAAACAACGTAGTCTCCGTACTGATCACGCCGCGTCAGTTTCGACCTTGCGCAGGAGTGAGTATGAAGTCAGCCTTACATTCATGTATCCGTGGGCCATGGGCCCAATTACTGCAATACTTCCAGACTTCTTGAGCGGCAGCGTGGAGTCGTGATTCTCGAGAAGCACGATTGACTCCTTGTCCAGGTCACGCGCAAGTTTCTTAGCAGCCGAGTTGTTGATCAAGCTCTTCCACTTGTCTTTCGGTGCAGCTAGGTCGGGATTCTCAAATAAACCCATCTCAAACTTCACTCGAAGGAAACGTGATACAGCTTGGTCAACAGTCTTGATGTCAAGCTTGCCGGACTTAACGAGATCGGGAATCTTCTGGAAGTTGCTATTAAACCATCAGCGACTGCACATTGACGTGATTCGGGAAGCTTGGGCCGTACAAAGAACCGCCTCCCATTTCCACGTCCGTGCCAGCCCCCAACAGCTGCGTTGTGACCGAAGCCATGTCGATAGGATTGGTCGCGCAAAGCTTGAATGCGTTGCAGAGTCGGTCACTGCCGCCAGCATCAGTCATGACAAAATAGTCATAGCCCCATTCCTCGCGCAGGATCTCAGTCAAAGTGTGGTAATCCGAGACGGCTGGGATACCGTCATACCTAAAAAGACAAAAAGCCTTAGCCTCGTCAAGCATGGGAACAGCCTGATGTTTCTTACGAGTGGTAAGCGGCCATGATAGACCAAGCGCCTGCGTCGATAATTGCACGTTTGAAAGACGGCATCCAGCTAGAATTGTATTAGCAAAGTCTTGCAACCAGCATGATTGATTAGAAGCTCACGTAGTACGAAGCTCTCTCTCGCCGCCGTGAACAGGACCAGTATTTAGGCCTTGCTCGGGGTTACTGAATCCAACAAAATGCTTGACCATGGCGGAGACATTCTTGCTTTGTAGGCCCTTGACGTAACTGTAACCGATTTCTCCTGCTAGGAATGGGTCTTCCGAGAATGTTTCTTCGACCTGGAGAGACAAGCGGAATTAGTATTCACAATAAATAAGGACCTTTTAGCTGGCGCACTTACTCGTCCGAAGCGAAGCTCGCGAGCCAAGTCTACGACTGGTGCGAAGAGCTGATTGACTCCGAGGGTCTGGGCTTCTTGGGCAATCACCTCGGCCATTTTCTCCACAAGCTGTGAAGGCTTGTCAGAATCAAAGTTCCTCCAAAGCAGCGACGAACATGTGAACTTGCATCTCTGTTCCAAGATGATCCATACGCGATGGGGGAGTTGAAGATAGTTGCATTGCCGAGCAAGAAGCCATGAATACCTGAATGATCTTCAGCATTTACCTCATGTGCTCGGAAATGAGCCGGTTGGTTACTCACCCTCGCTCTGAACAAGAGCCGGAATTCCAAGAGTGGTGTTGTGAACTAAGTAATCTTGGGCTTTCTTCACATTGTCCGCAATCCAGTCCCAGGGAACCGGATAACCAACTTGATTGCATGTTAGTTCGGGTTCGAAGAGGTAGCAACTGGAACGGAGCAGGGCATTTACCATAGAATGATCCTGCTTTCATCTGCATGTTGGTGACGAGTCCGGTGTAGTTAAAGGCGCCGGAAGTTTGATTCATCCAATTGGTAATATCGCCTTCAAGTGAAATTGAGTGAGCAGGTGCGATTGGTTTCACGCGTTACCGAGAAGAAGAAAGCTTACCTTGCATCAATTGAGCCATCTTGTCTTCAATGGTCATTCGACTCAATAAATCCTTGACACGTTTATCCACAGAGGCTGTTGGGTCCTTGTACGCAGGCGTCGACTTGCTTGCGGCAGAAGTCACTAGCTGCACAAGCAGCAAGCTGCCAGCTAGACCCTTGACCAACATTTTGGGTGGTAGAAGGTACTCCCAGGTTGTTCAATTCAAAATCCAATGGCAGACTCGAAGGGCAAAGGACAAACTTCGCTCACTGTGGGCTAGGGCACCAGCACGACTTAATCGAAGGGATGCGGAACAAAACAGAGAGAACAGAATCACCCACACCCTGTTGATCAGGCGAGATGATCTCGCCATAATAAGCAGCTGCAGCTCTCCCATGCATCTCGCGTCCCCGCGGGGCAAATGAACCCGGGGGACAAGGGTCTCATGATCGAAATCATAAGCTATTACCGCAGGAGTCGAAGCGGTCGACTGTGGTAGACAATTTCACAGAAGGCAGTTGCACTATTCGATGGGCCATGCCTCAGCGGAACAATTGCAGGTGCAGACTGTACTTTTCTCCGCTGCGGCCTAGTCTTTGGCACTAGAACTTGATGGTAACGGAGGACCAGTCCGACGTCCGTTCAAACCTGAGTTCGCACTGTCACAATTGGCTGAATTGGTGAATGACAATGCCACCTGCAGAAGACTTTCGATATTAGATCCACTGTCCTGCATGGCATTTTCCAGGTCAGCAGCGCCTACTAGTCCACGAGCAGTAGCGACGCGGGGAAAAGCCGAGGATCGCTACGGGTAAATAGGCGTCAAAGTTCCCTGTGGGAGCCAATGGTGACGGACATCGCGCCACAGACGATGAATGTGCTGGATTCAAAGGAGTTCTCGAGGCTTTGGATTGAGGTTGATCTGCAGTGAGTCCGGTGAAGTTTAGACCATGTGACATTTTTCCACCTATGATCACCGGACTTGGACCTCAGTAGACGAAGGAAAGCGGATGATGAAATTTCCCGAACTTACCAGCTTTGCTTGCGGGGAATTTGAGTAGTAAATTGTTCCCCTTTTGGACTGTGATCAAACTTGCGCCGAAGACCCGCATTTCGCAAAGTATCAAGAGCAGATTGGGGACACAGCAAGATTAGGTAGTAACCTACCTGTACTTGGAGATGGCGTCTGTGAATGATGCTTGCGTACCTACCACCCAGAGTACTGCCAGGCTGCGACGCGGCTCGCTCGCAGGCTGAAAGGAGTCACAGGTTCTTGACCTCTCGGCTAATATAGGGCTATAGGAAAGAAGAATGAACCGGAAGGAGAACATTTGATCGCTCGAACAATGCACATAAACTAAATCCCGAGGCCTGCAATGAAATGCCCTGGCTGGCAGGTCGAAAACTCTGCTAATTACAATTGCAATATGATGCCACCGAGAAAACGAAAATAAGTACGGCCGCCACAGCGATTGAACAACAATGAGTGATGTCTAGTAAAGAGTTATGTATAAAAATAGAATGATCCAGCCATTCCGCATAAGCGACATTACAAGGCTGCAATAAAGGGCATGAGTTGTATCACGAGCGAGGGTCTGCATCGTCGCTCCTGTCTTTGCTGCGAGCTTGACCCTGTTCTGTCGGAGATAGACGATCCTCCTGCTCGTTCGGCATGATGAGCTTGGCTTGATCTTGGGAAGTCATTCGCAAGGCACCGCCAAGCCATGCAAGACCGCCACTCCAAGAGTCGCTCAAGCTGCGCAGACGATTACCCTCATGACGTGGGTTCTGCATCGGCGACAGTTGGTCTGTCGTAGGAAGCGCGGACGTGGACCGTCCGGCGTTTGTCGAAGGAACTGCAAGACCCGTGGCGGATTGAAGTCGTGCACCGGCGACGCTCAGTGAATCGCTTGGCTCATCCAATCTAAGATCTTGATCTTGATAGCGGGCCAACTCGGCATCAAAGGTGCCGCTGAGTTGGCGGCGGCGTCCAACGCTCCGTCGCGCGCGGTCTTTCAAAGGACTTCCCTCGCCACGACGGAGGGAATCCGCCACAACGGCACTGAACCCTCCGGAGAGGGTGGGTAAAAGTGGCCCTGGAGAGAATCGATTTGATATTGAGTTGCGAATGGCTCGTCGTGATGGTGTCTCGAGATTGGCCTGGCTCCTTTCGATGTCGATGGCCTGATCGCTTCGCATGGGAGTGGAAGCCCGCCGAAGCTGAGAAAGATTCGGTCGGGAAGTCTGTTCAATACCGGGTGCCGGAGGAAAACGCAAGCTGACAGTTGATACTTGGTGATCGGCAGCCGCTAATGCTAAAGGTCCGTTTTGACAGTATGTTTCAAGGTCAGACGCTGGGGTCACAAGAGCCTCATCCGAGGATTCTGCCCACGGATTGGACATCCGCGAGGGTGGACGGAGTGGGGAGGGATCGTCGAGAAAGCGCCCTGACAGGGGAGATTGGGCAGTTAAAGAGTCATCAGGAGACGACAAAGCTCCTTTAGGTGTAAGTTGATCATCGTCCACGATTTCGAGACCGCGGCTATTCAACGACACCCCGGGAGACTGCACATTGGTTTCCTGCTCGCGATCATTCGCCGATACTGTAGTCGCACGAGAATGTGGGCCAGGCGCGGACAAATCAATGCGATCGTGATAGCGTTCACCGTCCAGAAGGCCGATCCTCTCTTCTTCATCGTCCGTGGAAAAAGTGGAGTCGTCGTCAGAGCGCACGCGGCCGCTGGTGATGAAGTAGACCCCCAGGAACGTGAGAGCACAGCCTCCTATGAACTTGCCGGCTCGAGCTGCCGACATCGACTCAAAATCCCGGTATAGAATTGCGCTGCCTACAATGACTGAGAGTGTAAAGAGGACAAATTGTGTCGGAATCACCTGAGTCGAGTCGAAGCGCTGCAAGGCCCGATTGATGTATCTGATCTGCATGAGCGCGCTAGTGACGAGAACAAAGACGAGCAAGTAGGTGATTGGGAAAGTGATGACGTGCCACAAGGTGAATGACAGCAACGAGGAAACTCCCTTGGTGGAAAGTGCAGTGTAGCCGCCTGGAGTTTGTCAGCCTCGCACGAGATTCATGGTTCTGCTTCTTCAATCTCACCGAATAAGGCCACAAGCCCTACGTCAATCAGAATTGACTGTGATCCGTATGAAAAGCTGGCCCACATGAGAGTGATGATCAGGGATGCAGTCAAGCCCATGTAGAGCTCGAATTCCCAGCGGGTAATCATCATCCAGATCTCGCCAGGGCCAATCTTCTCCTCCGAAGAACTCGCACTGAGTACAACCACAACCGCACCAGCAATGGCGACCAATACGCCCCAGAAATCCCGTTTGCGAAATCGCTCCTTCAAAAGACAGGGGGCGATGACGCAGTTGGAGATCAGGGCGACAACTCCGAGCGGGGAGACGATGGATGCTGGCGCAAAGCCGTACGCGAGAAAGTTTCCTGTCTCGCCTAGGACCATCAACACGATACCCGCCCACCAGTAGGGCGACTGGAGGTATGACTTTCGATTCTCGGGCTCGTCGGTGTGCTCGGACCGGTCAGACGCCTTTGAGCTCCGGCGACCGCCATTTTGATAGCCCTGAGAGGGGCGCGCATTTCTGGGAGGCGCATCGATGTCATCGCTGTAAGGCTCGAACTCCTCATGTTCGCCATGCCTTGACTGATCTCTCGAAGTTCCCGTCCGTGATCCAACAAGACTTTGGCGGCTATCGCTTACGGCAACTGCGTCATATTTCCGGCTTCTGCCAGCCTCACTCCTAGCCTTTCTTTGCTCCCATTCACGAGTGATCCGAATGTGAGCATAGCGTTGAATATTGAGAGCCAACGAGATCAACACGTTCCCGGCCAGAGCAGTCACAATACCAATAAGGGAAGACCATTCCTCCATATTCCCGTGCTTATCGCCATGGCTCTGGGCCTGTACCGGTGAGATCAGATTCAAAGATGGCGCACTGGTTTGATTGGAGTGAGTAGTTCGCGAGGCACTTGCGATGGAAGATGCGATGGTTGACACAGCAATTGAAGTAAGCGACGGCGCTACTAAGCGAAGCTGAGCCGGATCCATCTTTTGCCTCGGTCAAGTAGTAATGAAAGACTCGAGGATCATGTAGTCGTGGTCATGAACTCGCGATCTTTGCTCGAGGCGCTTCAGATCCAACGCTTGTCGACGACAGAACTTGCTCGTGTATGGAAATCAGATTTGTTTGGAGCTGAGTGACACTGGCCTCACAGGGTATGCGAAGACATACTGGGTGCAAGGGGAGGTGTGCTACCTCGTAAACGCGTGAGGAAAGGTGAAAGAACGCACGTCGGCTCTGCGCGGAGATAATCTACTTAGGTAGTCAACTACTGGAGGCCACCCGCGGAGAGAATTGCTATGTCAGCAACTCGTATTTCGTCGGAGCTTCCACTAGTCGACTCCTCCTTGCGCTAAGGCCGTTTGGCAAACCGGAGCGATGCGCCAAGATCAGAAAAAGGCGCAGTTTCGTGCCAACGGAGACACGGTCAAGGCTCAAGCGGTCTGCTGGAGGCTTCCTGGCTGCCCCGTCCGCGTTTGCAAGTGGTGCTTTTCCATTGCAATCGGCGTGGACGCCATTTCGATACTTCCCCATGTGAGGGGCACATTCCACAGCCCAAGCCTAATTGCGCCGAATCGTCATTTATATGTAGATGGTCTTATTGTCCCGTGGCGCCAATGCTAGGTACCTTCCAGCCTTTCCTTCCACTGAACATGTGCTGTACAAGTTTATAGTGTAGAACTGTTGATCAGTTATTAGTAACTTAGTGCTGCTCGAGTTCCAAGATTTCTAGGACGAGCAGTAATTGCGACCGAGGGACCGAGGCCCGCCTTGAGCTGGCTAGTACCGGTAGTGGTACTAGGTAGTAGGTACATTGGCGTGTTTCAATTTTCGCTGTACTCTTCACCGGACACTACCTACCTACATATACTGCAGTAATGGTCAAAGCTCTCAAGGAGAGTGTTTTCTTCGAGCGGAAGTTACTAGCTCCGTTGCTTGTAATAAGCTACACTGATTTTGAGGAAGCCCAAGGTATCCCAAGGCGCGACATGCTGTCTCATATTCTCTTTCCTAGTCAAGATCACCGCCGGGTTCTTTTCTTCTCGGGCCCAGGCTCTTCCTCATCGCTCAACTCCGCGTAGATCGCCTTGGGCTGCGTTTCTTTATAGACGTGTGTGAAAATAGGGTCTTTTTCGGCTTTCTCGGCATATTTGAGAAGCGCCTCCCGAGGATCCTCATCACGCATTGAACTGAGAGGAATGTTTTCTCGAATATGCTTTTCATCCGGCTGGGATTTTGCAAAAGGTGTGACTTGTGGGAGATGAGGACGTCGAGGGTCCCTTGAGCGACCGGATGCCGTCAAGCCGACAGTCGGATGACGGGCAGCAAACGTGGCAGAGCTGTAGTGTGGAACACCATTAGAGCTGACGACTACGGAGTCTCCAGCCAGGCCAGTCGATAGATCTGTTGTCAACGTAGGATTGTCGTCCACGTGGCGACGTTTCGGTGCCTTGGACATGACGAGAGCAGCACCCCTGGTGGACATTGTGGGATTGTAAAGCACATGGGTTTCCGCATTGGCGGAGCCGGTGAGGATCTGATTGAGCTTCTCATGCCAAAGCACACTGACTAATGGTGATCCTGGAGTGACGGGAGTCACCAGCTCGGGCTCAAGTCTGGCAGAATTGAGGATATGCAAGTGACCAGTCTCAGAGCCAACAATGACGTTTGTCGAACTCGGTGAGAACTGAATATTGGAGGTTGGATAACGGAATGATGTAGACGGATGAGTGACAGTAACCAAGGGTGTTTTGAACTTCCGAGTGTCCCACAGCTTGATTGTATCGTCACCTCCCCGGCTGATGATAAGGCGACCGTCGACACTCACGTCGAGGCCGCTGGTCCATGTGTCCCGAGTATGTGCCTCTCGGACCTCACCACTAGGTCGACTGAACGGGCCATTCCCTCCCCACATCACAAGACTACCATCCAAGGCCGCCGCAACTAGAACGTTGGACCCACCCTGTTTAGGTGATGCCCATGCCACAGCGGTGACTTTGGTCCGTCCAGCAGACCCAGCAGCCCTCGACTTGTGCACAATAACTTCTTTTTGTGATCGCCCAACATTGACATCCCAAATCCTCACTGTGCTGTCGGAACCAGCGGTGGCGCATAGATTTCCGTCCGTGGGACACCACGCACCACTTGACACCTCGGACGTATGGCCTTTCGTGTGGTGCGAGTCGCGGAGGTACATATCGCCCTTCGCAAATTCGGTCAAAGTGTCGCCGTCTCGACTGAGGATTCGAGGTTGAGCCGTGGCAGAGACAACCAGCACATGGCCTGGAGAGAGCGGGTTGAACGCAACGTGGTTAACCGCATGGGTATCTTGGGCCGCCGATTGCTTCTTGGCTGAGGGATCAACAGACTTGAATGCGCGAATGGTCGACGGTGTCATAGATGCGAAATCATGGAATTTGAGGGTGCAATCGGTGGATCCTGTAATCAGTCGCCCTCCAGACGGATCCACGGTCATAGTCGTCACAGCCCGATCATGTGTCTTCAGCACTAGCTCATGAGACACGGGAAATTCATCCTCATCATCTTCACTGTCATCGTCGCTGTCATCACCGTCATCATCAGAGTCACTTTCGCTTTTGCTATGCCTGCGCTCTTGTGGTCGCTTTTCATTTGCGACATGGTCAATCGAAGTGCTCGACGCTGTAGTTTCAAGTTCAGCGAGCGGCTTCGATGCGGAGGCCTCTGCTCGCTTCGATCGACTAATTTGAGTTTCGACATCTACTGATTTTTGTTGCTTGCCAAAACCAGATGGGAAGAATTTTTTGAAAGCTTCTTCGTCGAATCCGTCCATGATTGCGGTAACGACTATATTCACGCAAGAGGAACTTCAGGCGCGATTATAGATAAGGTCGCAGGGAGACCCACTTTCAAGCTTGTTTGCATCTTTTGCAGCGCCTCCATGAATCGCGAAACACGCAGTCAAAGATCCCGCCTTTTTGTGCATACTCGGTCATTCAATGCCCCCATGTGATTCGATACCGATGCCCACAGGGTTGAGCAGTATCCAAAGATCGAACTACCTTGACCTGCTGGCAGTGTGGGTTTGTGTTTGTGCTTCTAAGATAATTGAAATGGTTGTGCATAAACTTCTAAATCCTCTACTTGTGATACACATGTCCGTACCACACAGCTAATGATCGGATTTGACTTAAATGTATTGATATGATGTGGTTATCCCACCTACTTCTCGCCAGACGCAGTTTCAGTGCGCTATCACTGGTTAATGAGGATTGTCAGGGTGTCAAAGGATCGATTCGCACACAAATACTCGTCGTCGCTTCTCATTAGAATACACAGGTGATTGTCAAGCTGAAACGCCTTCCGAGAATCCAGCCCATGAGAGACCAGTGGCCTATGTCTACAAGTACAGGCCTTCCACAGGGCCGCCATCCTGCTTCGTCTTCATGATGCGCTCACGGGCTGAGCGGAAGTCGTCCATTTGCACACGCATGCGACGCTCTCGCAAAGCCATGAGACCAGCTTCAGTACAAATCGCCCGAATATCAGCTCCAGACAAATCGTCCTTCTGGTTGATAAATTCATCGAGATCGACATCATCACCAAGTGACATCTTGGAGGTGTGGAGCGTGAAGATCTTCTTCTTGGTGTTTTCTAAAATAGTGTTAGCACATATTCGAAGAGAAATATTTTGTTTCAGGAGGGAAGACGAACGGTCAGGGTTCTCGAAAAGAATCTTTCGATCGATACGACCGGGACGGATCAGAGCGGGATCGAGACTCTCGATCTTATTAGTGGCCATGATGACTTTCACGTCGCCGCGGTCGTCGAAACCATCAAGTTGATTAAGAAGTTCAAGCATGGTGCGCTGAATCTCTCGCTCACCACCAGATGTAGAGTCATAACGCTTGGTACCAATTGCATCAATCTCGTCGATGAAGACGATGGAAGGCGCGTGCTCAGCTGCCACGGTAAATATTTGACGAACCAAGCGGGGACCATCACCAAGGTATTTCTGAATCAACTCAGATCCAACGATACGTAAGAACGTGGCGCTCGTCTGGTTGGCGACAGCCTTAGCCAGAAGTGTCTTTCCAGTACCCGGTGCACCGTACAGAATGACGCCCTTTGGAGGCTTGATACCCATCTCCTCATAAAGCTCCGGGTGAAGGAGCGGCAACTCAACGGATTCCCGAACCTCCTGAATCTGAGACTCTAAACCACCAATGTCGGCGTATGATTCTGTTGGTGCCTTGTCCAGTTTCATCACCGACACAAGGGGATCTGACTCTTCTGTGAGAACACCGACAACTGAGACGGATTTGTGATGCAGCAAAATGCTAGCTCCTGGTTCCAGAAGATCCTTGTCCACGAACGACATGATTGAGACATAATATTCCGGACCCGTCGCACTGGAGACAATAGCATGGTCGTCATCAATCAGTTCCTCCAGGTTACCGACACCCATGGGGCTGCCACGCATGTCGTCGACCCGACTTCGCTCATCAGCGTTCCGGTCGGAGAGCTCCGGATCCTCGGGACGAGCAGAGCCTTGAGCAGCCTGAGCTTTGGCTTTGCGCAAGCGCTCCATGTTCTCAACGTATTCCTCCTCCAGGAGCAGATGGTCGTGCACGCGCTGCATTCGCAGGTATCGTAGCTTGCATCTCGACGTGGGATAGATATCTGGAAGCTTCGATGCAGCACTGGGACCGCCAGCCTTGCGCTTCTTCCGACCGATACGGGTCGTGGGTGGTGGTGGTGGCTCGTACTTGGGTTTATCCTTCTTTATTGTGAATCTGTCAACACCGGGCCAGCAAGGCGCACAAGAGTAGTCCAACATACTTTCTTATCCTTGTCATCACGCCCATCTCCTCCTGGGCCTCCGCCCATGTTTGATTGCTGGTTTCCCTATTTTGACAATGAGCTTGGTATATCCAAAGGGAGCATCGCTTGCAACTCGGAGAGACTGACCATGTTTGTGAATCAGCAGTGAATTAGTCGAATGCAGCAATGGGTGTGTCCAAGGCAAATTTTAGATAATGGGTTTCAACAAGCTTGACCCGCGATATCCTGCGGTGGATGAGTGATGGAAGGGGTGAATAATTGGTGAAGGTGATGAAGTTAATCCCCGGAGATTAGCAAGCTGAGAGCTGTTGCAATCAAGTCACGTGATTTACTTGCGCCTCAGGCCGATAGGATGCGGTCATTGATGCCGTGGCGCCTTACCCTGTGGGGGGCGGTTTGGCCCGTCTCGAACTCACAGGTATTATTAACTATGCAGGCATCTGGAAGATCGTGACTATCTTAGAGCAAATCTGGCAATTCATATCGTGGTATTCCCACAGTGCACTTAGAAATCTGTCTGTCTGATCAACGCCAACTAGCTTGCTCGAATCTTTTTGCTAACTGTTCGAACCTCAGTGATCAGAGCTTTTGCCAAAGTTCAAACTCAGAGCTCTTCTCTATCTGTAAGTCTCTGAACTTGGAGTCCGTCCCATCATCTCTCGCGCCATGAATAGGCGTGTATAGTGACTCCACTATGCAATGGGTCTTGCCAAATCGCTGATATCGGGTATCAATCCAGTAGCTTGAAGGATTGGTACGAGGAGTGAATGCACACTTACTGCTATCAATCTACTGAGCGGGAAAAACTGCTGCTCGCCTTAGTGCATCTTGAACCTGCAGACAATTGCTGCTGTCGTCATCGGGAATGGCTGGCAATCGTACTCGGCGTGTCGCCAAGGAACTGGCCGACATACACGCAGATGTACATTCAATGATCGCAGCAGAGCCTATTGGCAACCAGGATGACATTACACATTTGCGAGGAACCTTTCCTGGCCCACCTGACACGCCTTATGAAGGGGGGATGTATCATGTGGATATCAAGATTCCCACAGATTATCCTTTCAGGCCTCCGACAATGAAGTTTGAGACCAAAGTCTGGCATCCCAACGTTAGCAGTCAAACGGTGAGTTGCCCGGGAATCACTCAAGCTTGAATTGACACTGACTTGCTATAAGGGTGCCATCTGTCTTGATACCTTGTCAAGTGCCTGGTCACCAGTTCTTACCATTAAGTCTGCGTTAATATCTCTCCAGTCATTGCTTAGCACCCCCGAGCCTAAGGATCCACAAGATGCCGAAGTTGCGAATATGATGCTTCAGCGGCCACAAGAATTCCAGCGCATTGCTCGTGAATGGGCGATCATTTATGCAGGTGCTCCATCTTCCGACTCGGGTGACGCTTTGAAGGGAACTGCTGAATCACCTCTGGAGATTGATGATGACTCACAAGCCCAGTAAGTTCTTAGAATTCAGGTAGAAATGGTCTTACATGCAGTGACAAGTTCTAATGTTTACCAGATATGATGGCTACGATGAATTCCTGGTTGATGGCTTCAAAGCAATGGGATTTTCGATTGAGGATGTCGTGCGAGTACTCGCAGATCTTCAAATCAGCCGGCACACCTGTCAACTAGACGATGGCCAGGTCGATGATGTCTGCGCACGGCTGCTTGCAGGTGCTTGAGCTATTATATTTACGTTGCGTTTGCATGGTGGTGTTTGTGGGATTAGTCACGATGCATCATGTCTTTCAAATCCATCAGTCCAGTGCCTGAGAGAATATGTCACGGGAGGAAGAGGTCATAAGTAATGAGAGGATCGTAAGACCTACATAAAATTACATGTATGTCTACAGCAAAAACCTGACTACTGGAATCATAATGGACTCGGTCGAGTCCATAGGTAGCGGGTGGCTGACGACATTTCCTCGCAGTGGACTTCACCTTATCGATAAGCGATTGTAGAACCACTCTTTCATCTCTTGTTCACGATCAATGCGTACTCCACTTCATATTACTTCCATAAATACGCTCGCTTTGTGCTTATGACCAGCTACACTGAACCAAGCTGTCATAGCCTCCTCTTCAGCGTTGAAATTGGGTCTACGATACAAATCAACACTCCTCTAAGTACCTCACTACAGCGGGGATCGTGTCAGATCGTCCGAGGATAAGCTACGTGAGCTCTCAGCCAGCCAAAATGATCGAGGATGACTTTTACCGCGCGTCCTCACAATATCGCTTGTGGTCATACACCGAGACCTCCCTCCAATCTATACGAAGTGCTACGAATCAAATTGCCAGTGACAGAGTGCGTGCCGCGTTACGTCGAGCTCGGGAGCAACATCTATCCAGCACAACATCAGCTGCAGTCGAATCTCAATCTGAAGGTGCCACGGAAGAGAAAAATATCGAATGCTTGACTCCAGATGAGGAACTTGTGCTGGTCAGGTACTACTGTGAGAAGACTGTCGAGCTTGGGGAAACATACAGACCACCTCTTCCCACCAATGTCCGAGTAAGTCTTTGACGAGGCATACCACTCGTGCGATTTCGATAACCTACTACTGCAGCGCACCGCCTGAGAGCTTTGCTAATTTGCGTTCTCCTCACAGGCCACAGCTATTCAGTATTTGCGGCGTTTCTACCTTACGAATTCCCCTATGACATATCATCCCAAATCCATAATGGCCTGCGCGCTCTTCGTCGCCACAAAGACAGACAACCACTACATGTCATTAAGGCAATTCGCCGAGGGAATCCCTGGCGACACCACCCCAGAGGACGTCATTGCCCCCGAATTCCTTTTGATGCAGGGTCTCCGCTTCACATTCGACGTCCGACATCCCTTCCGTGGCCTCGAAGGCGGTGTCATGGAGCTCTCGGCCATTGCCCAAGGCCAAGGTGCAGCCGCACCCCATCTCCCACACCATACCTCTGATAGTCTGAAGCGCGGCATTCTCTCTCTTGCACCGCCGCCTATCGCCTGCGCATCCGTTCATGATCGAATCGGCCGTGCTCACAGTGCTACTCGGGAACTTCTCAAATCCGCCGCCCAAATGACAGACGCCTACTTCCTTTACACGCCATCACAAATCTGGCTGGCGGCTTTGTTGGTCGCCGATCGGCCATTGGCCGAGTTCTATCTCGACACAAAGCTCGGTGGCCCGCTAGACTCGACCAACGTAGGAGCCGATGCTTCTTCCCATCTCCAGAACCCTCTGTACGAGCTTCGTACGAAGCTGTCAAAGGTTTTGATGGATTGTGCGGCGCTCTTGCAGTCTTATACGCCCCTCTCATCGGACCCAGCCCAAATGAAAAGTCTGAAGCGCATCGCCAAGAAGCTGTATCACTGCCAGAATCCCGAAAAGGTGAACTTGAAGCGCGATGTTGCCGCGCCACGATTGAACCCGGCTGTTGACTCGGCGACGCCAATGTCCGAGAGTGAGACAGAGCGTTTGGTGAAGAAGCGGAAAACGGAGTCGCAACAGATCCAGCAAGAAGGACACAGCGTCTTCGGCCCAGAGCTGGTGCCGGACCGGACGAAGCACTAAATTCGAGGTTCCGGGTCATATGCAATCGGTGATCTTAGCATTATCTGCACAACGAGTGCCTCATATTCCCACCAGGCAAATCAGGCTAAATTCAGACGATAAAGTAGAGCAAGCCGAGTACTGTACGAGATAGACAGGAGTCGGACATACTTCTAATGTGCCGGTGTCAAAACTGTAATAAGGATTCTTTATTCATCCGCCCTGAAGAGCAACAGGACTAGTCTCTCTATCAGGTAGAAAGGGCCCGATGATGCGAGCACCGAAAACCACCAAAAAGGCTCAGAACAAAAATCCACGACTATCCGGCGGTGGACCGCCACATCAACGAGAGGGGGAATGAAACTCTGAACAACAGAAAACATGAACATGGAACAATATGTATGCAAGAAATATCAGATGGAAAAACCGTGGACAATAAACCGATCAGCGGCATTCTGCAACACAGAAGCAACTTCGGTGGAAGCAGGCATGAACCTAGTCTAAAAAAACAATTCCAACTTTTCAAAAAAGGCAAGAGGCATTGTAATGCCTTCGATTCACGTCTAGCATTTCGTCGTCATCAAATAAAAGGGCGGGGGGAGAAAGGGGCATTATAGCTCGCGGCGGAGTGAATGACCAGCTTAGACGGCACCAGCCGACACCATCTTGTCACGCAAGTACTTCTTGTAAGCGCCAATGCTTCCGTCCCAGCGACGAACGGTCTTGTTCTCGCAGACAAGAATGTCCTTGGCAATCTTGTCAAGCAGACGGAAGTCGTGAGAGACGACGACGACACCACCGTTGTAGGCGTTGATAGCGTCAGCCAGGGAGTCGATAGTGGGAATGTCGAGACCGTTGGTAGGCTCGTCAAGAAGAATCATGTTGGGAGATTCAATGGCGAGCAGAGCAAACACAATACGGCTCTTCTGACCCTCGGAGAGAGTACCCATGATAGCGGTCTGAGACTCGCCGGACAGACCGTAGCGGCCGAGCTGCTGACGCCAGTACTGGTAATCCTGGGACTTCTCGGGGAACTTGTCACGGACAAACTCAAGAGACGACTTGGTCAAGTCCAGTTGTTCAGCAGAGTGTTGGGAGTACACGCCAAGCTTCAAGTGGGTGTGGCGGCTGACGGTACCAGCGATGGGGCTGAGCTTGCCAGTCATGAGACGGAGCAAAGTAGATTTGCCAACACCGTTGGGACCGACAAGAGCAGTACGCGAGTCCATGTCCACACCGAGGTCGAGATGCTCGTAGAGGGTATCATCCCAGTTGCCAGAGTAGGAGAAGCTCACATCATCGAAAGACATGACGGGAGGGGGCAACTTCTCAACATCGGCGAAACGGAAGGTGAAGACGCGATCGGGGACAACGGGCTGAATGAAACCATCGGCCTCCATCTTGTCCAAGATCTTCTGCCGGGACTTGGCTTGACGGACCAAGTTGGCATATGTACCAGCGGAGGCAATGAACTTCTTGATGTGAGCAATTTCTTCCTGCTGCTTGGTGTAGGCCTTCATCTGGTTGGTCTCCTGCTCAGCACGAGTCTTGTGGTACGAATCGTAGTTACCACCATAGTAGAGGAGGGTCTTCATGCGCATATCAATCATGTTGGTGCAGACACCGTTCAGGAAATCCATGGAGTGAGAGACCAGGACCAGGGTACGGTCCCACTTCTTGAGGTACTCCTCCAGCCACACACAGGCCTCGAGATCCAAGTGAGCAGTGGGGTCATCGAGCAGCAGCAGAGAGGGCTTGACGAAGAGGGCCTTGGCAAGAGCAACACGCATACGCCAGCCACCGGACATGTCCTTGGTCTTCTTGTGGATGGTGACCTTGTTGAAACCAAGACCGGTAAGAATGAGAGAGGCTCGGGTGTGGAAGGTGGAGGGATCCATCTTGTCCATGCGCTGTTGTCGGAAAGCATGTCAGTATGTTTCAGATCGAAATTTCGACCTTGCCGTGAGTGGATCGAATTGTGATCATCTGTCAAGGAATGATATACTTACGTCGTAGAGGTCTTCCAAAATGGGACTGTCGGGACCCTCAACCTCGAGAATCTCCTCGGCCTTCTTCTCCATGGCGTCAAGTTGGGCCTGAGCCTCGTCAACGACCCACTCCAAAGCACCCTTGTCGGTCATCGGGGCACCTTCGTTCAGGAGATACAGGTCGATGTGTTCGGGGAAGGGGAACTCGCGAGTAGCAATGGACTTGAGAAGGGTCGACTTTCCGCAACCGTTCTCACCAAGAAGACCGTAACGACGGCCGAAGTTGAGCTCGAGGGTAGAATCAGTGAAGAGGACCTTTCCGTGGAACACGAGAGAGGCGGAAGTGATCTTGACGTCGCGAGAGGCAGGCAATGAGGACAGCACACCGGTGGTGACACGATCGGACAGACCGTGCTTGTCCATCTGTGAGGTGAGCTTCTCGACATCCTTCATCTTCGCCTCGGTGGTCGCGGGTTGCTCATCGCCGTTGGCAACTTCAGCGACAGCGTCCTCCTTAGTGGACTTCTTGGTCTTTTTGTCGCCAGCTTCGGCGCGCTTCGCCATACGGGCGGCCTTGGAGGCGGAAACCATGTTGACGAAGGGTGTGGGATGAGGGGGTAAAAAAAATAAGGAATTGAGAGATGCGGAGGGAAAGCGAAGAGGATGTCAAAGACAGAGAGGAACGGGGCGATTAGAGGGAAAGAAGGAAAGAGTGATGAGGTACAGAGACGACCCGTATCAGTCTGTGCTGGTCGAAGAGATTGAAAGCAGAGAAAAGGCAAAAAGAGACTGAAGTGGAGCGCCTAGGCGGGGCGAGCAGTAGAGGGGCGAAAAGAAGTCGAATGGAAGTGGAAGTGGGGGGAGAACAACTTTTGTCGAAGCCCTTATCGATTACGGAGGAAGAATGGGCTTCTTATATCGACGGCAATGCGAACACTCAAACGGCAACCCAACTGTTGAAAATTTTTCGCCGAACCAGTCGAGCACTGCGTTGTTCTTGCAGAGCCTTCGACGAATACTTCCCATGGTGAATGAACAAATTTTCGAGGCGGTGGACCACCAAACCCGAAATGCAGCGCCCTGATTTGCTCCGGAGCGGCCAAGGGGGGCTGTTTGAGACGTCACCGCAGTACCGCACAGTTGGTCCTCAAAAATGGTGGCCTTGTGGCCTGAATTCAATGCAGGCCTGAGACAGGCGGCGACAAGGCATAAAGGCATTCAGGCATCACATTTGCCACCTCGTACAACTCAAGGCTCTGGTTGGTGAGAGATAGGCGTCTTCTCAGTGGATCAGTAAGACTTCCTTCCCTATCGATTGTCAAGTGTCAACAATGGAGCCAACGCTGTCACTGGTCACGTCTGAATAGCGTTTCACAACATGGTACTACTAGTGAGTCGTGACTACAGGTGGAAGTACTTAGCGCGATGTTGCCAATCGTACATTTAATCTTATCGATTTACGGCGGTCGCAAGCGCTATAGCAATACATCCATATCGTACCTACTACCAGGACCTAGTATCTACCTAAGCTTATCTTTGCGTCAGCTCGGCTCGACTCTTTTCCCTTGACTTGATTATATTCTTTCGCTGATCTTCTCTAGTACTTCTTTCTCTGTCATTGACAGGTACACTCCTTCTGGAACAAATATTTCACCGCGCTCTATCACCATACGTCGAGGAGTATCTGTCAGACTCTCTTCATAATGGTCTGGAATTGTCGGGGCGGGCTCGCGATGGATGCCCTCCTTCTCTTCGTCTGCAATCTGACTTCGCGACAGCGGATGTGATGTCCACCAATACAGAGGGAATTGCCGCTGTATATTGTTGACAATCAATGCTACCGCCTGCATCAAGATGCAGCCAAGGATCATGACCGGGAACAAGAACCAGCCAAGGCTGGCCATCTGTGCGTTGGTCACTGCTAAAAGAGCCGTGGCTCCGGCCGGGGGGTGAATGGTCTCGGTCAACAACATAGCGGCCGTGGTGAGTGCACAAGCCAGGGCTCCTCCAAGCGACGTGTACTGCTCCGCATTGGGGTTCAAGGCGAAGAGTTTCGAAATGCCGACTCCCACCAAACATGCCCACATTTGACTGAAGAAGGCATTGCGTGGCTGGGCGAAAGGCGATTGAATCGCACAGAACTCGATCACGGCAGCGGCGCCCTGTGATTTATCCCGCATCGCTGGTCAGCAAGATCGAAGCATCATTCGCCATCTCTAGGGTTTGTTCGCAGACTTACGAAACTCCCCACCACCGCGGGTGTGTCTCGCGACTCAAAGGAGGGAATACGCTTCGAAACCTCCGCGATCACGGCGACCCCGCAAAACGCTCCGACCAAGGACCAGAAAGCAATGACTACATTGCCCAAAGGTCGCGGTGGGCGCTCACGGTATCCCAGGAATCGGGATATTGGCCGTGGCAGTCGGTGCAGCCGCGGGGCTGGAAGCCAGGGGTTGATGAACCGGTCAATGTCCACGTGCCATGTCCTCACGTCGGAAAGTTTCATCGGCCCATGAAGGGTATGCGACATGACCTTGACAGTGGCCGCACGAGACGGTCGCTTGAGAGAGAGTTCGAAATACTGTCAGCTTTGGGAGATGGCACCGTGATACCCATCCAGATACGTCTGACTACTTGGCAAATCGACAACTGAGGTGCATCGAAGCTTCTTATTCACGGGAAACAAAAAGACTCAACCTCAGAAGCAATACACATCGAGTAGCAAGCGAAAAGGAGAATTCTACGGGGTTGGACTCAAATGTATTCGAACCGCCTTTAGATCGCTGCTTAATAGCCACGATGTGCCGCTACAGCCGTTGCTGTACACCTCACCATCTCCGCGGAGGAAGGCCTAATAAGGTATGAAAGATCTCTCCACGTCTTGTTCGCAGGTCGCGCGGTTAGAACTCTGCTGCTGACGGGCAACAGTGCACTTGTTGCCGGCGGTCCGCCACTGAGAGGATTTACGTTTGGTAACAGAAACTCCGTTCCTGGTCTAGCGGCTTGGCACTGGTTGATGTCATTTCAATTGCATGGTATTTATGCTCAGCATTGCATTTCTTAGTTCTGTCAACTTATGACTTCAAGCCTTGTCTGCAATTATCTGCCATATTTCCGTGCCACTTCCCTGCCGAACAAGATGTACTGTCCAAGTCTGCCGGGAACGTGGGTGAGGCTCAATAGCAGATGCAGATAGCTTGTCTTTATCATTTAGATTGACGCCACAATCCATTGGTTTTATCAATCCGTCAATGATCTTCTAGGTGATCAGCTATATGCAGAAGGAGTGGGAAACCAAGAACTGGTGCTTGGCCGACTCAGGGTAACAATGTTTTCTTATGAGGTGTTGAGGTGAAAAAAAAGACAAAAGGCATTGGAATTATGTATAAAGCTCTCTTTCCAGGTTCCAGAACAAGCTTATTGGACTAGACCTGCATAGTCTTGCCTGTAGCAGAGCTCTCCCGAGCCAGCTCGATCAAGCGAATGACCTGCGCAGCCTCGGCGCCACTGGCCGGGGAATCTCCCTCGCCGTTCAGAGCGCGGACTAGCTTGCGGTAGTACTCAGTGTATGTAGGCGGCTCAACAGTGGGCACGACTTCCTTGGCCGGCTTGCCGCTCTGCATGGTCGTGAGGGTACCATAGCGCTCGCTGGGTTCACGGCCGTAGCCATTATCTGTGGGTCTGACGCCGGCCTTGAGCTGATCTTCTTGGATGTCAAGGTGGTACTGCAATTGGATTGGAAAGTCAGTGTGCTGAACTTCGATGATCTAGTACAGATAAAGAAGTATATATTGTCAAATCGCACCTTCTTGAAACTTCCCTTGTCACCACGGACCCAGAAGCGCAATTGCTCCTCTTCGGGACTGATGACAGTTGCCTTGGCGGTCACCATAGTGCCATTGGCGTAGTGTAGCAAGACGGTGAAAGAATCTTCGAAGCCAGAAGTGTTCTGCGCCCGCGCGGAACCGATGAACCCCGTCACCCGAGCAGGAAGACCCAAGAGGTGAACGGCCTGGTCGAGCAGGTGAGTGCCCAGGTCGTAGACGGCTGAGCCGCCCGGGATGACCTTGTTCTTCCACTTGTGAGCATCGGCAGACGGCTCCTCGGGACGGTGACGGTCAAAGTGGGTCTCCAATTCGGAGATGCGGCCAAGGGAGCCGTTCTTGATGAGCTTGGACAGGGTGACAAAGTCGGCGTCAAAACGACGGTCTGAGCAGGACGAGGTTATGATTAGTGACACATTCCACCGGCGACGCCAGCCAATTCAGAGGGTGAAAAACATACTCTGATAAACAGCAAGGACCTTGCCCTGCTTCTCAGCGAGAGCAACAAGCTCCTCGGCTTCCTTGTAAGTGGGGGTGAAAGGCTTCTCGCAAACGACTGCCATCCGGTTGGGTCAGCTTCAATCGCATCCTTTCCAGTACAAGCGTAGCAATCGTAATTCGTCGAGGCACGTACCATGTTTGCCCGACTCCAGCGCTTGCTTCACCAGGGTATAATGAGAATCGGGGGCCGTCGTGACAATCACCACATCCACCGCCGAGTCTTGCATTAGCTCGTCGGTTGTGCGGTAGGACTTGACGCCCGGATGATCCTTCTCCGCATCATCGTTGGCTTTCGGGGTGCGCTGGACCACCGCATACAGCTTCAGCTCGGGAATCTGCTCCACAAAGGGGATGTGGAAGATCTTTGCGCTGAAGCCGTAACCAATCACGCCGACATTGTACGTCTTGGGAGCCATGATGTCACAACAGTCGTAACGAGAGACAATCTAGTTGAGTCAGGGCTGCGATGAAAGACCAAAGTGTGTCTTGTTGGGCAGAGACTCACAAGTAGGGAATTGAAACTGGAAATCTGATTGGTAAAATAAGTTCAGAGCATGAAAGATCGGAGCCGACATGGGAAATTATATAACCCCAACTTCCGGCCAACTCCCAAAAGTTCTCCCGCGAGGCGAGTGCGGGGAGGTGACCGTGGAAGGTCCTGGCGACGGCTGTCCGTGGGACCGCCCCACCGAGTCAACGAGGGAGACCACCGAAGTCGAACACCTGTCGTTTGGCGGCTTCTGCCAGTGAAACCCTGCCGGGCCAGAACCAGAACCAGAACCAGAACCCGGCCACTTCCACTCGGCCTCCCGAAAGCCCACATCCCCGGCTCGGCTTCCGCCTTGAACTGGGCAATACTATAAACAACCAATTTTCCACGAGAAATAGATCGGAGCACGGTGTTCCATGTGCTGTCGGATGCTTGCTTAGGCGGATTTCTGATTGCTAATCGGAAATACAACCTCCATCGTCTCTGCAATCATCCATGTTGGTCCAGCCAACAGGAACTCATCACTGTATGAACGGCATCTCTCCGACTGTGCCCGCCGCGATACTAAGACACCCGGGCTGTGCCTTACGCACCACAGCCCTCGATAGGGGTATATCTTAGGTAGCTGCTTTTTGCTTTCTGTTTTCAAAGTTTCAATGGGAGATCCATTCGTAGATTCATAGTTCTATCATGTTTATTGTAGAGCTCGACATTCACTAGCTGGGATTATCGATTATCTAAAAACTTGTGAAGCGAAACCGACACACAAGAAGGCCGTTCCATTACTGGAGGTCTATTTCAAGATCTACAGGTAATCAGGCGAGAATCCAATAAGCAACACAATCTTGCAATCCTTCTCCGAACAGTCTCTCTGCTTTCCGTCTATTCTTTCGACCATCTTTCCAAGCCCCTTTCTCTATCAACCCCCATCATCCAGTGCTTCAATCACCATCTTAAGTCTGCGCATTCAGCCTGGGCAAAAGGCGAAACAAAGTATGGACTGGCTCTAATCATTGACTTAGATCAAAGTCTTCTCGACTTCGGCAATGGTGCCGTTCAAAATGGCACCCGCGTGATGACGAGCAGCCATGCCGTAGGCGAATTGATACCTTAACATAGATTAGTCACCTGCAGAAGACTTGAGGGTTCCCACAGTCTCGAGGTGAGAACTTACTGATCAATAACAGGGAGAATCTCGGTGAGACCGGGCGTAGCGCGCCAGTCACGCATGAGATCACAGACAATAGCGAAAAAGCCCATTAGCGTGACACCGGCCTTCTCCATGCGGCGATTGGCATCCTCGGCGAGCTTGACGTCGAAAGTTCCACTGGCGTCGGTGTTGGCGAAGACCTCGTAGCCTTCGTCAATGAGCGACAGGGCCAGGAAGGCGGTACCTAGATATGAGTGGGTAAGAGAGGTGGGGACTCGCTTTGAAGATAGTTTGATCAACGTACAAACTTCAGTCACAATACCACCGATGATCAATTGCTTCTTACCAAGGGCCTTGACGGCCTTGCGGAAGTCAGCGTTGTCCCAGGCATTGACCTCACCCTGGCGGCGGATAAAGGTAGCATTGGGGTGCATCTCGGTGATCTCCTTCAACAGAAGGCCGTTTGGACCCCCATCGGAGGATGAGGTCAGGATGGTTGGCAGATCAAAGATGTTGCCAATAGCAGAGTGCGCAAGCATGTTGTTGCGGAAGTCGTTGGTGCCAAAGTCACGAACGAGCTGGGCCAGACCAACTTGGTGATCGTTGACCAGGAGAGCCTGAGATATTTTGATGAGTCCTGACGTTGGCTAGATTCCTCTAAGAATCTGGTGACTTACTGCGTTCTCTTTGTCAAGGCGGTTCCATGCCTGAGCGGGGACCGAGATTGCCAGCAGCAGGGCAGTCTGGATGAATTCGGAGAAGTTCATCTTGGCAAAGCTTTTGGGATACCAGAAAGTGAATAGCAAAAGACGACAGGGAGAGAATCTTGAGTGGACTTCCAATTGGAAGCTTGTCTTGAGTCTGGATGAAAAAAAAAATTCTTGGTCAAAGGCGAGGGGATGTCTCTTTTTATATTCCATGAGACATCATGCTCACCCAGCTTACTTCCAGGCTCGTTAAAGATATGTCAGATGGACAATCTGATGCATTCGCTCAAGCCGAGCTTGCCTATGCCGGGGATTATCCCCGTTCACATCGTCTTGGCCGTTGGACAGTGGCCATGGCCATATGCAGATTATCGCCCGTGTGAGGCTCGGCAATGCAAGCATAATGCAGAATCGATACCCGGCGTCAACGGAGCTCCTGATTTAGGGATGATGTTCAATTCCCATTGGTGAGGTTCCTGAGCAAAACATCTCGAGTGTGGATATCTTCAGAAGGTTTTGTTTCTGCATCTCTCGTTTCCTTTCCCTTGTTCGTCCCCCGCTTGCTCTTCTACGACCTGGCTGATTCATGAGGGTCTCTCATGGGGATGAGATGATGCCCTCCCATTACAAGTATGATTCTCCTGGGCTCTGGGTATTTAGCATATCCCTTGCACAGTGAACAGTGATTGTCCTCGCCTTTCAACATTTCAATGAGCTGGCCAACACTAACCCTTCATATTCCATCCTCATGTTCAAGTCTCCACCGGCAACTCCCGTCAGAAGCCTCAACATCCGCAGAGTAGTCTCAGTCTAATCTCAGCTATCGCGTGACACATTACCGACTAATCGGCCCGTCAGCACGTCAAAATAAACGCCAGGTGGAAGCAAGCCCTCGAACTGGTAAGCTGCCGATAGTCTTCTGCACCCTCGGCAATCGGGCGTATTTTCCCCTCTCCTACGAAATGGCTGTTAGTGCTGTGGAGTAATTCGGCTCGAACAGGACCGCAGCAGATTTGATGGTTGTGATGGACAAATTGCTGACGCCAGCTTACCGAATGATGCGGTGCGCGAGACTAAGGCTGGATGGTGACAGAGTTGCTTGGCATGGCAGATATCGCGGCAGGTCAGGTGGTCCTACCTTTGTAAAGAAGCAACAGCCCACGAAGCTGGAAAACTCCAAGAATTTCCGATCTGCCACTGCACTCTAGGTCCCTTTCGTAAGCCTGGGCTCAACCCTCAGGATGAGGTGGGAGGGTGACCCCGGATCATTCAGGCCAGAGCAGTGGAAAGCAAAGAGAAACGCCCGGTGATCATGTTGGGGTCGCGCTGACCTTTGAACACAGGTCTCTACCTAACCGGAAGCATTCCTTTTGACGCTCTACACGGGTCAGATCCAGCAAATTGCTGTGTTAAGAGAGCGATCTGTCGAGCAATGCGAACTCCGACCACTCTTGACGTCTACGGACATGTCCACGAATATACATGTGCAATACCTGATCTCTCTACTATTTCGAGAGAGACACGGCATTGCGTGTGTTCCTACCCAGACGGAAGCGTGATGATAATCAGCGACTTGTCCTAATGGATTGACCAGGTAATGTATGGTGAGTCGGGAAGAAAAGAAATTCGGTGGTCGGCCTGAACTGTCCTGGTTGTTTATTTCATGTTTTATGCCGCCTGGAGGAGGATGTCCCCTACCACGGATTGAGGATGCATTTGTGTTCTGGTCCAGGTCATGCGAATCTGAGAGACTTGCGCCAAACTTCCATAAACGGCGAGGATGATGGATCTGATTGAATCAGCAATTTAAGTAGATGTCGATGCCTCGTCCGCCGGGCGGCCCGGGCTTTCTTGCGAACTCAGTTCCAAGTGCGTCCGGTCTCCGAAGCCTCCACTTGACTTGTCACATGAATTGGACTTTGACGTTTGTTGTTGACACGTGAAGGTTCAATTCTGTCCGAATGTTCATGACATCCCGTGATAATATTTTGAGTGTAGAGTAATGACAGGTTTACTTTGCCTTTGTATTATGATGCATCACGAGGAATGGAATAAAAGATGCAAAAGTGAAGTATATACTGAGGTATGCGTGGGGGTCAATCGCACGGCAATCATTGATGGAGGGGGTTTCTTTCCGCCCCCTACAAAGTCGCCCACTTCTTTGGACCGATTCTATACAGGGATTTGTCCTGTCGGCAAGATGGAGCTTTGAACCTATTCGACGGTGCGAAGTTTGTTCCTCAACACGCCACAATCTTCCATCGTCCAGGGTCGGAGACCTTGCTGCTGAACCCGTGGCTCTGTAGGTTCAGCAGCATTTTCATCACCTCGTGTCTTCCCGTTCCAGTCGCCAGAGTCAACGGCGTCTCCCCTCGGAAATTCTGCGCATACGGATCCACGCAACCCGTGTCGAGCAATCGTTTGACTATTCCAGTATGTCCGCGGTACGCGGCCAGGGACAAGGGGGTCTCGCCTCTGGCAGTTTGGAAGTTCGGGTCGACGCCCGGTGTCGCGAGAAGCAGCCGGACGACCTCTTCGTGGCCGTTCCAGGCGGCAAGGACCAACGGTGTCTCTCCGCCGTAGGTGGGATGATCTGGATTGACGCCCTCTGAACGAAGAAGTAATTGCACAATCTCGGTATGGCCGTTGTTGGCCGCCCACGAAAGAGGCGTCCGATTGCCCTCGGATCGGGCTTGCACGTTGGCTCCTTCACTCAGAGCTTTACGCACCGTCGCCTCGCGTCCTCGTTCGGCCCCCCACAAGAGAGCGGAGCTATGGTCCCTCTCCGCGTTGTATCTGTATAGATGGCGATCGAGCAAATTGTACAGACGAGAGTTGGTCTGCGCCAACCGATGGATGTCTCGCTGCCAGGCCAAGTGACCGGCGATCAAGAGCAGCACCTCATTGGGCAAGCTGAGAAGATCGGTCATGGTGCTTTAGGTGAAATTCCAGCCCGCCCGCTACTGCCGGGAATGAGTTCCGTTGTTGATGTGTCGATCAGGAAACCGCAGTTCAGGTTCAGGAAAGTGTTCACGATGTTCAGGAAAGAGTACAGATCTCATCCATCGTCCTCGTAGCCCCTGGATCAAGGGATGAATTAAATACCCTACCCCGCCCCTGAACGGTTTGCTCAGCGCCGGCTGTCATTCAGGAAAAGACGTTCTATTCAGGGACAAAAGAGGCCCAAGCCTACCCTGAATTGCCGTCCGATTCGATCTTTAGGCTTCCCATGACCGAACTCAAAAGGTCAACTGCACGAGCTGCGCTGGACAACAAGAGGTCTATCCTGGTCCCGGTGCATGTCACCGCAGACCCTGGGAGGCAGCTGAGTGGGCCAGGGCCAGGTCCGGGTACCTTTGCTTGCCACCGCAAGAGAGCTCTGGGAGGACATCCGTCTGATGATTTGTGTATGTAGATACCCAGGGCTGTACTGGTGTACTCTGTACTTCCAACACAAGCCTTGCGAATTTGGAGTCACTCTAGTAGTGAAAGTGAGGCTTTACCTCTATTCATCATGATGTCAAGATGAGTAGAGCCGATGATAGCTTGACAATACCAACTGGTCAAGCTACTGATCTCAGAGCTCCCTTGATCCCAGCACTACCCAGCAGTGAGTCGTGGCGATGCGCTCCAAAAATAGCGACGGCTTGCGATGCTCTGATGTCCCATCGTGGAGTCGTTGGACCGAGGAGGTTCGATTGGACGCCCGACCGTACGGAGGATCGTCTCCAGAGACTTTGATCGGAGACTTGAAGCGGGGAAGAGGTGGGACAGACGAGATGCCACACTGATCTATGAGTATGACAGTGGTGTGTGCCCGCGTGAGGAGCTAATCTCAGTGGACAGTCAGATCATCTGTCAACCCCAGTGAGGGCTGGAAGACCCAAAGCTCCTTGACAAACTCGTCAGACAACTGCACACCAAACAAAATAAAAAGGCACCCAAGCTTTCATTGCACGAGACAGCAGTCGCCACCTGCATAAGTCGACCGATCAATGCGTCTGCCTCCCATGTCGTAGCCATTGACCATCGTCAAGCAATATGCGGTGGCTGGAGCCGATCGTCACTCTCTCCACCAACAACCACAGTACTCACACATACTACTCTCCCTCTCTCTGTCTCTCTCTCTCGTATCTCTCCCTTGCGTACGTACGACTCAGGTAGACCGCTCAAGTCTGCAGCTACCTGTCAACTTGAAAGATTGTTGACATCTCTAAGGCAGATAGGGCTGTGATGTGCCATGACGGTGTTGCAGCCAATGCCCCGCCTCTCTTGTCTGCCTAAGAGACACCGGCGGTGCTACGAGGGCACTTCACCTTCGCCCGCAAAATCTCAAAAAGGCAGAGCTTGGACAGAGGGCATGTCTTCTATCATCTGGCCCCTGGCAAGGATGTTGCTGTCGGCCTTGTTCATCGTTATCGACACCGTCATTTTCATTCTGCTCCTCGTGTTTCCCCGTGCTCGTGCAGCAGTGGGGGGCACACCGATCCCCCACCGAGAGATCGAACACGAAACGATCTTGATATCAGGAATTGAAACCACGACTGGCCTAGTTCTGGCTCGAACATGGCGCGAACGTGGCTTTCGGATAGTGGGCGTTGATGTAGTCGATCCCTATCTGCCCATTCGCCCAGGCGGTGGTATGTCAAAGTCCGTCGCCGCATATTACCAGGTGTCGAAAGACCGCTATGTTTCGCAGATTTTGGACATTGTACTTCGTGAGGAGGTCGCCATATGGATCCCCTGCTCGCCGAAATGCTCCCCCGCGGAAGATGCCGCTGTCAAACAGGTCGTGGAGAGTCGTACCGCCTGCAAAAGCATCACTTTCGACCCCGAGATGACTGCCCTTCTCAGCGACAAGCAATCATTTCGAGAGTTCCTGCTCAGCAAACACATCCCAGTCCCCAGGCATTATCAGGTGAATTCTCGCGACTCGGTCCATAGAATTCTGAACGGCGCACCGACTAAATCATACATTATACGAGAAATCGGCCCACGTGCGAAAAGACGTGGCATCACTCTACCAGGGCGAACACTTAGCAGCACTTACACCACGGTCAGCGAATTGTCCATTTCGAAGGACTCCCCGTGGACAATGGATCAGCAGACTCGACTGGGCGTGTTATGGGCCGACTTTCTGGTCATTCGTGGTCGTGTCTTCTCCTATCATTTGTGGACAGAGGAGAGGTGGGCGTATCACCAGAAAGCCTTGCATCTGCATCAGGCGCTGGCGAGCAGGGCGCTCCGCATCATCCAGCAAATGACCTCACAAGAGGGCGAACGAATGACGGGACATTTATCCGTGAAATTCCTGGTCGACGAGGAGATCGAGCCCACATCTGTTCGTTACTTACTATACGTTTCCGACTGCGTTTCTGGCGCTCGAGCTGCAGAGAAGATTGTGCGTCATACACAATGGCCTACTGAGGGCTACCTTGCCGTTCTGAGACCTGTCTTGGTCCTCGAGGGACCGATAACACAGTCAGACTCGCGTGACCCATGGATTTTCGGAGCACAATCACTAGACGTTCTGGCCGAGTGGTGTCTTACATGCATTCTGCGTGCGCATGATGACCAGGAGAGATTCCAGGAACGGTTCCAAATCGAGATCGGTCCGTATCTCTTCTGGAAGAATACAGACCTATCAGCTGAAGATCCTCTCCCTTGGTGGTGGGATTTGCACGTCTATCGACCCCTGTGTGAGCTCTGGACGCTTGCGAAGCAAGTTAGAACCCTCATCGGACGCCGTGTCTCATCCATCGACGCGATAGTGACAAGATCATGATTCTCATAAGACCAAACTCGACATACGAGACTCATAGGAATGGTCTCGCTGGGCGAGATCTTCGTCCAGACGGCTGGCCCTGCAGCAATACTTTTCTATGCAGCACTTGTGCAATTCATCGACCTCAGGCTGGAGTTAGACAACAAAGTATACGTGCCACTTGCGACAGTTTCAGTAGACGAGAGGTTGATGTTTCAGTCTATGCAATATTGGGGTCTTTTTACACAGCGTTGATCACAAAAGGGCTCTCTTCCATGACTTCTACATCGTTGCCATGAGAAAATTTGGCTCATTAGGAGAAGCGATGAGTTGAATGTGGCAACCCTCTGGTTCAAGAGTATACTATCTCGCAACCGTGACACATCAGATCTGAAACACCCCGCAAACACGAGCAACTCCGAGGCAGTCATCCGTTATGGATCATCTAAACAGAGCAGACTGCTGTGTCGCAGAGAGAGAGGAGGGAGAGAGAGAGAGAGAGAGAGAGAGAGAGAGAGAGAGAGAGAGAGAGAGAGAGAGAGAGAGAGAGAGAGAGAGAGAGAGAGAGAGAGAGAGAAAGAGAGAGAGGGAGACCAAAAACATCTGTGTCTGTCCACCTTGCAATGCATTGTGCCAGCTCATGCACGTAAGAAGCGTCACTGGACAAGGTGCTTGTTGGTCGTGAATGATCGAAGTATCCCACCGTACACTTGATGTAGAAACTCAGTGCTTGAAGCAACATTCTTGATGCCATGTGCGTCTTCGAGCTTTGATACCCATTTTTTGTGTCGCACGAGTACCATATTTCCTACCTGATCCATGTTTTGGAGCAGATGGAGCTAGCCATATTATCCATCGCCTTTTGCGACCGACACGGCCTTCCCTGAATTTAACATTGTGAGACCTACAGCGGTCTAAAGGCACAGGAAGCAGCACGAGATCGGAACGGGTTGGGGAGATGAAGAAGGGAAAACCTGCCCACGCAGGGGAAAACCTCCAATCCTCTCAACACTAGGCAACAGCTGGTCCTGGCCATGCAAACCACGTAGCACCGAGGGAGAAACTCTATCAAACATAAGATCGCGTACTTGATTATCAACGACTCTCATTTGAGAGCAACAAAGGCCTTTTTTTTTCAAAATTCGCACTAGGCGTACCATATATACATCGAGCGAAAGGAAGCAGTGTCGTGTACCTCCAAGATGGTACTGTACTCCTAGTACTACTAGTCTACTACAGCCTACTGCCTAGCAGTGAAAGACCACAGACGTGAAAGTGGGCCGTGGCAATGCGCCGGGCGTGGCTGAAATGGGCTGAAAATAGAACAACAGCCGACGGCGACGGGCTGTCGCCTGGGCGATGATCATCAGGCCCAGAACCAGCACAGCACATATTCGGGGCACCTCAAGCTCAGGAGCATCCGTCATTCATCTCATCTTCTCCTTGTGCCGTGTCTACGAATTCACGAGTTCCCAATCTCCGTTCAACTTTTCCCCAACGAGGTAAGACAATCTGAAGCTGGGTCGTTTGGCCGTTGCTGCCAAGGCAGCGTGTGGACAGCACCAACCCCAATTGACGTCGTTAGGCAAACCCCAGAAGAGGCCCGCCAGGCAATCTTTCCAATTCGAACAACCTTCCGACCGTGGCACTCCGCCTGTCAACTTCTCCCGAACATAACTCCAGACATTCCTGCCGTCATTTTTGGGCCATCGACGCGACTTCGCTGCTGAGGAACCTATCTCTATCCTGACCTCAAAAGCAAAGTTCCTATTTCAGGTCCCGCATTTCCCGTACGGTCTTGTCTCCCCGCTCGGCACCTCCGCAGCTCTCAGCCGGCGCATCTCTCCGGGCTGAAACCACACCCTTGCATCTTTGCATTGCCCTTGGCAGCTCGACACCCAACTGCCCGCCATCATGCAACTTCGAATGCCCCGAGCCACGGGTGGGAATATGGGGAGGACTAAAAATATCATCCATTTTGTGCAGGCCTTTGTCATTTTCATTGCCTGGGCGATGACCATCGCCGTCTGGACAAAGGGCGATGGGATTGACGGCCGTACAGTATGGTACTGGCTTTTGGTGAGTTCTCATCCTGCGCTGCGCATTGAAACACTCTGCAGTTGTCTGCCTCCAAGGGCGCGCGGTCTGAGGATATCGCGAAGCATGGCAGCTAATACTACGATTGGCCATAGTGTTGGATCAGCATCCCGGCACTCATATATCTCGCTGCGGTACCCATGTGGCCCCGCGCCCGTCGATTCGGAAATGTATATGCCTTTGCGACAGTCGATATGCTGTGGGCCGTATTCTGGTTCAGTGCCTGGGTCAGCGTGGCTTCCTATGTTGCGCAGGGCAAAAGTATTGGCAAGTCGAGCGACAACAGCAAGAACAAGGCTACGAATAAGACTGGTTGCGACAACTGGGCATATGGCAGTGCCAGCAAATGCAATGTCAGCACAGGTATCACGATTGTTGGAGTGATCATCTTGTTCGTGAACCCTCTCTTTCCCGCCGCGGATGCGATTCCCATTCGAGTGGACAACTTTCAACTAATCCTCCTGATCCTGCTACTAGTGTTTTGTTTGCCGTGACTTCGTGGATGTCTCTTCGCAATGTGATGCACTTCCGCCGCACGGGTACCCTTCCCGATGCGGTATCCGATCCCACCTTCGCTGCCCAGAGCAAGGCAGCCTTCTCATCAAACCCGGCCCATGACTTTGAGGAGGACGAGGACGATTTCCGCTCGGGTCGTTCGGGCTTGGGTATGCCATCTGCCAGCGACCGAGATGAGGACTATGCCTTATTGCAGCAGAGCGAGGTGGACGACATTGGCAATGCCCACGGCCGGAGCGCCCTGCATGGCGCCTATGATCCTACAGGCCCTACGACCAGCAGTGTGCTTCATGACTACAACAGCACCGGCTATGGCGGTGCTCACGGGCAACACTATGCCCCGCCATCTGAATTTGGCGCTTCCACGAGTGGCTATGGTCGGTAGAACGCCGCGGGATCAAGTTCTGTTGAAGGAGGAATTGTCGGATGTGATGATCGTGACCGCAATGAATAGTCGGCATACGAATACCCCCCAACTTTGCTCTCGCAAATCTCCCTGCTTATGCTCTTTCGCCTGTTTGCTGGTCATGACTACGAAATGGTGTTGGCTGGCGCATACTTTATTGACGATTTCTACATTTGTATTGATCCCCGGACGATGTCGAGGGTCTCTGTTCACATGTTCTATGTGACGCATCATTGATGAGAGTTTGACGGAGATATTGTGGCCAAAATGATGATTGTCGAGATAGAAAGCTTTTGAATGATACCATTTCTTGAAGTTCCAATGACTGACAAGCCCTCCTCAATTGGCGTCTTCACCATCCGCGGCCAGTTGGGCCAGATTGCCCGGCAGAAATCTGAAACAACGGCAGATTTACGTTCTGCCACCGCCTTCGATACGATGCATTGATGTGGACAGCTTGCGCTCTTTCCCCGGTCTGTGCTGCAATCACCAGATTAATTTAAGAAACAACACTTGCTTTGAGGCCCGACCGAGATTTCAAATTGGGTTGAGTCTAATTTACAAGATTCCTGACCGGTATGTCCAATCGTCATGGCTAAAGAGTGCACTTAGTGTTCTTTAGAACCAGTGATGTCCTACCTATCTGAGATTCCCAATCTTTACCGACACTGACTCTCTCTAGCTTCCAATCCACACCTAAATCTCCAGCTCTTGAGACTCGGACTACCAAGTCCACTCACGCACTGCACCATGGCTTCTGAAATCGACATCTTCAACGAATACCCACTATACATGGACCCCAGCACAAAAGCCATCTCCCTCCTCCCATCATCATCCCAAACCGCCTCCCAAAAGGCCGCCATCACCGCCGAACTCACTGAACTCAACGATCTTCACCGATCCCTCATCAGCCTCGATTCTCCCAACATCCCTCCCCCTCCTCTCCCCGTGAATCCCAAGCGCAGTGCACAGATAACCAAGCTCCGCGACTCAGGCAATGCCGCCTACCGCAAGTCCAACTACGCCGACGCCATCCGCCTCTACACACTCGCCATCGAAATGGCCGTTTCCCGGCCGGGCTGGGAGCCCGTAACGCTGGCCCGCGAAGAACTCGCCGGTCTGTATGGGAATCGGGCCCAGGCGCATCTGGGGATGCGGGCCTGGCCGGAGGGATTGTGCGACGCAAAGGCGAGTGTGGACTCGAAGCCCGTGGGCAATGTGAAGGCGTGGTGGCGCTTGTCCAAGTGCTTGGCGGAGATGGGTCGATACACAGAGGCCAAGACGTTCTTGCTCAAGGGGATTGAGATCGAGGGTAGGGAGAGTGAGGGTGGGAGGGAATTGGTGCAGTTGTTGGGGGATGTAGAGGCTGCGTTGCAGAGGGCGGATTAGAAGTGGAAGTTGGTTGCCACGGGGGTGTGTCCCTGTTTTGACTCTCGATCTTTGAGATTTTGAAGGTCTCTTTGGCATTGTCGTGCTCTGGATATGCTTTTTCGATCATATATGCTAGCTGCTTCCGGTCCTTTCTCTCCTGACGTTGGTCGGACTTGATGATTCCCTTCTGTTTATTTGGTGGCGTTCATTTAACATCTCGTTTTGATCTATTAGCTTGCTTGTCAATAGATTCCCACACTTTGCTCAATTATTCAACCGAACTTGTCGTAGGCAAAATTGTCATCCTCGTACTCGCGAGTATCTCCTCTTTGCTGACCGAGTCAAAAGCACCTAATTCGGAGTCAATGCTGTCGAATATGAACGTCGGGTTACATACGTCCCTTGGACGAAATCCCGAAGCTTGGGTGACTGAGAGGGCATGTATCGACTCAGACTCACTACGCGTTGACCACAAGATATTTCTTCGAGAACAATCTTTTGGATCTGTCGAAGTTGCCAACAGAAAGCAGGGACGCTACTATCGACATATCCTTTCAAGAATCGTAAAACAAGGGATCAGAAGTAGTCACTGAAGAGCCAACTTGACCCAGCCACTCTCTCGCCAATTCCCTTGAATTCCTTCCTCTTTTAAACCAAAATGCTAGATCCGTCATTCTTCGTGCACCCGCAAGCTCCAGATCCAGACGCAATTTGACTGGGTGTGCGCGCATAGCTCGGTGGGACATCCAGCACAGGGTTCCGGTCGAAGAAATGCCGCGGTCGAAGCAAAAGCGTCATGGGCTCAGCCGGCATGATGGGATAATCTTCTGGTGCAGGGAAGTGCGTCAGTCCGAAGGTATGCCAGAGCACCACGTCTGTGTTGTCGATGGAGGAGTCGGAGCCGGCGGATTCGATCCAGGCGGGAATACCCTGAGAGGGCTCGCCTGAAGTTTGAGGAACGTGACGGCCAGCAGGGTGAATTTGATCGTCGGAATCTGGAACGAGAGATGTCAGACATGATTCGTTTTGTTTACCATGACGAGCAGACGAGATATTCTGGTGGAAATGAAGATGAGGTTACTTACATTTCGTGACGTGAATTGCGTGGCGGGCAAAACCAGCTCGTTTCCAGACAAGACTTCCCTCTTTGGGCAGGAGGGGAGGTACATCCCGACTGACGAGTTTGTAGGATACTGGCTGCTTGCTGTGGGAGTTGAGTTTATTGGTATTAGCCATATCCCATGTGCGGCTGGTCGAGCCGTCGTAGTCGGACATGGCTTCGCGCGGAGTCGTGAATTTGGTCTTCTTCGCGTAGAAAGCGTTGCCATATTTGTTTTCGAGGCTTCCGACTTCACCTGGTCCTCGGACAGCGTCTACTTGGAAGACGGTGTTGTCAGGCCCGTCGATGTTCGGATCCACGCGAAGACAGAACAGATGCTGGTGATTGTGAGCGTTGACACCGGGGTAGACTTCAGTGCCCCAGCCGTGGGTGTCCTCGCCTGCATTCATGGCGTAGGTATTGAGAATGCCGGTCAATTTTATTTCCAGTTGAACGGTTCCATCCTGGTGGAAGATCCAGTAGACGCAGTACTCGTAGTTGGCTGCAGTGAAGATGTGGGAGATGATGAGCTTGCGGCCGCGAGTCACGACGACCGAGTCATCGCGGAAATCGGTATGCTTGAACAGAATCCCGGCATCTTCCTCGTGGATGCAGATCGCGTTCTTGATCGTGGTAGCTGCACCTGCTCGGTTGACAAACGCGGCGTCCATATAGTGGATGGCACCCTTGCAGTCGCATCCCAGAGAGAGACTGTTGGTCATGTATCCACCGCCGTACTCACCAAGGTCGAATGCGTGCTTTCGCTGGTGAGGATGTTCGGGATTTCCATAGGGGACGACCATCTCCGCTACCGAGAGGCGCCAGAAGATTGGTCGGACGTTTCCCTTGTCATTGAAAGTAATGTTGTTTAGAACAATGCCCTCGCGATAATTGAATCCGACGTGGATGTTCCAGTTTTGCCATTCAATCATTCTTCCATTGACCACGAAAGAGACACCGTCTGGCTGAGTGATGTGGATTGGCTTGATGTCCTTCCGATAGCCGCCCTCTTTCTCAATAGCGGCAGGATGATAATTGTTAGGAGGGGCCTTGTTGATGGGTCGACGCACAAGGGGAATGTCGATATGGATGATCTCGCGAGTTTCCGCATTGTAAATTGGGCAAAAGTCAAGAGGATAAGTGTATTGGGAGTCGTCGGGGTGTGGCCTGTAGTACATCAAGGCCTGCTGAAGACGAACTGTACTGCCGAATCTCTCATCGTAGCCAATTGTCCATGCTGTGGTTCTATTAGCTGGGCTCTAATGTGCCGTGCCTCTCAACATGCTGAATGATATCAGATGAGTACTCACGATCACAGTACACTTTATGCATATCTTCGGCCGGAATACCGACAATGCCGCATTGCTCAATGACTTTGAAATCCTTGCGCACCACATGCTCGACCTCCTGAAGGTCCTCCATAGTGATCAACGGCTGAACATCAGGTGTGTGATTCCATTCCGCAATCTCATTGTTGTCCAAATCGACCACGCCGTCATACACCTTGCCGCCCGGTGCAATCGCCACGACGTCGGCTTTTCGAGCTGGCCGAGGTGCATTTTCTGGTTTGGCTACCCAGGCCATCATTTCGGCCTTTCGAGGCTCATACAAAGTAATGGCATTGTAATGAAGAGGGCCATGCTCTTTTCGAATGATGTTTACAGTAGCTTCAATCTCCGCAGTGGAAAGAGGGTCAAATGGATGTGGAGGTGCAGCTGTCGCAGTGACCTGGTGGGCCAACTGCGTCAATCGATCAGAGACCATTCTGCCTCAGAGGTATTCCAGTAAAAAAAATATATCGTCGGGTGAGAGGAGAAGAAGTATCCCCCTCTGAGCAGTGGAGGTCAAGCCTTTGAGATTAAAATTGAAAGAGAAAATCAACACAAGTCACTGAGACGCGATGACATGTCTTCTTTATGTACAAAATGCTTTAAGCTCCAAGCTTTCGTTGACCACGTTGTTGTAGATCGGTTCGATAAGAGAGGAGCAGCATTTGCGGAGGCCGGATCCCTTTGCTTAATCAGGCCTAGCGTCTCCAGAGCCCCACGTCTTTAATTTCTCGAAACGGCAACCCGATCCTTGCTGACTGATAAGATCCGATATCCGGAGTAGATAGCAGTAGCGGCATGTGCATGATGCTGAGCAGAACACAGTTGGCTCACATCCCGTTCAGCATGAAAAATAGTTGGACTGTCTCCGCTTATCAGACAGGAAGGAGTTGCATGTACAGTTGTACATAACTACCAGTTAATCCACCAAGCAATCATTATCAGGGTGACGCACCCCCCTCGGGTAGTCTCAGCTAGGTAGTCCTACACGATGACTGACCAGGGCTGACATCCTAACAAACAAACCCAAACACACAAGTGCTCAACACCCATAGATCTTAGAGACAAATTCAAATCAAAGAATAGTCCATATTGGGGAATTCGCTATGGACAACCTTGCCTGCACGAGCCATTCTAATAAGCATGTCGATCAAAGTAGTATGAGAAAAAGAACCCTCAAGGAAGAAAACCACAGTCTCGATTACCCTGGACGCCTCGGCAATGAGTTTAGATACTGACATTAGCGGGCCAAAGAAAAAGAACCGAGACAGCAAAGTTCAAGATAATAATCACTGTATGGCAGAAGAGAATGGAGATAGAAAACACCGTGCACCCTCCCAATACGCCTGATATGAAACACCTTCTGCGGCGTGCGCACAGAGAGATCCCAGTGTGAAAAGCAGAAAGGATCTATGCAAAAGCAACAGGCAAGAGAAGATAATGCCCAGAAGAGATTGAAAGAAAACAAGCACCGAAGCCAAGTGCCTATGTACATGCATCAAATTCGTAGCGTCCAGCTCTCCCAAGATCAGTCGCGTCATTCGTAACTCATTATCTACCGACCGGGCGTGTGGTAGCCAGAATGATGTTGAGGCGTCTGGGAGTTGTTGGGAGTGCCGGGTGTACCGGCCGCAGAATAAATGGTCGCACCGTTCAAGTTCGGTGTTTGTTGTGCCAGAGCGTAATTCATCGCCGGCATTTGACCATTCAAGCCCCAGATTTGACCTGAGTACTTGCTCTCATCAATCTTCCCCCCAAAGACCAACTGGCGCATTTTCCAGTAAATCTCGCCCGTCACCAACGAATCGGACCCAGCCTGATGGGCGATGCCAATCCTCTTGACACCAAGCTCATCGGCGATATCCTGAAGGCCTGACTTTTGACCAAGGTTGGCAAGAATCTGGGCGGCGGCTTGGGTGAGCGGAGAGTCATTGACCGCTTGATTGCGACCGGCGTGCTTCATGAGATACTTGATGTCGTACAGAGAAGGGAAAAAGATATTGAGAAGTTGGTGGAACTCCTCCTCGTTCTCCGGCAGCGCTGAGCAGAGCATAATCTTCATCAAGTACCCGAAGTCGTAACCGGAATGGAAGGAGACCCAATGCACATCATCTAGCAGCACCAGACCTGAACTGATCAGTAACGATCCAAATTCGAAGGGATCAATTCCATTCTTCTCATGCATGTTGAAGTCAATGCCAGACTTTGCCAACATTGTCGTTGACTCTTGCGCGTACATGTCTCCTTCCAAAGAGAACCGGAAATTAAATTGCCACGTGCATGGTGCGGGAAGCATCGCATTGGCGTGCGGCTGACCATTTGCGTCGGTAGGAACAGCGGGCGGGACTTCTCCATCCTCATTGAAGAGCGTGATACCCAATTGAATCATTTTCAAGAGGTCCACGTTACAGCGGAGAGTCTGGTAGTGGTAGTCCGCCTTGTTGGTGAATGAGCCGATTGGGCGCGCAACGATCCCGGGGAACTCTGTGTCCTTTAACGATGTGATAAGTGATCAGCCCAAGTGTCCATAGCGGCGTGAGGGCATCGATCCCAATGGTAATGGATCTCATCCACGTGAAGCGGAGTGATGCGCCGAAGCCTTACCATGCTGATGTACGGGTACTTGTCGACAAGCTGCCTCAAGACAGCCATTTCGTGGGCCAGATTATGCTTCCATACGTCGCGAATCCGAGTCTTGACCGCGCCAGCCTTTGCGTCGAGTGTCAACCGACCGTCGTGTCCTTGGGTAAGTTGTTGTTGCTGCATTTGGGCGCCACGGGCGAAACCCATCTGCGCAGCATGACTGGCAAGCCCAGTACCTCCGCCATCGGCCACTGACATGCCGTTCGATACGCCAGCGCTCGTTAACGTGAAAGGATTCATATTCGTGTTCGGGTTACCGGCGAAACCAGGGTGGCCACCGAGTGAGGGAGGAGGAAGTGCGGTGTTGGTAGATGGAGTGTGAGAGGTATGTTGAGTTTGTAAATGAGTTTGTTGCAGATTGTAAGGAGCACCTAGAGCCTGGGGCCCAAATCGACCAGGAGGAGGTGGCATATTGAGATGAGCTGACGATGTGCGCATTCATTGGAGAGGTTAGTTTCAAGCCTCGAAGGCGGGAGAGCTATCCTCATCCGAATCAGGCATAGCGTGTGTGCGTTCTGCCGAGCGCACCGCTCCGGCTTCACGTCCCTTCGCTTTCTGTGGCCTTACTTGCGATTGACTGCGCTGTCCTACGCCTCTTTGATTTCGTTTAATACCCTCATTCAATCGCAATCATGCCTGCTCGCAATCCCACTGGCTTCGATATGGCCCAATTCAAGGCGGCGGCCTCCCCTAACTCAGTCTACGCCAAGCGGGATCCATGGGTTCGCAAGTACGCTCTCCGTCTAACTGTTGTTTGAAGGGAAATCCGAGACTTGATCTAATTATCTTTTCTAGTGAGGCCTGGCGCTACACTGGCCCATTCACTCGTTGGAACCGTTTCAAGGGCCTGTTCCCCGGCCTTGGAATCGCCACCGTCGCATTCACGGCCTACTGCGCTTATGAGCACCTGTTCCTCAAGGACGATCACCACCACGATGACGGCCATCACTAGACGAGACCTGGCGAAATCCTGCGCATAAACATGGCGTTTGCGATAACGGACGGTCCATGAGCAATCTGAAACCTGAGAACCGATACCCTCAACCCACCCACTTGAATCACCCTTTCCAGTTCCCCGAGTCATAACCAGGCTGGGTTACCAATATGGCGGCAGTAGCAGGGCTGCTGTCAATCGAATGCATGATTCACAGTCCGAGACTTCTCCCAGATCATCTTCACCTTTCTACAATAGAGGACGACCATTGCGAGCTCTTATCTCGGAGTTTACTGATCGGATGTACATAGCCTTTGTTCAATTATTACAGATCTTTTTCTTTTTCTTTCGTTCCTTACCCACGGATTCGGGTCATATCATTAGCTAATGGCTTGCGTGCGAAGTCTGAAATGATGTAGTATTTCAGTGATCATTGACTGTTTTGATTTCAGGATGGAGACTCCCGACTATTGACCGCATTGGGCCTCGGAAGCGCCCTCTATACAGCGAAACATGATATCATAAAGCGCCCTGTAAGGCAACAACAACAAGACGAGAAAAAGTGGACTATATGACAGAAACGGCCTACTCCTCAAAGACCAATGAGATGCCATCATCACCAGCGGTGACGATACGCTTGCCATCAAAGCCCTGGACGAAACCCATGATACCGCCAGCCTGCTCTCCATCTTCATTCTCAGAAGCACCCATGTGGCCCTTCCATTCCTTCAGTAGGCCTTGAGCGGCCGCGGTAGTTCCACCACGGGCGTCCCATCGGCGAACAACTCCGTCCAGGCCGACTGAGGTGAGGAGATACGGGCGTCCCTGGCCGGCAGCTGCGGCAGCTGCGGGGAGGCCCGGACGAGCAGGCCCAGCTGGCGGGCGGCTAGCAAGGAATTCGACTTTGACCACCGCAGCACCCTCGTGGGCTTCCCGGATGTGTCGCCGAACCGCAAAGCGATGGGCGGCATCGTAGAGGGCAATGGAACCATCGACCGAGCCAGCGGCCAGGAGGGTCAATGGAGGCTGCGAGAACGACAAGGTCTCAATACCGTCTGACTGTGCCTGCAAGTCGGCCAAAATAGTACCAGCGGCAGAGGCAGTTGCGCCCTGAGAGCCCTTTCCCTTGGCAGCTTGGGGCCCAGTAGCGAGTCGCGGCAGACCGACAATCTTGATGTGACCCTCAGCACCACCTACCGCAGCAATACCACCACCAGGTGAAATGGCGATCGAGTAGAGACCGCCTTCCACAGCGAAACGCTGATCCTCAGCAGTCAAACCCACGAGGACGTTGGTACCGGGGGATCCGGAGATCCCAGCCGCAGCGGCGGCTCCAAAGACATCGTGCACGTAGAAGCTCCCGTCCTCGGAGATGGTCGCCAGCAAGTTTCCATCTGGAGTCCAGGCACCAGCAGTACAGGACGCGGTATGCTGGAAGAAAGTCTGGACCATCGAGATCGGCTGAGAATCTGAGGCGTCGATACGGAAGACCCACGCACTACCGTCGTTGGCTCCGATGGCAACCACATTGCGTTTCTCTTCATTGCCCTGCTGATAAGGGCAGACCGCGACCCAATTGATTTCCTCCACTTCTTGAGCCTCGGCAACAAATTCCCAAGCTTCGCCCCGATTCCTGGCAGACGTATCCCGCCACACACGAAGCTTGCCATCAAGACCAGCCGTCAGGGCATATTCTCCCGCCGGCTCTGTGAAAGCGACCGCATTGACGGTATCAGTATGCCCATCAAGCTTGGCCACTGAAACTTGTGACTTGCGCTCGCGCGGCTGCGGGTTTGATTCATAGCTCTGAGGGAGGACCGGCTTCTCGGGAGGCGTTGAGTCGTAAATATAAGCAGTGTCGTCACCTGCGCCAGTCAGGACGATATTGTTGTGAATGGGGTGCTGCGCGATGCAGAAGATGGAGTCGTTGTGTAGGTCAAAGTGTGCCGCAGAGTCATTTTGGAAGGTAAGCTCCTCATCGAATGTCATCTGTTGGTCCTCATCTTCGCCATCAGACTCCATGGGCTGGTCCTCATCCCGGTTGAAGATCTCCTCGGCTTCATCCGCCTCGATGTATGCATCTTGGGCATCCCGATGAGGATCTTGAGAAGCCATGGCTGAACGATGAACAGACAGTTTTCGGTGTGGTCGAAGAAGTGATGACAAAAGCCCCGGGTAAACAATCAGGTCTAGACTTGGATGATTGCAGACACAGCAAGTGAGAATTGGCCGCAGATAAATTTATTGTCTCATGTGGCGGAATATCTGGGCTGACGCTTAATCTTTTTTTTTCCCGTCTGTTCCAACTCCCCGCTTAGAAATCCGCATCCCGCGATCGGCAAACAGTGCAAACAGCCTCTTATCTTCTTATCGGTTTCTTATCAGATGCCCGCCTCACCTGCGCTCGCAACAGTCCAGGTGGGCACGCACGCTCGAGCGAATGAACGGAAGTCAGATAATCTGATTTTCGGCAACTTTTAATCACCTGAGTGACTTCGAGATCGCCTTGGTATTGATGAGAAAACACAGTGACCATCATTCGGTCATTTCTTTCGTGGCTCCTTTACATCGTCACCAGTATTGGCTGAGTTCTGCTATACTGTCCTTCATCCAGCCCTCAGAGATGGTCAACCCAGCATCGAATCCATGGTCCCCATCATGTCCTTCGAAGCGAACCTTGACATCTGGCTTATGACGACGAAGTTCCTCAACAAATCGCTCGCTGCCATAGTACGGTACAGCCGAATCCTGCCTTCCATGATATATCCAAACAAATGGTGGCATAGTCGTCGCACGTGAGATGTTCTCCAATGGGAATAAGTTGGAGTCCGTACCCAAGAAGTCCAAGAATCGACCGTTTTGAACGATTCGCAGGGCCATCTCGGACCGCGATGAGCCCAGACCTTTGTCCAGGTCTTTGTCGTTACTAACGATCGCTCCATCGGGGAGGTTGCGGAGATGTTCCTCGACTGGCTCATAGGGAAGCTTCGATTATGGATAACAGTCGACCAAAATCAGTACTGCAAGTATGCGATAGCGCAAAGGTCTCACTGAGCTGCACTTACTAGAGTTGTGCCGTACATCGGCTTTTCGTACTTTTCGTTCCAGAAACGATCTCGAAGATGGACCATTGGGTATACCAAGACGACGGCAGAGGGATGGATCTCAGGATGCAACAGCATGCTTTGTGCAGCCAGATAGCCACCGGCACTTCCTCCCATGACCATGACCTTGTCAAGATCAGGCTGGATAGTGGATGATGGATGAACAGTCGAGACGTTCGAGGCCAGATCAATTTTTATCCATGACCAGAAGTCGTTCAAATCCGAAAGGATGTCCCGACCAGTGGATTCGGGCAGTAACCGATAGTCCGGAGTCACTAAAATTGCTCCTCTAGAGAGGGCCAACTCAACCAGCCTGACATGTAAGATTAGTCTATGTGAAAAGGATTGTCTCACGGGTCGTTCGTTATCGACAAACAAACCATGTCGCGAACCAGTCAGAATAGGTTCGAGTTCCTGCTATGAGAAACCCGCCATGGAAATGAACAATCACGGGTCTCTTCTTTTGCGGAATGGCTGTCTGCGACAGAAGGGCTTTTGGGATCAGGACCGATAATTGAATATCGTGGTTATCCACGGTCTTGTAGATAACGTCGTGAGTCGCAAATTCCTTGAAGAAGGCAGGATCAGTTGGCGGATGCGCCATTCTCGATGACGTATACTGGCAACAGTTCCCGAAGGTTTCTCTGAATTCCCCCGTCCTAGGAAAATGTGCCTGCGACGGGCTTTAAGTTATCTGCCTCCGCGATTTCTCTTAGCAAATGTTCCATTCCGGATAAAAGCAGAGCTCCACCGGTTCTCCTCTTCGCTTATGGAGTCAATTCAATTAGCGGGGGAATTGCGGGGCTAGCGCCACGTAGATTATGGCCACTCTTCTTCCCGGAAGAGGGCTGGTGAATAGTTGATGAAGCCGTCGACCACACAAAGTTGGAAGCCTTGGCGCAAGACTTGAGGAGCGAGAAGCCAAAACCAGAACAACAGGCTGATCAAGAGCGACTATGCCGAGCTAATCGAACTCATGGCTGATCACTCATGCAAATTAGAAACGACAAGGAGAACATTCCCTCGATGTGACCAGTCCCGCCATTCACCGAGGAATGAGGCACCTGCATCTACTGTATCTGTACGCGAACTCGGCAAACTTGTACTCTAAGTACGGCTAGATCGCAGCACTTCGTCATACTAATGCATGGGCTTCTCAATCAGGGCTATAAGCAAGAGCTGAGGAGACGATGCACGAAAAAAAAATTATGGGTAATAATATTGCGCTCAAGTTCACGACAGTCCTACATGGAACTTCAAAAGCAAGCAAAGGTCAATTCAAACACAAATGCAGTACTGAATTCAACGGAAAGTAGGATCAATCGTCTCAAAGCTTGGTACCAGCCTTTCTCCGAGCTTCCTTTTCTTGATCACGCAGAAGACGGCGCAGGATCTTTCCACTAGGACTCTTGGGGATGGCATCCATAAATCGAACACCACCCTTCAACCACTTGTGTCGGGCCTTGTGATCTTGCACGTGCTTTTTGATGGCTTCAATCGCATCTTCGTCGGAGCCTGCGGAGGCTGACTTGACGACGACGGCCTTGGGTACCTCTCCAGCCGCGTCATCTGGAATAGCAATGACGGCACAGTCGGCGACAGCCGGGTGAGTGAGAAGGTGTGCTTCGAGCTCGGCGGGTGCGACTTGAAGTCCCTATTGAGATGGTCAATAATCTGATTTCTGGGCGGTAAATATCACAATGTGATGCGTCACGAACCTTGACTTTGATCAACTCCTTGATTCGATCAACAATGTACACATGTTCAGTGTCATTGGGTCCTTTTCGCACGACCGCCTCGTCACCAGTACGCATCCATCCATCTTCAAAGGTCTCCTTGTTGGCCTTTTCATTGTTGAGATAGCCAAGCACAACGCTCGGGGACCGCACGACGAGCTCGCCAGGGGTATCGTAGGATGTGACCTCCTCGCCTTCAGGGGTCATGATGCGCGCTTCGACTCCCGGGAGGAAGCAGCCAGAGGATCCTAGCACGACGTCTCCAGGAAGGGTCGAGCTGACCACAGTCGACGTTTCGGTGAGACCTAGAATGCCCGTGTAAGAGAATGCAACTCGTATGGCTTTTAAGCTTCCAAAGAACACATACCATATCCTTGACGAATAACAACATTGGGGTAGACCTTCTGGAAATCAAGCGCAGTCTCCATTCCCAAGGGCGCGGCTCCTGTGAAGAGCGTCTTCACGGAGCTCAAGTCATACTTCGAGCAGACGTCCTGGCTGCGAAGCATATTGATAATGATCGGAGGAACCTTAAAGAAGTCAATTTTTTTTGTCGCATTTGACAGGCAGCTTCGAGAGGCGAGCTTGTACTGACCAAAAACAGGCTGGTGATTTTGAATTGTTGAATTGCTCGTAGGTATACGTTGAGCTCAAATTTGGGCAAAATAACGACTTGATCTCCGCGATAAGGACCGGCGTGACAAATGACGACCAAGGCATAAATATGACTTTGAGGCAGAAGGCCAATGCTCACATCGGTGTGCAGAGGCTGGCCGTTGGTCAAGGGTTGCGAAGCACGGTGATACTTTTCAAAGGCGGTAATCTGCAACGTGTTTGCAATCACGTTGCGGTGAGAAATCATCACGCCCTTCTGCAAAGTTCGTCAGCACCGAATCAGAAAACAATATTCAGTAATATCTCATCTTCACTCACCGGAAGACCGGATGTTCCGCTGGAGTAGCACAAGAACGCAGTTCGTCGCGCTCCCTCTCCTGGTCCCCAATTCAATGGCTCCAGCGAGGGGAGAGACTTGCCTGCTTCGGCCAATTGCTCAGTAGTCTTGAAACCACTTGGGACCTTGGCGCCTCCCATAATGGCTTCAGGTACATCCATCAGATATACCCTGTTCTTTGGCAATCCGGCGAGCGCGGCGGCCTCGAGAGCAACTGAGAGAAGTGGGACGCAGGTGAAAAGAGCTTTAGCACCAGAATCCAAGATCTGATACTTCAACTCGGCGGCTGAGTATGCGGCATTCGCGGGTGACACGACACCACCCAAGCGATGAACACCCCAGAAAAATGGCACAGCATCGATCTATCGAGGTCAATCTTAGTATTATAATTTCCTCCCTCGTTCCTCCCCCTCCGCCTTCAGGTTCACGCACCGTATTCACGCTGAACACTCCCACAGTCTTGTCAAATTCAGTTCCTCGATTAGGGGCCCATCCCAGCTCCTTTGCAAGGCCGCGCGCAAAGTGATCCACTCTGTCGACAGTAGCGCGCGAAGAATAAGATTTGCCGGTCAAGCCACAGGTGAATGGGTCCCTCGATTGCGCATGTGGTGTGCGCCCATACTTCTCATTGAGCATGAACTCGCTAATGGGAATATCGTCGGGAATTGGGTCCAAAGGCGCATACTGCGGACCAGGTAGGAAAACCATGATTGCGGTCTCTTCTAAGGATTGTGTTGTCACAATTGCCTTGTTATACTGCAGCTCCTCTTCGACAGCTCAAGAGATCGCTCTAGAATCGTATCGTATCGCAAAGTCAATTATGGAGGAAATCCAAGTAGGGGGCCCAGTGGACGTTGTTCTGGACTGATTGGGAATCGTAAGGTAGTCGGGTTTGTAACGAGTAGAGTAAGATGCCAAAGCCAGGAACAAAACGAGGAGAAGAACGACGCAGTGTCAGGAAAGATCACCGGTTGCTGGCCGGGCGGGGGAGCTCGGCTTTAGCGGCGACCATGGCTCCAATAGCTTTCTCATTACCGCTTCGGTTTCCGCTCGAGACGATGAAGACCACACGAGTGGAACGCATAATGCGCAGCGCTCCAGGAATTACCGAGGGTTCCAACAAGCTGGAGATGGTCCACGTGTGCTGAGCCTCTGATACGCTCAGAGACTGAAGCTACGGACGACACCCACCGTAGCTTGATTGGTAGCAGCTGCCCGTTGAGTGGGCCATGACGCCGTTGGTGCCAGTTCATTCGGCCAAATGTGTGGAAAGTCTGGGGATCGGTGGGGGCCTGCGGAGGTTTAGTGATCTCGCAGAGCAGTTGTGCCTCGGATGTGCGGCGACCGAGGGTCTGATTCGGAGGCGACTGCCCCAAAGAACAGCATAAGGACACAAGGCCGCTGACCTGCGATATGAGCGCGTACTTTGCGAAGATAGTAGTGGCCTCGATTCACTTGAGGATGATATTGGTTATCTGTTATTTTGCATGCCGTAAGAGTCCAATCTCTGCAGACCTTACCGAAGATCAGCGTGTCTGTCTGCAAGGCATGTGTACCGTACCACGTGCAGCACACCCACGTCATTCTCACTGATTATGCGACTACAGGGCAGTGGGTACTGCAGGTTACCAGGTACGACAACGTACACTTACATGTACGATAAATAAAGACATCCCAGTATGGCCACATGCATCTTCCGCGCTATGGTAAGATCCAAGGCGCAAGTAAGAAGATCATGCATCTTGCGTACTACAACCAACACTTCCAAGAAACCTGGGCAACGAAGCGGCCAAACAGCCACACACACCAAAACAGATTATAGTGCTGACATAGAATATTCCTATTCAACCCCACGTAGAATATTACTCCCCGATGAAGATACTCACAGGTGAGCAGCTGGCCACGATACTTGAAAAGAAGGGAGATATTGGAGACAAGGAACTATTCATATGTGCCATTCGCAAGCAATAGAGGCAGAGCGACTAAGCAAATGGGTATCTAAAAGTAAAGGGCAATTGCAATCATATAAAAAGATGAAAAGAACAACAAGAAACGAAAAAAAAGGCGAAGAACGAAGATGCAAACACGCAAAAACGCAAGAAAAGGCGACAAAACCAGGACAAAGGAAATGGTGGGAGTCAGTTCAAACCCCGCTCCCACCCAGGACAAGACCAGCCACGGCCGAAGACAGTCTGGACGCACTGCACTGCGTCTATTCTCACCAGGAACCGAGGGCGCCAGCTCAAAGCCCACCATAGACCTGGTCCTCCTGCAGCCGGAATGAGCCTTTCTCGAGATCAGTCTTGTCAGTGGTCTCGATATACCGTGCTGTCAGGGCGAACCGCAGGCCATGATCGGGCTGCACCGAGTGCTGTTCGAAAAGATGATTAGTCAAAGGAACATTCCATCGTGATCATGAGACCGAATACAAACCTCGAAGTACTTCTGCAGCTCGGCTCCATGCATGACCAAGAGGTCCCCATGCTTGAGCTCCATTTGCAGGAGTTTGGGGGGCTCCTTCTTGCCACTCCGGCCAACCAAGGACGTCAGCTGTTGGCGGTATTGAGGCAAGGTCAGTTTCCCAGCCTCAAATTCCTGCCGTAGGGCGCGCCGTTCCTGCTCTTTGAGAGACCCAGGGAGAATGGGATCATCTCGGGTGGGCACGCCCTTGTCGCCAACGCCGTAGTGGTACTTGGCCTTCATGCGGACGAACATTCTGGACCGTGACCCCAAGGACAGGGTGGCGATTGTCGGTCCAAGATCTTTTTCGCCGTCGTCATGGAACTAAAAGGCCGATGTCAGTACGGAGTGAGGCATATTGTACAATCAGTCGAGAAGTGACAGCGCAAATTACAAGTCAAGCATTACTTACTCCGATCTTCATCTGCTCGAGATATCCGAGCGCGAGCAACTCATTTGGCGGCTGGTACTCGCCACCACTCCGACCCACGGCGATCTTGGTCGCCCAGGACAGGCGACCCAACGCAGTGAGAATCTCAGCAGGAGCCTCACTGAACCCCCTCGAATCCACCGAAACGACGTACTTGTAAGGAACGCCCTGTGGAGAATTTGCATTAGTGAGTTACATACAAGCAAACAGATCCCAGAATTACACTTACGTAGTTGACAGCGAAGTGGCAAGTAAGGGTCCCTGGCACTATGAGAGAAGTCAATAATGAAGGAAATGTGAGCAGTAAAATGACAGGCTCATCATGTAAGGTAAGGACTAACGGAGGTGAGGAACAGGAGGCTCGCTTCATACCTTGGCTGTTGGTGAGGGGGTATCGCCTCAGACCGAGATTGATCACCTGCAAACGGTCAAATAAGAAGTTTGGCCCGTTTGAGGACTCGTTGATCTGCGGGTTCGCTGCGAAGTGGGTGACCCAGCCGCCCCCGGGAACCTCATAGACGCGCATCTCGTACGGTGCGCAAGTCAGATTGTCGACAGCTGGTTTGATGGCACACGCCAGCTGATTTGAGCGGAAGGCTTTGGCACCTTCCGTCACGGACAGCAGCGGAACGGCCCGGATCCTTCTTTCTGCCCTATAGCGGCAGGTCTCACTGGGTGCTCGGGCTGGATCGTTTGAGCAATCCCACGCGTCCCAAGTGATCCTCTGTATGCACTTGTGGCATTGTGGGCAGACAATACCCTTCCATTCCTCGCGGCTCGTAGTGCCTTGTGAGGAACTCAGGTTCTTGTCGAAGATCTGTGCCAGGGGTCCTGGATCTGGAATCCCCGGTTGTGTCGACAGCCGCTGGTTGAGGAAGGTAGGGTGATATTCGAAGAGTGCATCTTCTGCAGGCTCGCTGCCCCCAACCTTCCAAAACTGAGAGCAGGAGGGTTGAAGACACATCCAGCCTGGCTTGGCATAGATCTGTTGGCTGAATTTGCCACACTCTGCACACATGCGTTCCGCTGGGCCCAGATTAGAATCTCCGTGCATGCTAGCCTGTGAAACCTGCTCGGCATCTGGCGCGGTCCACCAGCCTTTTTTCGACCAGTCAAGCTTTTCAAGGCGGAATCGGTACCCCGCGTAACTGCCAAACTTTTCCGACCATACGTTCGTGATCAGGAACCAGTCGAGTACGCAATATCGATGAGGGATATCGATATCCAAAAGCTTGTTTCGAGACCCTGGTGTTACAAAAGTCAGTTGATTCGTTCAAAAGCGGATCCGCAGATAGAGATGACTTACCAATAATCACCCCCACTGGTCTACGCTCCCGCATGGTTGTCATCATCGCAGCGACGAGGTTTCCATCGGGGGACTGGTCTCTTTGAAGGGTGAGATTCCCTTGGCTGTCCTTGGTGCTGCCGCCACCACTGCGTTTAATGAGTTATCAGGACCAATAATATGGAGTACAGAAACTGTTCATCTGGATAAGCCTTACACGCGAGTGATGATGACCTCATCTGTCATCACAGAGCGACTGCCATTATCTCCATCGAGAAGAAAGCCGGTGCATCTCTTGTCAGAGAGCGCGGCACCCCCTTGCATGCTGTGGTACCAATCCAGGGCATCCACAAGTTGCTGTCTGGTCTGCAAAGAAGTTAACCATCTTCACCTGTCCAAGAGGGAGCAGACATTGCATTCAGTCTGAAAGGTGCAATACTTACATTAGCCCAGATTGGGGGCTCTCCTCTACGGCTTTTGGCCGGACGATCACATCTGTTCAGGTCGCTACTGGAAGCTGGCTGAAGAACAGACTCTGATCGCCTTCTTTTGAGGCCTGTCTTCGAACCTTTGAAACATTGTCAGCCGAAACGCCAAATGTTCCTCATATGACATGGCATTACCAGCTTTCAGGCTATCGTGCTCGCAATCCATCGCGTATAGAAGCAGGGGCCGAGACGAAGAGGTGGGGTTCTCTTTTGAGCTGCAGATGCCATGATGCAAAACACGATGTCAGCGATTTCTTGATCATCTTCAGATTGGATGATGGACTCAAGACGCAGGCTTGATGATCGACCACTCGACCACTCTATCTGCGACAGTGACTCGCGTGTAACTCAATGAACCACAGCAATGATTGAGTCCTCTCATCAGCCCTATCTACAAGCACTTACCGGTGATCTCCAGCTTGAGTGGATCTGCGCGATGGTTGGGAATGCAGGTTTGTGGAGAGCAGAAGCATGAACACCAATGGGTAACTGTGAACAGCACGGGAAGTGGATTTTGTGGCGTGATCCGGTCTGTTGTGGAACCCTACAGATATCCGGCCTCCGGCCTCCGATATCTAGCGTGCTCTTAGGGCTACCATCACCACGTGCTACATGGGGGGCATCTCATCACGTGCCGTGGGCATGGATATCTCATCACGTGTTGCGGGTACAAGGGCACATCTCATCACTTGCTGTGAGTATAGATATCTCATCATGTGTTTGAACCACGTGTTGGGGGTTCATGTGCGATCACGTACTCTTGTCATGAGTTATGACGAAGTCTCAATGGCTTACAATGTGCCCAAGGCAGTGTCGGGCAGGACTGGATACTCATTATCTGAGTCAGTGGTAGAAATTCACCTTAGGGCCTGAGCTATTGCCTTTCCAACAGTCTAATCAAGACCAAGATCGGTGAAACCAAGAGGTTGTGAGGGGAAATGGCACTCTTACTGAATTTGCACTGTTTATTTTGTATAGCAGTTCAAGAAAGAGAAAATACCAAGGTACAGGATAGAGACATACAATAAAGACGATCTTTTCCAGGGCGATGAGTAGTCACGTATGAGTGAAGCCCTACATTCTTAGTACTAGAGCAGAAGCCTCGGGGACGAGAGAAAAGAAAGAGAGTCGCGAGAGAAAGACAAGTGAAAGTGAGAAAGCCCTCAGTAGGAGAAAGACGCCAGAAAAGTGAGAGATATGTGTTTAAGTGAAACATAAGCCATAGAAAAGCCTGGGAAAGGCGAGAGAAAGATGAGAGAAAGATGAGAGAAAGATGAGAGAAAGGCAAGAGAAAGATCAGAGAAAAGCGCAGGGAAAGCGCGGAAAAGGCGAGAGACATTGAGAGAAAGGCCCTTACAGGAAGAATCACAATTTATGGTCCTCCAAATTTTTTGCTACACAAGATCGGGAGTGCGCTCTTCGATATCCTGACTTGACAACCTTCATTAGTCTCCCATGAGCGTCGTAGGGCGTCTCAAAGTAGGTATATGCACCTAAAGAGGTCATATTATCCGAACAAGGATTATGCCTTGCCACTGCAATGGGTCAAGCGGCTCCGGCACCAGATAAGTCGAGCTGATCCATTTGGCACGCAAACTGGATTGGTAAAGCAAGCATTTCTTGACACTGCAAATTAACTGCTCCAAGCCGAAGATCCGAATCCACGAATGGGAGTATCAAATTGCGCGTCGTCATCGTACTCCATCCATCTCTGAAGTGAGGGGAATATGGGAAAGAAGTGAAAGAGACAGAAGCGAGACAAAATCGAGACAGAGGCTAGAGAAAGGTGAGAAAGTCGGAAGGGAGGCAAAAATGAAAGATGTCTACAGCAGAAACTATCATTCTGCAACGGCGACAAGCCATCTTGCATCAAAGAAAGGTCCACATGGTCATTATTTGGCCAGAAGCCTCGTAGCAGACAATGATTGATCCAAGACTTCGTAGGTCAAGTGAACAAACAACACCTATCACCAGTCGCCGCTGAAGAATTGACTGTCAAATGTTCACCTTGGACGCTATTGATTGAGACACCTCATAAGACTCAAAAGAGCATACCGTCTGTAAATCTCCAATTTAGCGCCGAGCACAAAATTCTCATTTCTCGCAGGAGGAGGAAGCTATTTTAGTCTTGCGCGATCCGTTCTCTGTGATCAAATGACTTCAAGCTTTGTACTCATCAGCGTGGGTTGTGGGACCAGTGTAGGATTGAGTGGACGTTCGTCTCCAGTTCCACACACTCAGTGGTAGATAGAGTTCAAATCAACCCATTCCCTGATAGCATCGTTCGCAGGGGCGTCTTGACTTGAGGCTCTGAATGAAATTGGACCTAAGTCAAATGGTCAGGGCACCTAGTGCAAAGCAGAATCGTTTAACCAAAACTGTGAGGGCTGTTCTGCGTTCGCCCCGGCAATGATAAAGCTGGAATGACCCGTTGAGCATCACCGTCTGCTACTCGACCTGTTGGGCCAACCTCGGACGGTCAAACGTGTTGGGACTCAGTATCAAAAAGATCTGATAATGTAATGTCCTTATTCGTTACTGGTGAACCTATCATAAGACGGTCTCCGAATGATCCAGAGAGAGCATCCCTGAGACGTATTTGGGTACTCCACCGAGTCCACCCACGCCGATTAAGACACCAAAGTGCACCACCGCCATGGTACAAACAGGCAACCAAGTACTAATTGAGGAGAAGAATACTGCTTAAATTTCTTAAGGCTGCCTGCCTTGGCTTCGTGAGAAGTCTATGCCAGGTACTTGAGCATTGTGTGCAAATTCGGGAGAACCCTTGACTCGACGAAGCTTTGCAAGATACTTTCTAGGTCAAGAGTTTGTGCACGCCTAAGAGATGGGGCTGTCTACTCGGATAAATGGTTTCCTAGATTCAGGTCTCAGGACTGTCTATAATGAAAAGTTCCGGATTGACACCGGGTGCACGTTATGAAGAGCAGGTGATGAAGAGCAGGTGAGGAATCATTGTAAGACCAAGTGACTGGAAATGATACAATAACTTACGTATAGCGCTCATCTGCACCATGAAGCTCGAGCTCGAGCTCGAGCTCCCAGAAGAAGGTTACGGAGTTACTTGGGCTAAGCTTCGCGAATTGATTATTTCTGACCCACCCTTGAATGCCTTTTTGGGGTATCTTTCAGGACGAGTCCGAGCGCATGTGTTCTATGAAGTTACTGTTGAAACTTGACTGTGGTCGTGTTGTTCTTGCCATCAGTTCACTCCTCATGTACACCACAGGAAAGACGTTGAATGCCAAGCGAATAATCATGTGACAGAATTGAAGTTTATTTGGCCGGCCAGACATCGCAGTGGTGTGCTGGTAAATGCCTCGAATCAGCACTGTCATTCAGGGGTATACATGTCTGACCGTTGCCCCGATCCATTCTCCCATTACCAACTCAATTGTCAGCACCGGAGCGCCCGCCGCAAGTACGCAGCCGCGCCTCGGGTGTCTCCAAACCGGGGGGACTCCTGGGAGCTCCGCTTAGGCTCCAGCCGCAGCCAGATTTTGATTAGCACGGCGCAAAGAGCACTACTAGCATTACTCTCTGTCCGAACAGCGAGAGAGGGAGAGAGCCTGCAGACCACTAGAGCTACCTGGGTTGGAGGAAGGTGAAAGTGAGCAACTCAAAAAATCTTGAGCCCCCTCTCGCTTACCCACATTCTTCCTCCTCCTCTGAAGCCAATCCAGGTAAATTCCCCGGGTCCTGCCTGCCCCTCTTTCTGTTGGATCGTCATCTCTCGCGGTATGCACACCGCGCCGCTGTGACTGAGTTGGTCCTCAATTTGCCCGTGTCCCCGCTCGGCCTCGTGAGGCTGAGAGAGCGACTTTGCGTCGGTCGGTGTTCATGTTGCTCGGAGCACCAGACTTGACCCCCAATTGTGCGCACACCGCGCAAGTTCCGCACCGCGCAACAAGCACTGTCGACCAGCTTCGGGGGTAAGCTGCCGTCATCCTTGGCCTGGTTCTACTATGGCGGATTCCAACGATTACCGAACGTACTACGGCCAGTCCGGCAGCCGTCCAACGTCCTCACAGGCCGCGACCGGTCGCTACGAAGGTTACAGCTCTCAACCGACCCCGGGACAAGCCCAACATCTACCGAGGCGGGTACCAAGCTATAATGCGGGCGACGACTCCCAACTTCTCACGTCACCCCGGGCAGCGAGCGCGCAAACAACCGAGTCAACCGCGAGACACTGGACGCAAACAGGTGGATATGGCCGCAGCGGGGCCCAAGGTGGCTATCATGTTGCGCCAGGGGGCTACGACGATGAACGTGAGCAGTCGGTGTTTGCGCGCACTCCCTCGGAGCAAGCTCACGTGTCGCCCACTCGTGCGTCGTCGCAATCAAGCTCGGCCGGCTACGGTTACCAGTATCCAGCTTCCTCGAATCAATTGGCCTATAACCCCCAGCAATATGGGCTACCGCAGTCGCAAACGCAGCCGAATCTCAGTTATAAGCCGCCGAGCTATCATAGTCCGACCAGCAATGGGCCTTATGCAAATACTGGATCCCACCATCAGCCTTACAACCCGGCAGCCTACCAGCAGTCTGCGGGTGCAAGCCTAAATTCGCCAGTCCTCGCACGGCGACCGAGCGAAGCGACGCATTATGCTCCAGCGCCGCCCACGCCTCAGTCCTATGGGTTCTCATCGCAGTACCAACAGCCCCCTATGCCTCCTCCTCGTGGGACGGATCACCCGTACGGCAGTCGAGCCGCTGGATACGGTCCGTCGCCCACCTCCCCCGGCCGGTCGACCTCCACGACTGGTTCTACGATTTACCAAGCAATGCCCTCACCCACAATGGCGAATTATCCCAGTACCAGCCCTTCTTCAGCCGCATACCTCCCCTCATCCGCCTCGCGTCCTTCCTTCCCAGTTGCCTTGGGAATCGGCTCTGAGCCGCCGTTCTCACCAACAAGCACGTCCGTGGGCAGTAATACTTATGATGAGCAGCCGCCACGACCCCCTGCTCACCAGTTTCAAGGCAGCGGAACATATGGAAGCCGTCCCAGCATACCTTATTCGGCTTCTGCACGTACACTTCCGAACCCACCCATGCTTCCAGACTTGCCCAGTCTTCCTCCGCGTCGAACGGAGACCTTGAACAGACACCCGCAAGCACGGCCCTTGCCGGGCCCTCCCATTGATACTGAGCCTGACTGGACGAGGTTACCTGACAACACGGGCCGGGTGCCTAATGACGAGTTAATGAGAGAGCTGGAGACCGCAGTGATGAACACCCAGGCGACTTTTGCTCGGCACAACAGTGCGCGGAGCGCGCTCAGCAACGCGAGACAAACTGAGCGTCTGACGCCGGATGAACAACATACTCACACAAACAGCAACATCTCCGAGGTACATATCAACTACTCCGCCTACAGCGCCGACAGTGATGCCGAGGCGGAGACGGGCCTGGCAATGCTAAGGATGGCAGAGGAGGAAGAGCAAGCTCGCCAAGAGAGAGAAAGAATGAGAGGTCGTAGCCGGCGCTTGACAAATGCGTCTGCTACGAGCGCCCGCTCTTTTGGCTCCCAGGCGTCAGGACGGGGTCCGTCACCTCAGCAATCGTCTCCGAGAGCCACGTTTTCACAGGGGCCATCTCCTCTCCCATATTCTGACAATGACCACTTTGTGGGGCATGACCTGGCGCTTTACGAAGGCGGATATCAAGGCAACTTGCACTACGGAGACGAGCCTTCTTACACCTCCGAAGAATGTCCTGGATCTCAGGTGAACGGGAGTCTTGGTCGGCATCATGACTCTTTTAGAAGTTCGCACCAGTCCAACGAGGAACAAAGCGAATATCAAGATGAATACGAACATCCAGCAATTGCGTACGAGTACGCCAATCGATTGCATAACTTTTCGTCCAACGCACGAGTGGATGCTCTTGGCACCGGTGGTTTGTCCGCCCCAGGACATTATGACCGTCGGATGAGCTTCGATTATGGGGAAGATACTGAAGGCCCATATGATCAACAGCAGGCAGAGGACCAGTCAGGAGACGATAGTTCATATAACGATGCTCCTGCAGAGCTTTTCTTCCACCCTGGGATGCGCCCGCTCCCGCCTGCACCGGTGGAAGCAGCTGGACAAACAGACCTCTATAGCCATTTGATGCCCGCAGGCACATACCGACCCCCAGATGAGGATCAAACCCAGGAATATGACCAGTACAGACAATCCTCCCCCGTTGCAGCATCCGTGAACTCGTATGGAGAGCAGCTGCTCATTCCATCTCAAGTTCCGCGGTCGTCATCTTTATCCGCCCCTAGTGGACCTCGTACTGATGCCCCTATCAGGTCAAAGACCGATGCGGACCGTGCCAAGTACAAACAACAACAGGAATACCTTTGGCAGCTTCAGAACAAGGAGCTTCCCAGAATTGACCCTGCTGAGGCAGCTGCGCACGCGCCACTGGATCTACCCGCTATCCCAGCAGCTCGGCGCAAGAAGTTCAACCCCGCAAAACTTTCTACGGAGCAATTCAAAAAATGCACAGAGCCGTGGGCTTTAAGCGCCGTTCTGACCTGGATCAAGGATCTCAGTCAAGATGAGACTGACCTGCGCCAGCATGCTATTGTGGATGCAATCGTTGCGCTTTTCACCCACAAGGTCCCAACGATGAATATTGCAGATGCAGAGACTCTGGCGGCACGCGTTGTCTCAAGTATGCTCGACAATGGAGCGCTAGTTAAGGACGAGGAGTGGGTCAAATTCGGCCACGGTCAGATCTCTGGCGTCTTGTTCCAGATCACGGGAACAGGATGCTATTCGTCCAGGCTACACGAACAGGAGGTGCATATCCAAGATACTGACGTGCTGGGGCGGTGTTACTCTCACCACTGTATGCGCACGTTGAGGAAGGTCAATCTCAGAGCGCAGATGATGGCGCCTCAAAAGAAGATTGAGGACTGGGTGACATTCTACCAAGTGCCCAAAGATGTATGGGAAACCTATCCAAAGAAGGAGATCGATCGTCAAAACAATCTTCACGAAATTGTCACGACCGAGGACGCCTACATTGGTCAACTCGATGTTCTGAGGGAACTGTACCGTGACCAACTCGCCCAGATGAACCCTCCTATCATCCCGGCCAAGCGACTCGAGAAGTTTTTGACCGAGGTTTTTGGCAAAGTGGATGCTGTGAAGCGAGTGAACGAGGACTTTCTCCTCGCTCAGCTAAAATATCGTCAAAAGGAGCAAGGCCCATTTATCGCAGGGTTTAGCGATATTTTCCGCGAGTGGATTCGGAAGGCGAAGAACGTGTACATCGACTATGCGGCGACTTTCCCTCATGCCAATTATTTCGTCCGCCGCGAATCTGAACGAAACCCGCAGTTCAGGGCTTTCTTGAACCAGGTGCGCGAGCATAAGCTTTCCAACAGATTGAGTTGGGACACCTTCCTCAAAGCTCCTATCACTCGCATTCAACGCTACACCCTTTTGCTCGCAACAGTGCATAAGAATATGGCCAAAGAATCCGAGGAGAAGACCAACCTGGCTCAAGCGATCGAAGAGATCAAGGTTGTGGCATTGGAGTGTGACAATAAAGTGGGAGAGCAGAGCAGGCAAACCGATTTGATGGATCTTGCGAGCAAGTTACAGCTTCGTCCCGAGATGAAGAAAGAAGTTGAATTGCATCTTGACCACCTGGGTCGCGAGATCATCTTCCGAGGTGACCTACAGCGACCAGGGACGAGGACCCGTTTCCTTGTCGACACTCATGCCATTCTCTTCGATCATTACCTCGTTCTTGCCAAGTCAGTGACTGCAAGGGACGCCCGGAGCGCCAAGTATGAGCGTTACGACGTTTCCAAATTACCAATTCCAATGGATCTTCTCGCGCTCGAGAGCACAAACGATGATCCAGTAGTCAAATCGTCCGTTCGCGGAGTTGCTACTATAACTCCAGCCCAAGGTGCTGCGATTCCGTCAGCAAATGCGGCTGGCATTACGGCTAATGGTGGAGGGGTTTCTCTGGATACCAAAGATGACAAGATTCTGTATCCTTTCAGAATCAAACATCTTGGCAAGACGGGCACTTACACTCTTTATGCGTTCTCCGCCAGTAGTCGTCTCGAGTGGTGTCAAAAGATCATCGAAGCTAAGACCAAGCACGCGGCCGCGTTGTTCTCTCAAAATGCCGAGCCCTTCAGGCTTCGAGTTCTTGCCGATACTGCGTTTGCTTATTCGGATCAATCGCACGGATCTAAGAGTGTTATGATTCAAGGGACCCCATTGCATCGAGCCATCGTGGAGGTCGACAAGAAGTACCAAGGCGAGGGTAGACCTCCACCTGTCGGCAGGACCGTCGTGAAATGCGCCACAGTCTTCCAACAGCCTCCTGGGAGAATGATGTGTGCGATCGGCACTGACTTTGGCGTTTACATGTCTGATCTCAGCAACCCGCGAGGTTGGCATCGGGTAAATCTCAAGCCTCTCCTGCTTTTGTTGTGGACTTTAAACTAATTCGTATAATTTTAGGCTATCCCTATTATGCGTGTCACGCAGATCGCTGTCTTTGAGGACTTCAATCTCTTCCTATTGATTGCAGATCGCTCTCTGATTGCATATCATTTGGATGTGGTGTGTCCAGCAAGTGGCATTTCGTCAAAGGCAAAGGATTCTGCCCGTCGAGCTCCCCAGAAGCTCTCCGGCAATCGCGAAGTGGGCTTCTTCGCGGCAGGCCGGATGAAGGACCGCTATTTGGTCCTGTATAAGAAACGCGACGGCCTATCATCCACGTTCAAGGTGCTCGAGCCCATTCTACAAAAGTCATCTCCCAACAGGGCCGGCATCTTCCAGTCCCGTCGTTCACAAACCGAGTTCTTCCGAGAATATGACGAGTTCTATATTCCTGCCGAGTCCTATGGAATCAACATGTTCCACTCCTCACTTGCAATCTCCACCCAGCGCGGAATCGAAGTTCTCACGCTCGACAAGAAGCAGTCCTGGTCTGTACCTGATTTTCGCTCCGCTATTGCCGACGCCACCGACACATTGCACAGCATTGCACAGCGCATCAAAGACCTCCGGCCCCTGGGCATGTTCCGACTCAGCAAGATCGAATTCCTGGTCGCGTACCAGGAATGCGCAGTCTATGTCAATAAGCACGGCGATGTGTCCCGAGGTGTTGTCATGGAGTTTGTGGGTAGTGCCCACACGGCGTGTCTGTACGGGGCTTTCCTCATCCTGTTCAACGATGACTTTATCGAAGTTCGCAACGCGGAGAACGGCCGTCTGAGACAAGTCATTCCCGGCCATAATGTGGTCTGTCTGGATGATGGTAACAAGACGTCTGGCATCACAGGGAGAGCCGATGCAGATAATATGAGTGGATCCGCCAACGGTGTCTCAACGAGTCCAGGGAATACGGTGAAGATATGCATGCAACATCCTCAATACGAACGGAGTCAGATCGTGCTTGAACTCATTGAAAATGAGGGACAGAAGGAATAGAGAATTCCTTCTTTCTTGGGGGCTTCTTTGCTTATCTTCTCTTTGCTGCCCATGCCACAATCCCTCCATGTCTATACAGCCGACATCTACTGATCATCTCCTATGCGAGTCGTTTCGGTCTCCATGCTAATACCTTTCTACCATCGACATCCATGCATGCCCCACCCTCTTCCTTCTCGTCTTTTGTTTCGAGGGTGTGATGGAATGTCAAAACACGTTATGGATAGTAATCAAGCCGTCACCCGCATTTTCCGCATGACCTTGTGTTTCTCCCCTGCAACCTCATTGAACATGTACATATCTGTTTCATCTAGCTGTCTAATGAGTATGATGAATGAAGAATTTTGCTGGCGAGCATTATGGAAATCTGTCCCGAGAGAGGCGGTACGAGGGACAAGAATCAATAGTATAATTGAATGGAAGGTCGCTAACGGAGGACAAGTATCAAGAAACCAAAAAAAAAAAAAAAAAAAAAAAACAGCACGCAGCAGATGTCTAACTTTCAAACTCCACGACCTTGCTAACAACCTCCGTGTCTTGGACAGTGGGCGGCCTAGCGCCATGACTATCCTCACTAGACCCTTCGTCCTTCGTAGGACGTATGCTGATCACGTCCGCTTCGGCGCCTTCCAAAAGATCACGGTCTGCATCACGCACGCTGCGACGCTCGGGATCTGGTCCATATGCACCAGCACCCCAGCTGGAAATGCCGCCAGCCATCACGGCGGCAGACGCGCCTTGTCGGGAAGGATAATCATCCTCGTCGTCCTCGTCGTCGTCTTCGTCACGGTGGCCCAGAGCATTGCGCTCAAGGTCGCGCTGAGCGTCGTCCATGCGCTTCTTCACTTCAGCTGCCATGCGGATACCATCAGTGACGATGTTGTCCAAAACACCGCGAAGACCTTTCCCAGGTGGAACAATACCACCTGAGGCTCCAGCAACTGACACGCCAGCAGTGACAGAGGCAGAGGGACGGCCGATCTTGGAGAACGTCGTCAAATTAGAAGAAAGCGATGACGATGCGGCGACAGATGCGGGATGAGGATGGTCGGAGAGATGGAAGGATTGGGGGAAGTAAGATTCAAAAAATTGCTCCAGTAATTCGTCAGCCAGAACAACCATGCGGAATGTGGGCAGAGTGATGTGAAGCGGGTTATTGGGGTCGAGGGCTGGATTTGCAGACTCGGATCGGGGTCGGTTTGGTGAAATTGATTCGGTGGGCTGCGGTGAGGTCTTTTCTACAGGGGCTGTCTTTGATTCCTTGTCGTCACTGATGTCGATCAGATCCTCCTCCTCCTCTTCTTCTTCCTCGTCGTCGTCACCAATGGCAAATGCATCCAGCTTTTCAGTCACTTCTTCAGTCTTCTTCGAGAAGCCAGCTCTTTGATGGTCTGGATGACTCGGGTCGGCATACTCAAAGCAGCGCCGAATGAAGGCGCTCACACTGCCAAGGAACCTCTCGTCGGTCGTCAATCTGCTTTGTTCAGCCTCGTCATTGTTGCCCCGAGGATTGTTGATCTCGTCTTGGGAGGGAGTCGCTGTGATGGTACCCTCGAAGCCTCGACGAGACAGGAAGAGCAGGGCCTCGGACATTTTGAGAATGCCTTCGCGGTCGACTTGACCATTTCCAGAGTCATCGTAAAGCCCGAAGAAGTAATTGATATTGTTCATAATATCAGGTGCGCCCTTCAAGCGAGCTAGTCCAGTGACCACATCTTGAAGGCTCAACCCCTCATCGGGATCTGTCGCCCATTTGCGGTAAAGCCGTTGCATGAACTCATGATCGGCAGCTTGCCGCCGGTTGGCCCACAAAGAAGCTTTTGCATTGCCCCTCCAGCTCCCCGAGGTCGAGGGATCATTTTTGAGCGGCGCAGGGGAGTCGGACGCGGCCCATTTTGACGTCGCGGCCATGAAGTCCCGGAAAGCATCGTAATTCATGTGGGTTGGACTCGGACCTAACCCTACACGACCGACCTGCCTGTCCACTGGTGGACCGAGAATTGACTGCCGCTGCGACTTTTTCTTTTCGTTCCGTTGACGCTCTTCGTCGGCAAGCTTCTGTTGCTGTTCCCAGTGATATAAAATCTCGTAGAACCTGTCATAAATTGTACCCAAGTCGTCCACGCTCAGCCGCTTACTTTCAGGCCCCAGATTGCGTATTGAAGTACGCTTGGCAAAACTTTCGATGTTGTTCAAGACTGCGTTCTTGTGCTTCTCACGTTGTTCGGTGACGGTACTGTGCGTGATGCCTGAAAACTCTTTGAATGCGACCACCATCAACTCTTGGAATCGAGTGATAGCACGCAACTTGGGATTCTCGGATCTCGGGTGAGCGGACTCATCAAGACGAGAGAAATATGATTTCAAAATGGAGATGAATGATCCGTCGTCCTGGATATCGAGCAATTCTTCTCCATTGATGCGAAGAATGGCAAGACCCACTTGGAAGAGGACTTTCGGGCCCTCCAAGAAAAAGACATCAAGAACCCTGAAAGCGAAGACAAGGGGCATTGAATTGATGTACAGCGAGAGGAACCAGGGAAGAGATACCACAGAAAGTTGGACATCTGATTTGGTGAGATGTTCCCAAAGCACGGGCATCGTCTTCTCCACCAAGGACTCGAAGACCTTTTGGTCAAGCAAAGTTCCGTACATTGTTGTCGAGTAGTAACCCGGGAGAAGGCGATCGCACAGGACGGAAAGAAGGAAGAAGGCCTGGGCCTCGGACATGTATCTGCTCATGTTAGCGACTGCAGATCGAAGCTAAGCTATGCGAAACATACATAAGCAGCGCGGCAACCACGATGTTCATAGCTTGGCAATAGCCAACCTCAGCATTGGTCCAACTATATGCCGTCAGGACGCGACGTAAGCGGCCAATACCCTCTTCGCTCTGGAAACCTGGGTATTCTGGCAGACTGCGGTTCAGGTCTTTCTCGATTTCATCAATAGCTAATGACTCTTGGCCATCGAATTTGGCAAGCGTCTCTGCATATAATTTTGGTGACCGTATTCGAAGAAACATGGAGCCGGACGTCAATTCCCAGATCTCGCCTCGCAGACGGTTCGGCAATCCAACCCGAATCAGTTTGTGAAATGTCGGTTGTCGTACTAGTGTAGCATTCCGTCCATTTTCTGTGAAAAAGTCTGTAAGAACCTACTGGAGTAGAGTGGCAAGCCAAAGTAGGGCCGTTCCTTACCTCGGAAATATTCTCCCCAAAGTCTCATCTTGCTTCGGTCGCGCAATTTTCGAGCATCGCCCGGATATCGGAAAAGCATACCAAGGCCAGCATCGGGAGGCTGACGGCCTTGGCCATCCGTCGCATCCTTTGCTTTCGTTCCTGAGAGCAGATATTCCGAATAACAATCTGACACGATGCTTCGCAAGTTGTCCACCTCTTTCATGCCCTCCCGTAGACCCTTCTTCAAGCAATCACAGAACCGCTCACATGCTTGCCTGCTTCCAACGAGTTGAAGAATGAGTCGTTGAGGAGCGAAGTTTGGTTCTTGTGTCTTGTTGAGCATGCCATTCCAGGTTGTTAATGCCAACGAGAACACTTCCCGAGCGCTGTGCAATCGTTCCACCCTTCTGATGGAGGATAATGGCAAAGTGAAGCCATTTCCAGATGGCCCTGTGCCATGCGTTTGCCCGGTCCAGCTCGTAGACGCGCTCAATGTGGATGACGGCAAGAAACTGGTGGGCTGAGTCGAGAAGCAAATGAAACGCTCGCTCAGATGCAAGCGCCCAGTATAGCGATTCCCAGGCCGGTCGACGCGACGAGAACCATCAGCAGAGTCGGAAGAAGTATTGGACGGTAGAGGAAGAATCAGCTCGGCTGTGATCTCTTGCAACGGGTTCTGCGAATCAGGAAGACGAAACTGCTGGCGAAAGAGGGAGGCCTTGGAGGGATTGTCGTCATTGGATGAGAGAGACGGAAGGTTGAAGTTCGCCGAGTCAATCAACGATGAAGCTTTCTGAACGAAGGAGGAGAGCGAAATCATGGTGGCCAGAGTCTGGTTTGGCCCTTGCGACACTGGCGAGTCCTCGCAGCTATCCGATGATGTCGGGTCACGGCGGAGCTAGGCTGGTGAGAACAGCGGAGCCGGGACAGTTCTTGCGGCCCAGCCGATGATTAGTGTACAGCGCTACAAAGGCAGCCGGTGGAAATTTCAAAAGACAGTATTTAGGTCATGACACGAGTGTAACCATTCGTGGTTCAGAATCTGCATCACTTGAACTGTAACTCTAGCTCATGGACATGGAGCGGGATGTTATTGTCGGACCGATAAGAGGGGTGGAAGGCAGCTTATCACATGACTTTCAGCCTTACAGCACCAATTCATGGGAACTGGGGCTCAATGACGTGCCTACTTCACTAGACAAAGAGTAGGAGCTATTTTACAGCGCACAAGACCGAAATTATCTTGATAAGACCGGCCAAACAGAAAGAAGTGAAGGATAGAATGGATTGAATTTGCCGTGTGAGCTACAGAGTATGAGAACAAAAAGACAGAAATCCCAATTGAAAAGAGGATCTGTCTGTCATAAGAATGAGAAGGAGTAATCAATTATCAATTTGACTTCCACAAAAGAGATAAAAAAAAAAGAAGAACAAAAAAAACACAAAAAACAAAAGAGCGGCGTTGCGCCTGGCTTGTCAAAATGGCTGCGGCAACTCCGGAGGACCCGCGTGGAAAGACTTTGTGGGGACAGCGAGGCTAGAACAGCTTAGTTCTTGTCCATGGAGCCACGGGGAGTTACGGACTCGGTGTACTGCGGAAGATCATCCTGCTCAGAAACCTCTACAGAGTCCTCAATAAGACTTTGCTTTTCACAGGATTCGCCCTGCTCCCAAGAAGCCTTGTGCTCCTGGGGCTGACCAACCCTGTATCGTCGCCACATGAAGACGACGGCTTGACCGATAAGCATGCCGATTGAGCTTGCCGCCACACCAGCCAAGATTCCGACGAGAGCTGGAACGATGATGAAGTGAATGATTCTTCGGAAAGTCCGGACGAACGCACCATGGGGGCGATGGTGGTGGTGATGGTGACGATGACCACCCCAATGGTGTTCCTTTTCGAATTCGGAAAACGCACCCATGCCCTTAGCTGGGTTGTGCTTTCCGTGGCAGCCCTTTCGGCCAGTCTTCCCAGCAGCGGCTGCAACACGCCCCTTCGCAGCCGCGAGAAGGCCTCGTACCCGGGCAATTGCGAGCTCCCGCAGACAAGCGACCTTGCCATCGCACTTCTTCCACGAGAGATCAGATGAAGGTGGGGCGGTTGGTTCGATCTTGGTTTTGGCGATGAAGAGTTCGCCGTCGGGGGCCTGCAAGAGCGTAACGGCGACCGTGTCCACTGGGACAGGATGTCTCTCGAGGTCAAGAATGGTCAATCGCACGTCGTAGATTTCCGATCCGGCGTCCTTATCACTTGTCTCCAGTGGCATCATTTCCAAGGCGTATCCCAAGGCCATAGGCTCGGAAATCTGCCCATCTTGAAGTTGCTGGATAGCGCGAAGAGGACCAGGATCGACTGGAGGGAAAATCTGTCGTCCGTTGGCCAACAACAGATTATCCTCGATGGAGAAATCCAGCATCTGGCCAGAGTCATGTGTCAGCACAGATTTGTTCAAAGGTGGTCGTTCCCGTCCGATGAGCGGGTGAGATGGCTGCACATACCAGTGAGGGGGATTTGCCCTCGACCCAGGTGGCGACACCTTCGTGGTCAACTTCGCGGAAAGGACAGTCCTGGCACGGGACGCTGACCATCGCATGATGAGCATCAGCCAGAATCACGGGATGAACGTTCATAAATCCGTCTTGAACTGGCTCCATTTGATGCTCCATCTCCGGGGGGATCAACATCGAACTGGCCGGCAAGACGGCAGCGCCGCCCAGCAGCATAAGAGAACGGGCCAGCATGTTGTAGTCGCGATGACAGACAACCGGTTGTGAACAAGGTCTGGGAAGAAAAAGTGAAAGCAGAGAACTGCTTGTATATTAGCAGAATATCAGTGGTGATGAGGAAGTGCTGAAGACAGCCTCGACTGTTTGATAGTAGGCGAGAGAGGAAGTTGAAGAGTGGAGAAGGAGTTCCGTTGCAGACTCCAGCGGAAGATAAGCGCGGGCCCAAGTCAACTAGTCAAAAAGGCGCCCCAAGGTGGAGGAGGGTGACGTTAGCCTCCTGCGTGGCAACCTCTTTGATTGGCAGGTATTCTTGTTACACCACAGTGACCACAACACCATGAGCGGGTCCTCTCTTCTCCTGGCGATGGTCTGAGGAGTAAGGACTAAAGAAGAACACATCATCCATCCATTCAACCGAAGGATCCGTGCTTAGTGCGATGCCACGATCATCAAAGACAGGTATTGTTTATTCCATCAGATCGGAGAAACAAAATGCACTTGCTCTCGTCAAAGGAGGCTTTCAGTTCCCTTGGCCAGTTTCGGGCCAGTCATGTGACTGTGCGGTCTATTATGTACTGCAACTACTGTCCCCTGGGCTTCTGGAGTCGTGCAGGAGTTGCGTGCGTGGAAGATGAGACTCTCCACCGTAGGTTCAAGGCGTTTGACAACAGACACCGTAGCGCAGCTGAACGACTAGGAAATAATGATACAGCTAGAGATATTCAGCTGAAGTCTCGGTTACATATTAACTTGAATCACGTCGGATGCTTACGAGGTACTGTAGTTCGCGAAGATGGAACAAGACTAGTAAGAGGCATTAGACTAGAGGAGGCACTAAGTAACGTAATTCTCGGCCAAGCGGCATACCCGGTCAAGCGGCACACCCAACTGAAAATCGCGTCCAACTACCTATCTACCTTCTTCAACCATATACCATGCCACCAATTCGCACTGGATTTCAACAGAAATTAGCTAATCAAGAGGGCAAGATCCTATTAGCCCTTGACGATATCAAAAATGGCCGTATTAAATCGATTCGCGTAGCTGTAAAGCTATACGATATACCCTACCGAACTCTCGCTGCTCGCGCGAGTGGGAGAGAAGCACGCGTTGATCAACGCCTATCTAGTTATAAACTGACCTAACTAGAAGAGGATTCGCTAGTTGAATAGGTTATCTCTATAGATACGCGTAGAGTAGCTGTTACGACCCAGCCACACTACGCACATAGGGCCTATAGGCCGCCGTAGTACTCTTGCGTAAGAGGTAGTTACGGCCCGCCGTACCCGCGGGCCCTAACTACTTCCCACAGGAGGAACCCCCTTAGTTCCTTAGCGATTAGTCTGAATAATAGACCTTAGGACCTTCACTCTGATCCGAACCCCCCTTGGGACTAGACCCTAGTCCTAATATTCTAATCGCTTCAAACTACTAGATCGGACCGTTGGAACCAGCAAGATATCCCCGAATACCCGTAGCTTAGCTAGCCGCCTCCCGTAAGACCCGGAACCTACTACGTACGCGGAGACGTAAGAAGCCGTAGAACCTATAGGAGATACTATAAGGACCCCTATAACTAATCTCTTATAGACCCTTCCTAATACTACGGAAGTAGTAGGAGATCTAGACCGCGAAGAAGAACGTACGTAGGAGAAGGAACTAGAAGTCTTAGAGCGGCGGATTAACTTTATTAAAAAAAAAGCTAAGCTACTAGAGAAGCTTTAGGATTATATCTATATAGTAGTAATCCTAGAGGTAGAGATATAGATTATAGGACCGGGAGTACTAGATATCTTAGAAGAATCCTTAGTAGTACTACTATCTTATATATATACTATTACGAGTAGTAGTACTAGTAAGGATCCTCTCCTCTAGGACCCCACAGATACGTAACTCCGACTCTAAGAGCTAGCGAAGGGAAAGTAAGAACTAAGAGCCTTATTAAATATTAAGCTATATAAGAGCTATAGTACTAATAAATAGAATATATTTAAGATAGTAAATAAAGTATTCTAGGACCGTTATCCGGAATAGTACTTAATAGACTATATAAGAGTAATATAGGTCTCGGAATTCCTATTAGGAGTAAAGAATAATAACTAGATATAATACTATAAGAATAATCTAATCCTTAAGGTAATATAGGCGCTATTCGAAGAGTAGATACTCTCGTAAGTTACCGATCCTATAAAACTCTAGTATAATATAATAAGTAACTAGTAGTACTATATCTAAAAGGAGATATAGAGCGTAAATAATTATATAAACTATATAATATCCCTCTATAATACCCTTAAGAATTAATCTATAAAGTAAAAGCGGGTCTAGTGCCTATATATAGGGATCCTATAAGAGATCGAGCTAGAAGACTATAGATTCCCTAAACCTATAACTAATATCTAGGATAACTAGGTAAAATACTATAATATAGTAGAGTAGTAAATACTAACTAGATAAATAGTACTCCGAAATAAGAGATACGATAATAGGAAAAGAGAGTTAGCCGTAAGATCCTACCTATAGAAGTTATAGGGGGAAGTAAGATCCTATCTATAGAGATTATAGAGAGATAAGTAAAAGTAGAATAGTAATACGTAGAAGCTATAGTACGCTAGAACTAAGATATCCGACTAGATAGGCGGAGTAGAAAAGTATAAATTTAAAGGAAGCGATACTATAGAGTACTATTTCTATAAGAAGCCTAGGTATCTCGTAAGAGATTACTAGATAAAGGTAAAGAGCGAGTTAAAAAAATAGATAACCCTTTACTATAAGCCCCTATAGTATTAGGTATAACGCTAGAAAAGAGGAGTAGCTAGGAGACCTCCTAAAATATACTAGTATATAAAGCGCTTATATTAGATATAGAAGATACTCTGATAGAAGTAGTATAGATACTAATCGATAGTAGAGCGAATAAGAGCTTTATTAGCTAAATTTAGATAAAATAATACCTATAAGATATATAGGAAGTACCTTATAAAGTCAAAGTAGTCGACGGATATAAGATTTAATTGTATAGTAGCTAGAAGATACTCCTAAGGCTTATAGATAGTACTAGGACTCGTATAAAGCTAAAATAGTAGTATAAGTTAGTAGATATATCTAGATATAATATAATCCTAGGATATAACTAGCTCTAGAGAGTAAACCTAGAGATCGATTAGGTATAGTATAGATAGTCCTATAAGGGTAAGATACTACTTAAATTAGAAGAGATTCCTATAGAAGAGTTCGAAGAAGAGCTAATATAGCTAAACTCGATATATAGCGAACTATAGTTTATACTATAAGATATAGATATAGCTATAGCTAGAAGAGTAGAAGAGGGATATATTACTATACTAGGAATAACGATAGAACCCCTAGATCTAGTAGTCCCTCCGGATTATAAGGAGTATATAGATATTTTTAATATAGAGAGGGCGTCGGTACTTATAGAGTACTTATAATATAATTATATAATTAATCTAATCCCTAAGGGAGTAGTACTATTTAAGCCGCTCTATCTACTATTAATCGCGGAATTAGAAGTACTAAAAGAGTATATAATAGATAGCCTCGCGAAGGGATAGATATAATATAGTAAGAGCGAGAGAGGAGCGCTAGTCCTTTTTATACTAAAGAAGAATAGGAAACTCTGCCTATATATAGACTATAGGAGCCTTAATATAATTATAGTAAAGAATTAATATATACTTCCTTTAATTAGCGAGTTACTTATATAACTCGTAGGCGCGAGAGTCTATACTAAGTTAGACCTATAAGATATATACTACTATATTTATATTAGGAAAGGAGATAAGTAGAAGACCGTATTTCGTATATATTATAGATATTTTGAGTACTATATAATACCTTTTAGCCTAGTAAATACGCTAGTAATATTCTAGTCCTATATTAATAAGATACTAGTAGGTCTTATCGATATATATCTTATTATATATCTCGATAATATCCTAATCTTCTTATAGGATATAGAAAGCTATATCCGCGATATATACGCGGTACTATAGCGCCTATAAGAATAGAACCTATACGCTAGACTAGAGAAGTATACCTTTTATACTATATAGATCGAATTCCTTAGTTTTATCGTAAGCGATAAGAGAGTTATAATAGATAATATAAGGATAGCTACTATCCGTAATTAGCTAGAGCTAGAGTATATCTTCGATATCTAGTAGTTCTTAGGATTCGCGAACTTCTACCGCCGATTTATCGATTTATACTTAAAGATTACTAAGCCCCTTACGGACCTAGTCTAGGGACTAGACGTATAATAAAAAGGATAGAATAAGTAGAAGTAAGACTTTAAGCTAACTAATAATATATAAAAGATATTTAATAAAGTTAAAGCGCGCTTCCTCTGTGTACTAATACTTATATATTTCGACCCTAACCTCTAAAGTATAATCGAGTTAGACGCGTCGGGATATATATATAGAGGGATCTACTTATAGAAGTAAGAGTTAGGAGTATAGAAGCTAATTATATTCTACTCGAAAAAGATAATCCCTATATAGATAAACTATAAAGTAGATAACTAAGAAATACTCGCTATTATAGAATACTTTAAGGAATAACGATACTACCTAGAGGATAGCGTATATTAAATTATAGTAAAAATAGACTATATAAATCTTATAAAATTTATAAGTACGAAGGAGCTCTCCCGAAGATAGATATAATAGATAGAATACTTAGTATAATATAATTTTATTATTATCTTCTGTGTAGGATCGTAAAACCTAGCGGATACTCCGAGTAGAAGGCCGGACTATAAATAAGAATATATAGAAGATATAAGTAGTAAGGACCGCCTAGAAGACTTAATAGTATAACTAAAGTAATATATCCTATAAGGGAAAGAGATAAAGGATCCTCCTATAGGAATCCTTATACTAAATATAGTCTTCGAAAGGGAGATAGAAGCGGAAGGGTATAGGATAATAATTAGCTAATAGGCTATAATTATAGGGACTATAGAAGAATTATCTATAGTATAGGTATTT